CTAACGTGGAAATCATGGCATACGTGTCGTGTAAGTCATGACTACACGCCACGCCCATGGTGCACGCTCGTAGCCGTTTCGCTAGCTTCAGATATAGCAAATTTCGTATCACGTGCCGTCAGTAGACTACAAAGGTAAATGACACGTCTAAACTTGATAATCTTGACATGCGTGTCATGAAAAATATGACTACATGCTACGCTCATAGCGTGCTCGCGGCTGTTTCGCTGTAGCTTCACATATACGAAATTTGGTAGTACGTGATGTGAATGGATGACGAACACGAATATCGGGCGCTAACATGATAATCGTGACATGGAAGTGATGTACGACATAATTACCGTCCTCCTCGTAAGGTTGTGCTGATTTTAAATTGACATATAAACATTCTTCATTCGCATATCGATTCCCACAGTACATGGGATCTGCTAATTTCTTAAGTTATTGCTTCAGTAAATATTTTGTTTCCACGAGCACTAGTTTTTAAAAAAGGGTTCGCGTGATTATGAAATTTTTAATCTAAACCACAATTCTGTGAAGTCCGAACATTTTTTTTGTGTGTGTGTGCATTGATTGCTCGTTGTTCTTAAGCCATAAGCTAATAAACACTAACTTGTTCTTGGCCAATCCCCTAGCATGGGTGTATGCGTTTCCAGGCTGTTCTTAAACCACCATGCATCTTAATTTTCAGTGTAATATATCAACACCCAGAGGAATCCAACAAAGCATATTGGGGTAGATAGTCCAAATAGTTTATCAACAGCAGCCAAATGGGTGCAATTTTCTGCAAAACTGCATACACCTAGGTCTTCATGGCACGAGTCTCATCACATGCCAATACTCCAAATGATAGCCCTTTGGCTAATGAGGCAAAGGAAGGCACAAGCGTCTGAACACTCTTCACAAGTTAGACTAGCTGTATTAATGCAACAAACTTCAGTACCGAATTGAAAATGAAAACGGAGCGCAAAGGGACAAGACGGAACACCATCCAGCTTTTTTGCACTCTGCCTTTATTTTCAGGCTATGCCCCACCTTGCCGAGCAACACATTCTATCTTAAGCTTCAGTAGTAAACTAACCTCTCAAGGTATGTTGTATGAAACTAAACTTAAAATCTACAGTGCAGCCCCCACATCTACTTTGCAGATCTTACTAAGTAAAATAAAACGAGGACAACACGTAAAATAAAGACACTGCACATTTAATGACAGCCATCTCAACAATGGTGGACGATGCTCAGTAGAGTCGCTGGGGTGGACCCATGGTGGACTTGATGTGCAGTGACCGAATGTTCTGCCAGTTCTTCTTCAACAGGGACACCAGGTAGTTGATGGCCAGATTGATGTTCTGCGCCAGCTCGTCCGGGGTCATTTTGACGTTCCCCACGGCAACAGCAAGGCACAGCACCTAGCACAGAAAAACGAAAAGATTGCAGTGAGAACCAAGTCAAAATGCCGCATACTGTACACAAAACCATGTCAGTTGTCAGAGGTGCACGAGTAATCAATAAAAGTTCATTGCCCAGTGCTAGACTCATCAAATGCATACACCAACAAGCAGAGTGGTGCAAAATATATTCCAAGTGCTAAAGAGAAATTTGTTGCACAAATACTGTTGAGAAATGTAACATAAAATGAGTACAAAGCATTCGTTCACAAGTATTCGGAGCTGCTTGAAATATAAAAGGCATAGACGTGATACAAAATGTACCATTATGCAAATTTATGAGCTTTGAGTGCAGTCCAGTAAACTCCTTTCCTCGTCTCCGCTGCCGCGAGTGTTGCATGATAATGCACTCTACTAGATTAACTATACAGACTGAGCAAAGTATCTGACGAGAGCATACCTTCTTCATCTGGAACTTGATGGTGGCCTTCACCTCGTCCAGCTTCGCCATCATGGACTCGTTATGGGTGAGAAGGGTGGGGAACTTGCCCGCCTTGTTCAGGCCAGGGCCCAGCAAACGGGGAATCTGCTTGATCAGCGACTCGGACGCCATGAACGCATCGTACTTCTTGGCTGCGGAAGTGAGAAGCAGAAGCAAGCACTCAGCACAACCCAAACCGGTGGCAAGGCAAAAGCAGGCTTTGCAAGTCTGCAAGTTGTGTCAAGAGCAAGCTACCAGTTCAGACTTTGTTGGGTCTATCACAGGAAGTTCAGGTAATACATGCAGTTTTGTAAAGTCATCATTCTGGTAGCGTACATCATCTTATTCGTAGCAATATGCCACAATGGAGAGCACTCGAGAGCAATTCAGCCATTTGGAGTTCAACATGTGCCTAATTAGGAGTGTACCTTCACAGTTGCATTCCACATACACTGAAACACAGAGTGCGAGAAACATTTGGGTTTTCTTGAGCACACATATGTTACAACAGCGGTGGCGTAGTAGCGCGCAAGATTACATAAGAGCACTGCACACAATAATAAGAATGAAAAAAAGGCACACACCAAGTTTCTTGACGAGCTTCTTGCTTTTGTTCAGCTTCTTCAGCGCCTCAGTGTCCATGCAGGCAAGGTTGTTGGCCTTGGCTTCATCACAGTGCTGCTGGTCACCCAACACGCACACCTGGAACTTGGGTCTGGGGATGTGCTTCAGCCTGCAAAGCGGAAGGGTCAGCATCTTCAACACCCAAGTAACACAAGCTTCAAATCAATACCAGCGTGCACAACTCGTATAGATACCGCACACCTTTACCCTGCACACAGTGAACATGCTACGAATGGGTTGAACTCTGTAGAGCCAAGTGCACAACAGATACCACTGCGGCCCCAGTACAAAGAGTTGCATCTTGCTCAGAAATGCACGTGTAATCAACTCTGTTCATTGCCCAGTGCTAGCATCATCACAGCAATGATGCAATTGCTCTTCACAGCCCTATCACTATTACAAGACCTTAGCCTGTATCGAAGGTAAAGCAAAGCACTTCAAATAAAGGCTGCCCCCAGTGCAAAGAAGCAACAGCCACGGCACTTCAAAAGCAGCAACAGTCGCAAAACACACCCTGCCTATTACGTCAATCTACAAGCTACGGTGATGACAGTTTAGACAATTTTGTCCATGTTTGTCAGTCTTCAATGGCCAACAAAGGAACGAATCGGTATGGTGCAACTTGGTGCTGCCTCCTAAGCAACCCGGTGTAAATTTTCATGCACACCGCTCATACATACGACAGTGAGCGTCCAGGCGACACGGCAGAGGCGAACAGTTATTTGGTGCCGCCGAAGCGAAAACACCTCCCCACAGTTTTAAGACTCTGGGTACGAGTCCGCCCGGCATTTCATGTGACAGAAAAGCCGAGCTACCTGTTGCACTGCAGACCCTTGGCGTCTCATGGGGAATTCGCAAAAGGCGACTGTCTCTACACACAACTGTCAGCACCACTGAAGAATCGCTCTTATTTCAGAAACTTGGCACTAGTCAGTCGAGCCCCCAAATCGGTGACGCTATCTAGCAGCTCAGACAACATGGCAGTGACGACAAAGGTCATTTCCACTGTGCTGCCACTGCAATTTATCGACAGTGCCTGCACCACCTTGTTCTCTAGAGGTATCGCGATAACCCTAGCCGATCGTTACCGGGTTAGCATCGACCGTGAAGCCAGTATCGCGCGGAACGGATAATTTAAAACAGAATGCCGTACATAATAAGTCTCTTATTGCTGCGCCGCCCAAATCAGCAAGGCAGTTGATGCGCATACGCTCTGGGAAGCCCCCATCTTGCATTTCACTGCACAACCGCGACTCGCGGGAAGATCACGCTACGATCTAGATAACGCGCGCTTTTACCGATCAAGTTTGAATGAAAGTTAGCGTTATCAAAACTGGGGTTTCGAAAGCGCGATAGCTCTGCTTCGGAAAATTGGTTAGTACTTATAGATTACGTTTGAATGAGATTTAGGCCTAAGTGGGCCCGCAAGGCTGCGAAGACGCCAAAGGCTGCGCGTTTCAGGTCAAGTTTTTGTGCGTGCGATGCTGCTCCAGGCGAAGCAGTGAAGATGGCGTGCGCCGAAGCCTACTTGACTGTGCCCGAGAAACGCTTGTCCTTCTGGGGATCGTAGTTCTTGAGCGCGATCTGCAACTCCACCGTCTCGAGGAACTTGCGGTGCTTGCGCGCAGACTCCTGCAGGACTGCATTGACGCAGTCGTAGAGCGTGTCCCTGCTCACTTTCGAGCTGCGGGAATGAAGACGAGAAACAGAGTATGATCAGTACTACGGTATTCATCAAGTGTGCGCTAGGGCACCACGAAGCGAAGAGATCGGCGAGATATACTAAAAAAATTTGACGTTTACTACTGAAATCTGGCTACATGCTGAATTGTAACGAACCTTACTATGGATTATTACACACATTACTGAGTTAAATATCCAGAGAACAGAGGATTTCAATTGATGACATACCTCATGGCTAGGCAGCCGAAGCGACCACGTACCCGGCGTACGACCAAAAGAACAAACGGAAGCGCTTACTGAACTTTTCGTGTTTTTCACGTGACCACATATGTCACATCCTGGATGGATTGATATGGCTGTACCCTTTAAGTTGGGCGGCGGCTAACGCCACCTAGCCATAATGCTTAGGGAACCAAAAACTATACTTTTTTTTTCCCTTTAAATAGTGACGTTGAAGACTGGTACTACAGTGTCTAGAATAGGTATTTTTTAGAGACTGTATTGGTACTTTGAGTGATGCGTCACATGCAGCGCCCTAGTGAGTAAAACTAAAAACGTATTTTTTTGTTTTGCAGGTAACTAAATTTTACACAAAGTGCACTAGTTTATTTGCTTTAAATTTGTTTTACAATCGAGGAAAAATAGCATTTTATTGTTGTTGGTATATTTTTACGGGAATAAGCAGTAGAACGTCAGCGCCTCGACGGCTGAGCATAAAGAAGGTACGCTGATTGTGATTGGTTCACCACCTCCAATCAGTGACGTTGTGCAAGCGTTTACGCCAATCATGTGACACCTTATTTCTCTCTTTCCGAAAGCGCAGGCTGGGCCCGTCATGGCTGCGAATGCTCTGCGAGTGCGGCGGCGGCTGAACATCATGGCTTGAAGAAAACAGCGGTGGTCGTGCGGATAACTCCCCCCCATTTTTTTGGTCAATTTTTTTTTTAAATCCGTTTAGGACGTACCGCCGAAGAAGAGGCTTGCAAGGACGAAACCAGGCCGGACTAACTGCGAAAATGACTCCAGGAGAGTCCGTCGATTCGGCCGAGGCAAGTGCCCTCATTTTCTCGAGACCTTCCGGAGCGGTTCTATCATTCCTTTCAATAGCCTCTAAAAGAGATAGACCCTTTTAACGGCCCGTACCCGGATCGTTGTTACCGAACCGCTGACAGCGGCATTTGCCGCTCGGTTTCACCGCGACGTTACACAAGTCAGCTGTTACACAAGAAGCAGGTGCTGCGTAAAAGTGCTCCGCACTGTTGACGGCAGCTCGTTTCGGTTCTCCGGCGCACGTCGGTGCCGCTTACTTGCCTCCGTCACGCGTGTTGTCGACGACAGTTTTCTTTTTCCTCGCTCACTCTTTTGTCCATTGTCTCTTGGTAGACGACACTGCGTAAGCCGCTTGCGGGGCGAGTGCCAATCAAGAACCTGTAGCCTCTACGCGACGCTCATGTGCCCTGTTTGTAGTAGTACGGGATGGGGTGCGTGGCTCTTAATGAATGGAGTGAAGCTGTTTTCGTGCTTTTCGCAGCTGCTAGTGTACGGTGGTCACCGACGGAACTGGCGTGGGAGGTTGAGAAACGTGGGTAACACGTTTTTATTTCCCCGTAGCGTTGCTCGGTGTTCCCGTCAGTCGGTGGCAGCACACGCGGCGAAACTGAAGCGGAAAGGAGGGGGAAAAAAGAAAATTCGGAAAACGAAAGGCGTGGGAGTTTTTTGTTAAGGAGCGACTTCGCATGCGCTCAGCGGAGGGGGAAAAAGAAGTTACAACACTGAACCCTTGCCGTGCGGTAACCTAGGCAAGGGGATCTTAGCCGGCAGTCGCCAAAAATGGGGCAGCGCCGGCGGGTATTTTTAGCCGCTTTCAGGCAACGTTTGCAGGCGCGCGGTCGCAGTTTTAAAAATGCGAAGAGGTGTCTCGGACTAGTCCTGCCGCCTCGCTAAAGACACGGGTTTATTTCGCTTGCATTGAGAAAGCCGGCGCAGTTTCGAAACCAGAGACGGCGCCGAACATTTTTGGTTGGTAGCTAACCTAAACACAGCGCCGCTTCGTGGCCGTTGCACTGTAGCCGTAACGAAGCTGTAATCATCCCGGTGGACTATTTTACCTAGCGTAAACAAAGTTTATGGCTGTTCAAGTTAATGTTCGCATTGCTAGGATGCCGTCACATTTCCCGTGGCTTTGAAGGAAACGTTACGAAACTCGTAGATTGCTTTTTAGATAAGCGCCATAGATACGACCTGGTGATTGCCTCTCCCCTGTGGTTTCGGTACGTCGCTCCCAGAGCGCGCAATCTTTGGTCTGCCCGCGTGTTTGGCTGCAATCCAATGTAGATATCTGCATACAAATTGTAACACTCAATAAGTTAGCATGTGTTGTGTGTGCCGGGTAATGAGGACATGCTTGCACTTTTTAGCTTACATTCTTTAGGCCTTATTAGAGCTGACAGTCAACATGTTGTATTTTGTTTGCAAGGGCGATAGGCACTGCGAGTACATTGTCTGGCCTAGACCGCCAGTGCATCTCTTCAAATACATACATGCTTCAATAAAAGCATCTACACTGCTTGTTCGAACAGTTGTAAGATCAGTGGGGCAATCGTTATCGGCAGCGTTAACTCTCTTGTCAACATGTCTCTTCGTTCAGGTTCAGTGTAGTCCGGGATCACTTCGGAATACTGGCTTATAGGACTGTCGAAGCGAAGTGCAACTTCCTTTCTGACGCAGTGTGTTTGGCAAATAGATGTGGTCAACTGCAACAGTTTACGAACCACGCGAGCGTGTTGTGAAGAGCCTGTGTTTGACGCTTGCACAACGTCAGCAGCACAACGTGCAAGTCTCATTCCTCGTTTAATCGGTGGCCTGGCTATTATCTGGGAAGATTTGACACTTGCACAACGTCAGCAGCACAACGTCCAAGTCTCATTCTTCGTTTAATCGGTGGCCTGGCTATTATCTTTGGAAGATTCTATCTCGAGAACATCCTATCAGCGTAATTGTTTTAGTCGCAATCATTCACACTAAGAGATGCCTCCCCAGCAGCACACCATGCATCGGTGGTACTGCTATCAAATTAGACATGTGACAATTATGTTACAGATAAACGCACTGCATAAAAACGGCCATCTAACGATGTCCTTTGGCAGTGGGAAGTTTAAATGCCAGTGAGTAACCTGTTTTCTACCCAGCACTGCAGTCAATGGTAAGCGGCACAGACAGCCAGTTTAGCATGTGGTTGATTGTACCTTTGAAATGCCTCTGTAATAGGTACACCCATCACACCCAAGCGTACGGTCACATAGACTGCCAACATTGAGCGCTTTCAAACTCTTCGGTGTTGCTTTGAGGCCCGCGTACTTGAATTTAGGTGCTTGTTAAAGAACCCTACGTGGTCGAAACATCCGGAGCCTTCCACTGTGGCGTATCGTGGTTTTGTGACATTAAACCTCAGATAAGAGAAAAAAAAAAAACTCATTGTTGTTAACTATGCGCATGTTTTTACCATTCTGAGCCCATCGAACAAATTTTATTTGTCAGTCAGGCATGTCTTCACCAGCACTGCATAGATGTCCCTCACTCGGGTTCAGTGCACCAAATGTTTACCCTCGCCCCGCCGCGGTGGTCTAGTGGCTAAGGTACTCGGCTGCTGACCCGCAGGCCGCGGGATCGAATCCCGGCTGCGGCGGCTGCATTTTCGATGGAGACAGAAACGTTGTAGGCCCGTGTGCTCAGATTTGGGTGCACGTTAGAGAACCCCAGGTAGTCAAAACTTCCGTATCTCTCCACTACGGCGTCTCTCATAATCATATGGTGGTTTCGAGACGTTGAACCCCACATATCAATCAATCGATCCCTCGTAATCTAACCATATGGTTCCAAGACATGAAAAGCTCAAATTATTATTGATAGGATGGCTTTGCTGGACCACATAGACATGGCTTGACAGTACAATTTGTGCATATTGTGGGAGTGCGAAAAGAAAAACAAACACTTGAATAACTTGGGCTAGAGTGCTGACATAGCTTTGATAATACCATGAACTGTCAAACGAATGAATGTATCACTCAGGAGAGAGGTCAGTTCAGAATTTTTTTTTTTTTTTGAAGCAACTGTACACTCGGAGAAAAGATGGAGTAATAAGGGCATATATTTGTCCACAGCAATAATCGTCTGTCTTGCTTTCTTTTCCGTGCGCTATCGCTGTGCGCCCCGTACTTTCAGGTCATAAACGACATGTGCGTTATCACCAGGACATTACATTCCTGATAGAAAAGTCGCCTGCGCTGAGTTTTCAAGAAAGGAAGCCCAAGCAAGCGAGATGACTTTTATTGTCGGGGAACAAAAACACACCCTTTTTACTTCAATCTTCTTTAGAGCGTAATGAAGCTACAACTTTCATGTTCGTTGTGTCATGTGTACCACCAGTTTAGCAGAGTGAGAACTGTTAGCCTAAGTGTAAGGCGAGAGAACAAAAGGCGGCCGATACGTGTGATTGTTTTTTGTGAAAGCCATAGGCAAAGGTTAAGGGGAGGTTCAAAGTATAAAAACAGACAATTACGTGAATTGGTTGCCACTTGTCTTAAAGGAATTCCGACGCCATTTTTGGAAGGAGAGTTTACTCTTTCCATACAAATCTCCTGTATACAGAGATGGCTCTGAGCAAGTGTGACGCTCGGCAAATGCTAAGATATATTATTTTAATTTCAGTGAATTTTCTGGCACCAACTAGACATTAGGCTACAATACTAATAATGGCGATTTCACGCAGCAGTCTGGCTAGTTGTGGTGACGTGAAGCACCAAAACGCAAAAAATGGCAGCTTGCGCGTCGCTTTCTCAAATAATCTGCTTGCGCCGTGTGGGCCTGCAGTAACCATCATCCAGCGTACCTGTGAAGCGAGTGGGCGGAGTCTGGAATAGCGTACGTGCAAGTATAACCGCCCAGTGGCACTGCTCATACTATGTCGTGACGTCAGGGTACAGTAAAAACAGAAAATAACTTTTAAAAGCATGCTGTAATTAATTTTTCAGGGATCACTCATGCTTACCGGTAGATTTCCTGCGCTCCCGGGGGTTCGACCTACCATTTTGCACGCCCCGCCGCGGCGGTCTAGTGGCTAAGGTACTCAGCTGCTGACCCGCAGGTCGCGGGTTTGAATCCCGGCTGCGGCGGCTGCATTTCCGATGGAGGTGGAAATGTTGTAGGCCCGTGTGCTCAGATTTGGGTGCACGTTAAGGAACCCCAAGTGGTCGAAATTTCCGGAGCCCTCCACTACGGCGTCTCTCATAATCATATGGTGGTTTTGGGACGTTAAACCCCACATATCAATCAAATCATTTTGCTCAAGAAAAAAATGAAAAGTTTCGTGGCGGTACCTCTTTAAAAACAGGGCAATGATGAAGGAAGACCAAGCTGCATCCATCCTGTTTGGTCTTCCTTTGTCGTGTCGCTTGTGCCATTTTTAAGATGAGCTCAATGAACTTGTAGTAACTAAGTCTGGTTGATGTCCATGTGCATATGTTACTAGCATTTGGCCGGCACTTTAAATGGTAGTGATGCTAAATTTAAAAATGTTTGTGTTATGGCTGCAAAAAAATACTGTTGCTGGCAACTTTAAATAGAGAACTGGGGTGAAACGGTGTGCATTAAATACATTTTATACTGCTCAAAACAAAGTTTTCTCTTTCGATATTAAGGGGGCGGTTGCATGTTGACACAGTATGACATGTGTGCCTCCATTGTGGGGATGGCAAGTGTTGACTTAATAACAGCCGCTCTCATTTGCTGTCGTCTGCGCGAGCAAGTAAAGAACAATGAATTGTAATACAGCAATTTTGACATCGTGCGAGGCGTTGCTAGGTTCACAAATCTGGGGAACTGTGTTGACTTGTCGTGCTATTCGTTGCAGAGAGGCTGGCTAGCAGATGATTGGTAATGAAAGCTTCAAAAGAACAATGGAAATATTTTGCTCTAGTTTTCTGACTCTGGTGTTTGCAGAGAGTTATAGGACACTAAAAAGAAACTGTTTTTTTCAAATTTATAGTTACTCTTTTGCAATACTAAAATAAGCATGCTTGTTGTAAGAAGGCTCCTGGAAAGCAAGAAAATGCACAAAAATAAAATGCGGCGAACACCTGCACTACCTGTGATGTCGTATATTTTGACGTCTGCTACGGCCCAACTAGTTCCTAGATTTTAAAAGTGAACCACATTGCCTTCTCAGGAAACCAAAGGCTGGCCATACCAATTGTCAGGAAATTTCAATTAGCCATTGTGGCCAAAATGCAAGACATTTCGAGAATATGGTATGTCACCATAGATTTTGGCAGGGGGGGGGGGGGGGTATGTAATTAAGAAACCTCCGACATTTTTTTTTTCAGTTCATTAATAACACTATGGTTTTTGGTTGCTAATTTATCAGTCTAAACTGATCAACTACATTACATTTGGGTCCCTTTAGTACTGCATGACTAGGAGACCCAAACATGTCCTTTTGCGATACCTCAAAATTGTGGCAGCGCACCTTTTGCAACAGTCCTCCAGCATCGTGCATTGCTGCACGATGTCACCTATGCGGCAGGATGCATGGTGTCTGTCGCAGTTTAGAAGTTCGTTGACATTCCCGGCATGTAGGCGAGTCAGGTGGCATCGCCTGGCAGGCAGTGCCAAGTTTTGTGTCCCCGACATTTTTTTTTTTTTGCGAGGATTCCTCAGTCTCGTTTGAAAGCCTGCTTTATTGGCCGTAGCCGCTCACCGACTATTTCTGAATGGGTCAGGTGTTTCGCTCTGCTGCGAATGAACGCTAACACTGGCATGTTGCCAAGCACGGCTGTAAAAACTGTGCGACCAGCATTTGAGCGTTCAATGCAGTAAAACAGAGTGCCAGTTGCCTTCTGGCCGGCAGTGGCTTTTGTTTTCGTTCCATACACTAGCAGTGCCTAATTCGAAAAGTGCCTTGTATTGCATAATGGGCCTTTTTCTGCTTTTATGTTGAAAAATATCATGATTCAACTTTATAAACTTACTCAGAGTTGGAAGAAATTGTACTCTCATTCGTGCTGCTACAAACTAAGAAGGGTTACAAGCTAAGAAGAAGAAGCATCAGCTTTGCCCACAGCCATGGCTGCCCCTCTCTCATAAAATTAGCAGAAATTAGCTCCATTCAGCAGTACGTACTCATTTTTATGACATCAATCACATTCTGCTTGTTTCATATAAACTTTCCCACACCATGGCTGGACTGAAAAAACATGCGAGCATTCAGGTTACCTACTGCTGCAACACTGAACGCGAGAACCCAGATATTATTATCCCTGTTATGCAGAGCATGGATATGTACGACTTCCACGCTGTCTAATTGCATCTCCTTCGGAAAAAAATGCACGTGACCTTTTTGTTTCAAAATGCTAGCTACACTCACACTGTGGGACCATTTCGTGCTTTCCAAAGCTGGTCTGTCTGCCGCACCTGTTTGTTTGCCATGTTGTAAACCTGCCGATGGCGATCCCCTGACATAAGGTTCTCCACTCTAAACTTCCATTTTATTGTTTTTCAGGTTCCCCTGGCATCGGAAAATGGGGCGCTGTGCATTATTCGGAACATGACAACTGGACAGGTGAGAACGACATTTTGTCGGTATGTGTAGGTTACGCGATGTCAACCATGCTTTCAAGTCCACCAAGTTTATGCACGCGTTAACAAGATGATGGGAGCGATCGAACACGCATTATTTAAAGGTCGCTGCTGAATAAGCTCTCTCACTTTCCTGAACACATCTTCGATCGAGGCGGAAATGCTGTAGGCCCGTGTGCTCGAATTTGGGTGAACGTTAAAGAACCCCAAGTGGTCAAAATTTCTGGAGCCCTCCGCTCCGGCACCTCTCATAATCATATGGTGGTTTTGGGATGTTAAACCCCTATATCCAATCACTTTGCTGCACACACAAGTATTAAGGAGGCCCTGCAACACTCGTTCAGGTAATTGTTAAATGACCTCATTGTCAATGTACATTGTTTTACGAACCAACCCCTGCAAAAATGTTTGGAGCAGTCCACTACAAGTGAAGTTAGAAGGATTTGTTGCACATTCTGAGCGCTTCTGTTGCACATACATTCTGTTGTTGCACACATTCTGTTGCACATACTAGCTGCATACCAGCTTATGGCATATTTCATTATGAATATAAATATTTCTTAGATTCTTAAGTGATATTTTAGACTTCAGGAGTCATTAGGAGCATGCATCTGCTCCGAAAACACCAATATGAACCCTAAGCTGTAGCATTTTTTTCTGCTCCAAAATCTGCTCCGAAAAGCAAAATGTTGCTTCTATCACTGCTAATGGGTCGTGTGTAAAACCCACCACCACCATTTTCCCTTCAGAATTTATTCCGAATTACAAGGTATAGCAGACTCTCGGTAAATTGAAATCCTCTAAGCGGAACAGTAGTCTCTAATACGAATGCTTTTGCGGCATGACTTCTGCGCACCTGTTCATCTACTGTAGACGAAACTACCGTTAAATTGAGCATTTATTTCCGGTCCCTGCAGCGTTTAATGTGTGAGATGGATAGGCTGAAAGCTGTCCTGTTGTATTGGCACATACATGCCTGTGCATTCATTAATAACCCTGTGACACGCGAAACCTTAATGCCATTTGTAGCAAAGGACATCCACATTAAATGGGGTTAGCTGGATTCCGCTTAGTGGACATCCATTATTAAATGAACTTGACTTGTGCAAAATTAATTGAGCTTGTTGAACTCTTTTGAATGCCCAGTGACATCAGTGCAGTCTGATAGACGTCTGGCATCAACATTTTTCAATTAAATTTGATACATGTAACATCTTTTTTTTTTTTCTTGTTCACTCCAGTCTTCTGGTGCATCATAATTGCCATCATCTGCAAGTTGCATAACATCCTGCCATGTAGCTGCACACAGTGCCTTATGTGATTTCACATGTCAAATTCATTATTTACAGACATTTTATCCCAGTTAGCAAAAGTGTTCTACAGTCACCATTGTGGCCATGAGTGGCTCTGATGAACACTCCCAGGAGGTTTAAGTGCACTGATATAACCTGATAAGGTGGACGGAGAGGTGAGCACCACCGTAGTCAATTGGCAAAGCATTGGATGCATTGTTCAAAAGTTACTCCTAGGATCATTCCCTGCCGGCAGCAAGAAAACTTTTCATCCACTTTAATTTCCTCACGTGTACATTGTAAGTACGGCAAAGAACGTCCGCTGTATTTTCCCTGACTTCATTATCGGTCGGTTTTTTATTAGATGCAAATGACGTTGAACCTCCTCTCTCGTACTCTCTCCCAATTCAGGCCCACAGTTCCACCGGGGAGGGTATGGCGAAGGTTACCATGATGCTTCCGGTGACGACGACGGCTGCGGAGTTGATGGACGCTGTCGGTCGCCACTTCCAGTACGCACCAGACTCGTTTGAGCTGCTTCTGCAGAGGGTTACCGACGGCGACTGTGTGAGTTGGGCTGCTTGCTGCTGCTCTTGCGCTGGCGTTGCAACTAATTTAAATGTTTCCTATGTCAAATTAAGTACTCTGTTAAATTGATGGTTCGAATGCAATAGGCACCATTTGTGAAGCGCATGTTGTTGTGATATGTGTGTGTGTGTGTGTGTGTGTGTGTGTGTGTGTGTGTGTGTGTGTGTGTGTGTGTGTGTGTGTGTGTGTGTGTGTGTGTGTGCGTGCGTGCATGCGCACACGCACACGCACACACACACAGTCGAACTTCTTTTTAAGAGACACTAATATAAGAGACAAACGGGTATAAGAGACACCAGTTTGTCTACAGTAAAATACGGAGGATTAGAAAATGCATGTAAGGTCCCCTGCTTATAAGAGACATCTTATATAAAATACAAGAATCGCTGCCCGGAGGATGCCTCTTATAAAGGGGTTTAACTGTATATATAATTAAAATGTGTTAAATGTGCGTTACAAAAAAAAAACTTTATTTTGCTGTAGACCGAACCCATAGGTTGTATGTTTGGTCCCTACTGGTTTCAAGTCGCCCCGCCACGTTGGTCTAGTGGCTAAGGTACTCAGCTGCTGACACGCAGGTCGCGGGTTCGAATCCCGGCTGCGGCGGCTGCATTTTCTGATGGAGGGGGAAATGTTGTAGGCCCGTGTGCTCGGATTTGGATGCACGTTAAAGAACCCCAGGTGGTCGAAATTTCCGGAGCCCTTCACTACGGCGTCTCTCATAATCATATGGGGGGGGTTTTGGGACGTTAAACCCCACATATCAATCAATCAATACTGATTTTAAGTAGAGTTTTGTTCATTTGTACATCTCTTTATCTGATTATTGCTACACAATGCTAAATGCAAGTAAGGTCCCCCCCCCCCCCCTAATTTTTTTTCTTAGCCATTTTTTGGCATTGCACCATGTTTTTTCGCGTATATAACCTCCCCTCCCCTGACAACGGTTTAAGAAAAACTTTCTAAAATGAAACTTGGGTTGTGCCGTTTGGTTACGTAGCTGGAAAGCACAGCTGTAAACCCGCATTTTCCGATAGGAATTGGCATTCTTAATTTCCACCCTAGCTCCAAATTAAAGAAAAAATCGTGCAGGTTATATGTGAGAAAATGCAGTATATGCTTGTGCAACACTGATGGGGCCTCTCAATCAAGTATCTTTGTTTCCGTAATTAGGGTGTAGACTTTAATGCAGAATGCATGGTCAGTCTCGTGACGCTGCACATTCGAACCACAGGTCTCGGTGCACACTTGCGGCGACAAAACCATCCAGGAGATTGGGTTTCACACAGATGGAACAACCCGCAACGTACTAGTCATATACGACCGGGACCGGGAACCCCCAAAACGGTTGATGGTGAGTACCTTACAGCCTACTTTTTTCCTGAACCTTATCACTCCCGGATTGTTGGGTGAGTCGGTTCAGCTGGCAGAGTCGGTGCACGGACTCTGGCGTAGAGTAAGGCCTCGCAATCGATGACTGTAACATGTCACTATAGCAAGGCGGAATCTGAAAGTCGTATCTAGTGAGTGGCAGCCCCGCCACTCTGGTCTAGTGGCTAAGGTACTCGCCTGCTGACCCGCAGATCCCGGGATCGAATCCTGGCTGCGGCGGCTGTATTTATTTCCGATGGAGGCATAAATGCTGTAGGCCCATTTGCTCTGATTTGGATGCACATTACAGGACCCCAGATGGTCGAAATTTCTGGAGCCCTTCACTACGGCGTGCGTCTCTCATAATCATATGGTGGATTTGGGACGTTAAACCCACATATCAATGTATCTATTGAGTGGGAAGTTGCCCAAAGTGCCTTGCTTACTGTTATTCCATTTCGCTGTCGTATTCTGTCAAATTCTGGCTAGTACTTGGCGTTGCTGTCACTAACGAACCGCTCGTGCAGGAACGTCTTTATGAATTGGAGCTGTTGCTCTTTAGCAGCGGAAGAAATGCCGCGCTATTAGCAGGCTATTTAAACCTACTTCCATATGAAGTTATCGACATACCAAAGTATTTCACTTTAAACAGCTTCCTGCCCACAGGACGCCATCTACTACCCGCGTCAAATGAAACCCCAACAGCGGCAAGCATTAGAAATCATATTGTAGCACGTGACATGCAGTCTTCACTTTGTGACCTTTGATGACTATAGTTCGCATAAAATGTTGAATTTCAATTTACAGGAACTCTTAATAATTTAAATTTGAGAATACATCAGTTTGTTTTAATTATCAGAAGCTGTCTCATATGACTTATACCTGTGCCACATGGGCATAGAAAATGACATTCGTTAGCGAAGGCATTCAGTTCCCGAATGACATTTTTGTGCTACGGCACTGCTACACATATAAAGTGAATGACATTTGACTTGATGATGTCAATCGCAGCACCTTCCTCGTGGGCATCGAGTGAGTAGCAATGCAAAAATAAACAAGCGTTTACAGGCTTCATAAACATCAGATAATAAATAAATGTGTAAATAAGCAAATTTTGCTGCCGTTAGATTTCGTTCGTTACATTGTTTCACAACGTTGCAACCGACCGTGTAGCAAATTAAGCCAAAGCTAGTCAGATCTGCAGCGTAAAAAGAAAATGGTGCCTGTCGCATTTATTTTACAGTGTCGACCAGCTGAAGATGAGTTTTAAGCACTTGTTTAAGTGATTGGTGTAAATAAAATGTGTGAAAAGTTTTCTTCCAGTCGAATCAAATGTCGTTTTATACAATTACTTCGTCAGCTGTGCAGTCGAGACCACACATTTCTCAGTCGATTGAGTTCTGCCAATGGCATTATGTAGGTGACGAATGGCGTTTGGGCGAATGCCATTTTGTTCGTTCTTGTGGCACCGCGCGAATGACATTCAGTTTGAAGGCATTAGGAGGTAAGTGCCATTTTCTCTGCCTGTGTGGCACGGGTATTAAGAGCAACATATCAACTAGCGCTCTGATGTTCCTCGGGGCTGTAGTAATGTGATAGACAGCTCTCAGTGGTTGTCATTAAATATATTGTGTCAGTGTTAATACTGGTGTACTTATCATTATGCAGCATCCGCACGTGTGTAATCAAAACTAAATGTGTTGTGTCCTGTGAAAGCTGCTAGCACCTTCCCATATTTAAGATGGTTTTCTACATGACATCAGTGTATTGTTGCAAAAGGATTGACAAAAGCCAGACAGTCCTTGATTTTTTTCTCTTCCTCGACCAGCGTGCAGTTGTCGGTGTGTGCATTTCGACTAGTTTGGCCATTTCAGTGCAAGCAATCAGCTTTATCTCCAGCTGTTAATAACACAGAAAGTGCAAATGTTGAGCTAGAAGCAACAAAGTCATCAAGTTATTTCTCGACATTGATGAACAAAAAGATGGAATTAAAAGTTTGTACAATGGAAAAGTTTGAATGTGGCTTTAAAATAGTTTGAATATATGGCAGGGTAACTAAAAATATTTGGCTTGTTAAAATTGACCTAAAGTTTGAATTGTAGAAAAGTTACTGTGTTGAAGTGTCAAAATAACAAAGTGAATAGCCGATTTTATCGACTTCATTTTCATTTGACAGAGTTGCACTTTCGCGAGACTAGCTTGTTCCCTCCGCTTTAATGCTGTCAACGCACCCCGTTAAGAACTCTGGGGATGGTGACAGAACCGAAAAGGTAGTTCTGGATGAATACAATTCTGTGTGAACCTACACATTGCTTGCAGGGGCCTGAACCGGAAGAGGGCAGTTCCTCGACCTCCACGGCAGCCGACTGGGTCCGCAACACCCGAGGCGCTGCCGGTGAGAGCAAGTGCTACCCGGCAGAAACCAAGGATGCCATCGGTACGCTTGCTTTATTTTTTTATTTGCTTGTTCCACGTTTACTCGCGTAATTTATGCACTTTTTTTTTCACGATTTTAGAGCTCTGAAAAGTGTGTGTACCAATTATTTGGATATTTCGCAAACACGTCCAGAAAAATGTGCAATAGTACATACTCCTGACACCAGCAGTATATACATTAAAAAGAAGGAAAATAAATTGGAGCACAAAAAGCGTGTACTTGTTCATTTAACAGATTCGCATCAGCTTTTCTGAAAAAAAGATGAGTTTGTTACGCGAGCAAATAAGGTATAATCTACAAAGCAACAGCACTAATCACACAAAATCTTATAGCTTGGACACTGAACTTCCAAATTCTTTTTTTCAACTTGGATGGTTCGATTTCTTTCTGCTGTGCTCAATGTTCCACCTTGTCTGTATTTTCAGAAATGCACGACTTGTTGACCATTGAAACTTCTGTGTTAAGCAGCGTTTAAATTTCTGCTTACTCGCTAAGGCACTGCTTGGCAGCCACATTTCAGAGTCGTCAGGGCAGAGTGCAAAAGTACCTGCGTATTGTGACCACAGTAAAATGCCTTATGTTATAATAATCAGTCTCTTTGCCGCTGTTGAGTAGTCACAACAGAGCAGCATTTATTATGTGTTGGTAGTGCGGTAGATTCGATGCATAAAAGGCTCAATGAATCATTCGCGTTTGCTTTTTCTCCAGGTTACGTGGGCCTGGTCAACCAAGCCATGACCTGCTACCTGAACAGCCTGTTACAGACCCTTTACATGACGCCCGAATTTAGAAATGCATTGTACAGGTTAGTTAAAAAATCTACTGTTTTCGAATCTAAAGTTGACGTCAAGTTAAACAAGCGATTGCAATGTGCGACCTTTGCAACCTTTGCATAAGGTGTAAAAATACGGTCCCGGAGGTCGTGACGTTGACTAAGACAGCAGTCAGTGTGTTCAAGATGAAACATCTGGCTAAACTTGTGTCTGTTGTCGATAATCTTATTTGTTGTAAGTCGGGGCGGCATTGTGCATGTGGCACTGAACATTCAAATCTTATAGCTGGTGTTCACGTAAGCTCTCGAATAAACTTCACTATTTGTGTCCTAGGCGTAATTTTAACAGAACGATCGAACCATTGCGAAGCTCCCCAAGCACTGCGGTCTGCACTATCTTTTTGCAGACCGCAATGCTTTCTGGCTGAAACCTAATACACTTAAGCCCCGTAATAACGAATCCAAGTATAGCAAAATATCAGTTATAATGAAGTGAATTACAATGTCATCCAATAGCTATAGTGTAAAAGCTAACCTTTATAACAAACACTTGAATATAAGGAACTTATTTTTGTACAAGATGCAATGCTGTTTTAATGTGGGGGGAGTGTACATAGATCAATCAAGTCTTTATTGCCAACAGTTCTTACAATTTGTTCGGGGTCCTTCAGGCGAAAAGCTGTTGCAAACAGCTTAAGAGTGCCTGAAAGCCCTTCATAACAACACTATACACAGCGTACAACAAAATAATGTAAATAAGTGCATAACTTGTATCAATAACAATATATTAGAGAAACATATAAGAAATGAGTTGATGTAAAACAGTGGTCATTTGACAGAGTTAGTGAAAAGGAAAAACAGTTAAGGGGAGACGCGGGTCGAAAAGTCGCGTTTTTTTTCCAAATTTCACCTTTTCTGTTTTTTGTTGCTTCATCATCTTTATACATTATATTTTGACATCTGAAAATATCACAGCGAAATAAGCATCAGAAGTCAGTGAAAAACGCGTCTGAGTGAGCGGCAGTGACGCGCGGCATCACGAAATTTACACAAAACGGGCTGCTGTTCGCGTGCTCGCGGGGCCGCGAAGAGAGCTGTCCGCCATATTGCGGCCGCTGGCTCGTGTAGAGTTGTCCTTACTCTCCACGATCCCGGTTCTTGAAGTCTCGTACGTTCACGAAAAATCTAAAAAAAAAGCAACAAAAACAGTCTTTTCCCGCCGTTTCAAACCGCGCGCCACTAACGCAGGGCCGCCATTGGCTGACAGCACCCGTGTTTTCTTGCCGTAGTTCGCTTCACTGTTTTCCGGAGTTATTTTTCGCTGTTTTCGTGCGATGGCAAGCCCGAAAAAGGCCGTTGCCGACCATCGGAAATACAGAAGTAAGAACAAGTTCAGAGGGAAGCGGCGGAGGACGTACAAGAAAGCCACCGCCAACGAAAATGTCCGCGACGGGCCAGCGGCCGGTAGGCCTAACATCGACCACGGCAACGTCGACCATGGCAACTGCGACGACGAGATCAACGCTGCAGTGAATTTTGTGAGTGCATCGCAGAAAAAGATCGCGTTATTCGAAAACGACGTCAGGCCGAATGCCGATCGTGCCGAAAGCGTAGTGCTGTGCGAGTTGGGTGCATTGACGGCCGTCGTCGCAGGCGCGGCATGCCCCGTTTGTCACGAGAGTAAACTCGCAGTTCGGGCACCGAATAAAAAGCGGAAAGGCCTTTCGGCGTTTCTGGAGCTACACTGCGAGAATGCGGAGTGCTCGGAGAGCATCCTTTCGTCCGCGTACTCGTCGAAGCGGGTCGCGTCAGATGGCGGCCGCGGTGCAAGCAGAAGCTACGACAGCGGGAGTTCGCGTGACGCCTTTGCCGTGAACCTGAAAGTGGTGCTTGCAGCGCGTGCCGTCGGTATCGGGCATGAGCAACTTTCACGATTTTGTGCAGTAGTTGGATTGCCAAACCCTATGCACCATAAGACCTTCCATGCTATCGGCAAAAAGATTCACAGTGCGGCAGTGAAGGCTGTCTGTGAAAACATGCAAAGGGCACGCAGCGTCACCAAAGAGGTGGCTGGTAACAGTGACGTGCCAGTCATGTTTGACGGCACATGGCAAAAAAGAGGCCACAAAAGCCACAATGGTGTGGGAACTGTAGTGTCCTTGGACACTGGTTTGTGCCTGGACTATGAAGTGCTTTCCAACTTCTGCCTGGCGTGCAGTTTGCATAACGACATGGGAGGCGATGAAGAAACATGGCAGGCGTTTCATCATCCCGTTTGTGAGAAGAATTGCGACTGTTCTTCGCATGCCATGGAGGCCGAAGCTGCAGTGCGCATTTGGCAGAGGACTGTGGACTATGAGACACCCCTGCGGTTCACCATCTTCCTAAGCGATGGAGACAGCAAGGCCTACAACGGGGTCTGTGATGCCAACGTGTACCCTGACACTCCAATTGAAAAAGAGGAGTGCACCAACCACGTGGCGAAACGTCTGGGCACCGGCCTGCGGAAGCTGCCAACGCCACTTCCACGAGGGGAGAAGCTGAAGGAGACCACCATCCAGAAGCTTCAAACTTACTTTCAGGTGGCCATTGTGAACAATCGGGGAAATGTCCACAAGATGTACACTGCCATATGGGCCTCATGTTTGCACTCGTGCTCAACAGACGGTGCTGGAAGTCACAAGTTCTGTCCTGCAGGCCCAGACTCGTGGTGCAAGCACCGACGTGCTGAGGCGCAGGGCCAGCCTGCACCGTGCCACACCCCCCTCCTGACCAAGGCCCAGGGTTTGGCAGTCCTCCCAATCTACAAGCGTCTCACAGATGCGAAGCTGCTTGCCCGGTGCCTCCACGGCAAGACACAGAACGCGGCCGAGTCCCTGAACAGCAAAATATGGCTGCTGTGTCCAAAGACCCGGTTTGCTTCCCGGACTGCTGTGGAAACAGCCACAGCCATTGCAGTCCTGTGGTTCAACCGGGGCCACGCGAGCTTTGAAAAGGTGCTGGAAGAGCTTGGGGTGCTTCCTTCGGAGGCCCTGGTTACCCTCAGCGACCGCCGAGACAGCATGCGCATGCACAAGATGAATGTGCGTCAAACCGCTGAGGCGAGGGCACACCGTCGCAGTGCAGCCAAGAGGGCCCGGGTGGAGGAGTCCTGCCGCACCAGCCGGGAAGGGAAAACCTACGGTGCTGGAGAGTTTTAGACAACTGATATTCCCTCTGGACATGTGTGTATGTGTTCAGCACAAGTTTCGTGCTACTGCGTTTTTCATTTTTGTAAATACAGACTTTCAAACTTTCAAACGCGTTTTTCTCATTTCGCAATTTTGGCCAATTTGCATTTTTTGCGGGAAGTGTTTCGGGCACTTAGAATGGTCATACGACGACGAAATTTGGCACACACATTGAGGAGAGTGCGTAGGGTGCCGATATCTACTTGAATCAGCACAACCTATCAGCTGTAAATATCTATTAATAAATTTAATGGTGGTCGAGTGGAAAAAAAAGGGTAGTTTGCTACACAGATGTTTTTTTCATAGTTTCAAAGTTGGAGCACAATTTCTAGCTAGATATCGGCACTCTATGGCTAATAGGGAGCAAAAGGAGCCATTGAACAACTCTCTGCATGAACATTTAGTATGCGCGAAAGTTCCCGGAAAACTTATCAAGTTTCACCATTACTTGAAACACAACTCCCAAACTATTGCACTTATGTAAAAACTGATTACAGATTTGGAATCAGGAGGAAAAACTGCATCAGTGGTCCAATTTCTGAAGCTCTAAGTTGAATAACAAAAAAAAAGTGCTTTCGAGGAGCGTCTCCCCTTAAACAGTGTGACTATGCAATGAAATAAATTCGTTAGTGCTCATGGCAGTGGGCTGGAAGAGAAGCTTTCTAAATCAGTACACAGCTGTGCGTCCAGTATCAAAAGCCTTAGTGCTGTTCTCATTTCTCTGAGCAGCACCTCCTTTACTTTATCAATGTTAGCCAAATGTGCTCAATCCAGCCGTTCACCACCCTCTTCTCTAGCCCTTTCTTGCATTTGCCCATCGCCTAGCCTTTGCATGGGCTTTGTGGTCATGGTAAAGAGAGCTCCTCATGCAGTGCCGCACGACGGGAATAATGTAAAGTAATTTTTTGTTCAGTCGTGTACAGATCCGTCGGGCGGTGTCTTGCGTTCCTCGTTATCGCAATGTTAGCGGTCACATTGGCTTCGTAAGCGATACGCCGTTTTGAGATGGCGTGTCGCCGTTCATGGCACCATACGGGCAGCCAATGGGGATGCGTCGCGATCATGCCGCTGCATAACTAGTGCTGTGAGATGGCGGCGGCATGGCTTTCAACCACCAAAGGAGGAGCACGAAGGGAAAAAAAAAATCTGACAGACCTATGATATTGGAGAGGGACACACGTCTATCGTATCTCGGGGGAAAGCACTCTGAAGCACGTGTGATGCAAGCAGTGCTATCCTTCATGCAGCATCGCATCACGACTATTCTATGGACTAAGGTGGACCGATGGCTCCATCCGAGAAGTACACGTTTGCACTGGCATTGAATGAAATTAAGGAAGGCGTTGCTCTGAGCAATCTGCAAGATTTTGCAATTATACTAAAACTTCATTATAACAGTTGTACCTTACATGAAAATAAGTTCGTTGTATCTGAAAATTCTTTAAGCATTTATTTCTAGCACTCTATTTGTTGAGAATTTTTAATTTACTCTGTTATATCTGGGTTTGTGATATCGAAGTTCGAATGTCTCAAACGTCGATATAACAAAGTATCGGTTATAATGAAAAAAATTGAAAAACCTTTGCAATAGATATTATTGTACAAAATATACCTTAAAACAAATTTTCAGATATAACAAACTTTATCTGTGCATAAAGAAAATTTGTTAGAACGATGTTTGAGTGTATCATTTCTGTCTGAATGCATTGCATTAGTACTGCCACGGCTGCATTCCCGCTAGCTTGGTATCGTGCTGTCTTGTTACTTGCAAATCAAAACATGCTCGGCATTTATTTCCCCAAATTGAGTTTTTTGGTGGTAACTGTTAAACAGTAACAATGTTTGCTGTTTCGAAATTGGTAATCTCTTGTGTCAAGACACTGTAGGTTCCTTTTGTTGATTGTGCTTTCAAGAGCAGTTTTCCACAGATAACAGGAGTGTTAAGCCTAAAATTCAGAACTGTTAGGCTTAGTATTAGTGTTAAGCCTAAAAACTTGGATAAAGCTAGTTTTTTTTTCTTTTAACCCAGAATTTTAGTGAGAATGCTGGTTTTCTTTCCCAAATTGTGCTTTGGTTTGTGGTGTTCAGTCAACATTTGGGCTCTGTTTGCAGGTGGGAATTTGACGGCACAGAGCAGGATGCAGCCAAGAGCATACCATTTCAACTGCAGAAGCTTTTTCTCCTACTGCAGGTGAGTAGGGAGTCGGAAGCTTTACACGTGTGATTCAAAATTCTGCCCTAGTTAAGATTTCCTTGCCTACGCTTTGTGATGGGGTATTTTCAAACGTCTCTCGCAGTGAGAGATGCAGCTACGGTAGCAAAGTTTTATTGTAGCAAAGCCACTCTGCTTTGGGTTCATTTGTGCCGAAAGAGGGACTTTGCTGCAGTAGCTGTATTACAGCACCGTGCATCATTTCTGGCACGACGCAAAAGCTCAGTTTTAACTATCCATTTGCTAGTAACAGTCAGTCAGTCAAGATCTTTATTAAGAGGTCTTGACGTCATTTGCAATGGACCCTCCTTAACTCGGTTGCTGCGACCTCGCTGTTTTGCCAACGTCAGTTTACTGCCGTCAGTAGCCTGCGCCGAAGGTGGTCGCAATGCTGCAAAATAGTGTCTTCTCAACCGGGAGTTGTGACACTGTTAAAAGGGAATATTCGAGGTGTTATTCTGTGGCAAAAATCTCTCGCGTGCCTTCCTTGCGTTATCACTGCACGTCATGATTGTGTGGCTGTCAGCGCGACATAGCACTCCTGATGGAAAATTGGCGAGTGCGTTGTATCCGAGATAGGGAAGCAAAGCATGCCAGATAAGGAGTATAGCTGTGTAGTCGAGATGCCCCAAGTACTCAGATTTGCCTTAGTGTGTCAACCAGGCACAACAGGAGTGACAATAAAGAAAACGAAAGGATTTGGTGTCCTAGGTGCCGTAAGTGAGTGTGGGAACCCGGATAAATTGACCACCTAGGGTGCTTTAGTAATTGCTTAGATTCAAGTACACGGGCATTAACTGTTACATTTCACCTTAGCGGAATGTGGCTACCATGGCAGGAACCAATCGGCCTTGTACCCACTAGTAATCATGGCAGGTACAAAAGCTTTTCTTTTTGTAATGAAGTGCAATCATATAAAAAAAAATGGATGAAATTTGTTCAACACATGAATTGAATCTAAAACGTCAGTCACCAGCTCCACAATTTAGCGCAGTCGTATGCTTTCTAGCAAGTACAGATGGTGGCTTTTTTTTGCGTTAACAAACTAGCATAGCTAACAAATGTACTGTATTTAATAAAATATATGGTAAAATAAAATATTGTGGTTTAAAAAACTGCATTTCTTGATTATTCGTAGTCAAAGCTTGTGTATTCGTCTTTGATTCGTATTCCAAAAATTTGATATTTGCACACCCCTAATTTCAACCAGAAATGATACAAATTTTGAGCAACAAGAATGCTTAATTTACCTATAGCTCGGTGCATGTGGTCTTTCTTGCCAATGCAGTAGAACCCCTCTTATTAGGCATACAAGGGTGAGAGATTCTCGTCTTTCATATCAGGTGTCTCTTACAAGTAGGGTACCATGCATGCATTTTCTAATCAACCCGCTACTTTAATGTAGACACACTAGTTTCTCTTACGCCCTTTGTTGCGCCACTGTTTCTTACAAAGGGGTTAGACTTTAATGCGCAGAAATGACAAAATTAAGTAGTCTCCAAGTTGGGATGCATTGTCACAAGTGCCAAGTTTTGTTGGACCTGAATGAATGTTACCTTTTCTCTGCATATTGTGCCATCGTGGTTGATGACCGTTATGTGACAGATTTTTCAGTGAAGTCGGGAATGTTTCTTATCGTAATTAGCCGTTATTGCCGAATCGTCAAAGCTCCGCTCGCTCGAGTTCGCACAATGTTTAGGGTCTGCATGATTTTTTTTCTCTCCCTGTTGTAGACATCATCAAAATCTGCGATCGGAACCACGGATCTGACTACCAGTTTTGGATGGGACAGCAGTGAAGGTAATCTTTAGCTCCTTTGAATGAAAGTTGTTGATGAGGTTTTTCATAACTGAAAGAATGGCAAATTAGGTTACAAATTCAGCTACAGTCTGACACAACCTTAAGGGACAACGGGGGTGCAGCAGCTGATCACTTTCATGGCTGAAGAAAATATCACTCCTGCTATCGGCAGTATTCTCTGAAGGCAGGCTCACTGGCCGTACACATGCTGATGTCTGTAGTGCGTGCGCATTGGTGTAAACTTGCGGGCATGTGCCTTTCAGGAGGAAATGTTGCAGACTTCCAAAAGTTGTATCCACACGTAGTTTGCACGAGCCATTCGTGATACTGTGCCTTATTCATTGGCTTTTGTCAGACCACTGAATGCAAGCAATCTTGACACAGCTGAAAACACGAGAGGACTCGCCCAGATGATCGAAGCTCTGCTGCAGATTGCCTGTGTGATTAGAAATAGTCCCACTTGCGTACACTCGAGCCTTGATATAGTCAAAATCTCGTTATAACAAACCTCGGATTAAAGATTTATTTCAGGTTAAGGATTTCTTCATAAAATTCCCCTCCAGATGTCCATTGGTTTAAAGTGAATGTTTAACTACTACAAAATTTTAGAATACCGAATGTTTCAGAATAACGTATCGGATTTCATGCCCCTTATACTCGCACAACACTTCAAAATAATAAATGGTGATTTTAAAGTTACTTTCGCCTGTAAAGATATTTGCCCAGCTCTGTACCTGCCACTATCATAATCATCAGAAGGCTCGCACATTTCTCTATCTGCCCGCCTTGTTTAAGTGTGAGATAGCCCTATTGATGTCATCATCGCCTGGTATTTGTTTTTCGCGACGACTTTTCAGAATAACGAATTATTTTAGCGCTCGCTTAAAGTTCGTTGTATCGAGATTTCACTGTGTAACACACCTGGATATAAAGTTGAAAGTTGAAAGTGGAAATTTATTTCACCACAACGATACACCGTGATTTACACAAACAAGAAACAATTGTGGCATGGAAAGTAGGAAAAAAGCTGCGCTATAGCAGCTTGACTAGCCCCACCTCCCATTTGTACAAGGCAACAGAAACAATGGCACACCAAACTCCATACAGTGCTCACGTATGATTGAAAGAAAAAAGAAAAGAAAATAACATTCTAGTGGTTGTTTATGAAGTACAGAATAGATGCACACTTGGGTGTTTACAAACAAACAATTTTTGGGAAAAAAGGCAACCAAAATAAGACGCTATAACAGAAAGGGGTACACTTAAAATTTCATGCATTTACAAGTACTGGGTGTAATTTTTCTTGGTTTATAGCTCCTTATACAAACAGGTTTAATATATCACTACTTGAAAGGAGACGCAATTGCTGTTCTGTGAGCTTGAACTTATTTAGTATATGGGGAACAGAGTACTTTAGCATTTGGAGTCCGTAATTTGTTCGCGGTCGGGGGATGTGCCAGTGTTCAGAACTCCGCATCGGACGCAACAAAATTTTCAGCTGTAAATGTGCTAAGCCTCTCAGGTTTGCGCAATTCTTTCGAATTTCAGACCTCAAAGACAACAAGTTATGTTCATATGCAACACAAAATTTTAAAACTTCATATTTCATATAATGAAATATCTGTTATAGCGAAGTAAATGAAGAATTGTAGTAGACATAGTGTTAGGATTATACATTTATAATGAATTTTTGGATATAAGGACTTCTTTTCATTAGGATGCAACTTGGTTACATAAGGTTTGAGTGTACGTGGTGACATTCTCCGATGGCAGGGTCATAGGCTGTCCAACGTACGATGTCAGTCAAGAGCACTTGCCAACTGGTCTAGGCTTACATTCGTTCACCTTTGTCAGGGAAATGGGGCTGCCCCCTTAGGTTGTTTCTAACAACAAAATGTAAAAGCCTCTATTTGTGTTTACATCTCTTTTTTCAAGGCAAGAATCAAGCTAAAAAAAAAAGTTGTTCTGTAGAGATACCTTCAGTCATTGTTACAATGTGGGATTGACAACTGCAGTTACTTGCTACCTTGCCACTTTACTCGGCCACTGAAATTTAGCCACTATTGTGGCACTCACCCAAGCTCGTAGTATTTGCATCTTCTACGCTTTTGGGCGCTGGAAACAAAATTTTTTTTTCTCCCTTTGCTGTGTCTCTGCGGGAAACAGCTTGGCAACAGCACGATGTGCAAGAGCTCTGCCGGGTCATGTTTGACGCGTTGGAGCACAAGTTCAAGCACACGGACCAGGCCAAGCTCATCTGTCAGCTTTACGAGGGCAAGCTCAAGGATTATGTCAAGTGCCTAGAGGTGAGCCACTAATCTCTCACTGTCTGAAAAAGAATGTCGTAGCAATCATTGCTGGGATCGTAACGTGGCTTTTTTTTTCTTTTAAATGGAGGTTGTCAAGTAACCTAAACCAAGCTCTGTGAAAGGCAGATTTCTTGCATGTGCTTGATTGTTCAGGCAGCCTTGCGACATTAGCATGTAGCCGGTCAGCCACAATCTATATCTGCAGCCTGACGTTCGTAAATTTTCGCGTCAACAGTCGCGATCTTAAATTCGCGATTCATCATTCGGCTTACTCGGGCCTCACGCTGAGACTTGCTCTGACCCGTGAGCTTGAGAGAGAAGTTGCACGCGAAGCCGACCTTTGGCATTCGCGTAAGCAACTAAATGCCACCTGTGTCACAGGCCTGTGTTGGCTGTCGTGATTCTTGCGAGCACTCTCTTCTAGCAGACCTTTTCAACTGAAAAGATGGGCATACTTGCACGGAAGTACATTCAGATGTCCTTGCCTCGACAGTGCATTTTTAGGGGTCACACATAATTGTCTTCGAGGGAGCCTTTATTGAAGAGAGTTGTCTAGTTTCTTGTGCTCTTGTAGCCAGCTATGTTCATGCGAAAACGACTCGGTGTCCCACCTCCCGTGACACTTTTTGAAACCCAAACAGAAACTGGGCGGTATAAAATCATCTCCAAATAATTACCCGTCGCACACTCGAGCAAACGAGGTTTCCAGCCATCATGGGTAGGTCAGTAGCTGCCTTCTCCAACAGGTAAAACTCGATCTAAATTTTGCATCTGTGCTCCTTTAACCCTTTGCTGTCCATTGTTGGGGCCTCTCCCGACAACACAACACAGCCACAGCAGTTTGTGGTCTGGTACTGCTAGAGTTCCTTTGTGGTTGATTCACGCATGTTTTGTTCGTGCATTACGCACCATCGTTAGATGAGTATACAACCTTCTTTTGTTTGAGCTGGGATTCAATTATGGACTGGAATGGATATAAGATGGGCAAAGGTTTCAGGCTGTGAAAGGTTAATTTGCTGTTTCGGTCGTCTATTCTCGCCAGTGTGGTTCTGAGAGCGCCCGCGAGGACACCTTCATGGACATCCCGCTGGTGGTGCGGCCGTTCGGGTCGAACCAGGCGTACGGAAGCGTGGAGGAGGCGCTGCGCGCTTTCGTCACCCCCGAGACCCTGGACGGCTGCAACCAGTACTCGTGCGAGCGGTGCGGTCGCAAGTGCGACGCCCACAAGGGGCTCAAGTTTGTGCGCTTTCCGTACTTGCTGACGCTGCAACTCAAGCGGTTTGACTTCGACCCCGCCACCATGCACCGCATCAAGCTTAACGACAAGTGAGTTCGCCGCTGTCTTTTGTTTTGTGCAATCCTAGAAGTTGACTTTTGCTGAAAAAATATCAATTAATTCGTGGATTGACTCATCTAGTCAGGTAAAAGCCCGACTATGCAGCGACTTAATGTAGTAATCGTAGGCGAAGTGATGAAGTCTGATAATTAGTGCATAGTTGAAAAAAAAAGGGAACTTAGAAAGTGAAAGGTGGATTAAATTTGAAATAAAGTGAATTAGTCACAATAAGCTGGAAGGAAGACGTTCAGGTGTGAAACAAAAATGGATGTTCTAAACTCGTTTCAGAAATGTTGTGGCATGTTAAAGATGAGCTAGCAAAGTCACTCCTTTGACATCAACTCGCCCGCAAAGGTTCAACATACGGGTACTTTTGTTCAAGTGACCTTAGAATATCCATGCTTGTTTCACTGCAAGCATTTCCCATACCATATTACGATGTTTGCTTTGTCAGTACACTCAAACCTCATTACAACAAAGTTGCATCTTACACATTCATTATAAATGTGATTTCTAATGCTGTATCTACTGCAAGACTGTTTCATTTACTTGGTTATAGCAGATTTCGTTATATCTATGTTTGTTATATTGAGGTTTAAGTGTATATTAGTTATGCAAAAATTCCATGCCTAACAAGGCACCTGAACTGTTTGAAATTTCAAGAACTATATATTGTAGTATTCTTATTAGTCATTGCATACTTGAAATCTGCACATGGGTCTGCTCGAAAAATAATTAAATGCGCCTCCGCTTCTGTGAAACTCTAAGTGCATGGCAGTCATGCAGCAATTCTTGTTCGTAATGTCACCACCGGTCTGTTTACCCCGCCGTCCTTGATGTTTGATTCCTGACGTAAGCATGTAGGGTGTCCCTAGGAAGACTAGAATCTTGTGAGATTCACCACAAGCTCGGTGTGCTACATGTGTGCTAGGTTTTGATGCGTTTTATCAACTGCTTGCTACTGCAGTTGGAATACGTGTCGTCTGCAGCAAATTTCGTCAGGTTGTTTCCTCCTTCAGATGTAGTGAGCCAGCATCTGGAGAAATGCAGGTGGGAGAAGCAGTCATGCAATCTGCGGAATGGTAGCGCTCTCTTTTGGGCAATGCAGGTATCAAATCGCATGTGTTCGAAGCATTTTTAGCGATTTTAGTCTAATTATGGCAATTATTGCTTTGTAGTTGCTGTTATATTATTTTAGGTCTTGTTAGTTTACTTTAACCCGGTTTCGACCATTGCTAGCAGTGTTTTAGGTTTGTATTGAGCTCATTTTAAGGGCGTGACCATGCCACATGAGATCCATAGATAGATGACAAGGTGGGCTCCTTTAGTGCAACACACTAACACAATATATAGTTTTTGAATAATAATTATAAAAAGTTTGGCAACATTTAATGCTACAACCTTATCTAGTGAGGCAAGTCTAGCTGTACTATTCGAGGCGCTAGAGAGTGTTAAATGGGATATACCGTATTTACTCGCATAATAGGCGCACCCCTACTTTGGTCGCGGAAAATTCTATTTTTTTTAATTCCGCGCATAATAGGCGCACCCCGAACTTGGCCGTGATCAGAAACGATTCTACCCCCCAGTGGTACAGTTGGAACGCGGTCCCCGTACCCTGAAGAAAAAAAGAAGGCAAATCGACGAGCAAATAAAAAAAAATTCGAAGTGCAACGACCTAACCAACGTGTTTGTCGAAATAAAACTTGAAACAAAAAAAAAAAGCTTCCATGAGCGAAAAAAAAAAACGGCTGTTCCATCAATTACTGATACCCCCACATCGCCGCGCTTTTTGGAGGTCACCTGTACAACGCTGGGGGCTCGATCGCCATCACCACCATCAGAGAAAAAGAAACGCCATTTTGCAAGCGGTGTGCGTATGTTGTGGTCGTGTATTGAACTTTGGTTCCACCATGGGGAAGTACGCGAGCTACACGGCTGGGTTTAAACTGAAGGCAGTGCAGTACGCGCTGGAGCACGGCAACCGGGCTGCAAGCAGGCATTTCGGCGTTGAAGAAACCAGTATTCGGTACTGGAGGGACCAAGAAGAAAAACTTCAGGCGACAAAGAAGACACGACGGGCTTTCCGCGGTGCCAAGACCGGCAGGTATCCGAACGTCGAAGAGCAACTGGTCCGGCATATACGGGAGCTACGACAAGACGGCTGTGCTGTGTCGTTGGATATTGTGCAGACTGAGGCGCGCAGAATAGCCCGAGCGCAGGGCATCGAAGCAAAATAGTTCAAAGCCAGCTCCGGATGGACAACTCGTTTCATGCGGCGCCATGGCCTCGCACTGCAAAGGCGGACCACCTTGTGCCAGCGCTGGCCCGCAGCATATGAGGACAAAGTGGCGGACTTCCACAGTTTTGTTATAAAGCTCCGACAGCAGAAAGACTTCATTTTGTCCCAGATCGGCAACGCTGATCAGACCCCCCTTTGCTTTGATATGCCGTGGAACACGACAGTGGAGGAGAAAGGTGCACGGAGCGTCATCGTCAGAACGTCTGGCGCTGATAAACAACGATGCACTGTAATGCTGGCGGTGACAGCGGATGGGCGTAAGCTACCGCCTTACGTTATTTTTAAACTTAAGACGCTCCCAAAGGCAAAATTCCCTCAAGGCATCTACGTCAGAGTCCAGGAAAAAGGCTGGATGAGCGCGGAACTCATGGTGGATTGGGTGAAAACAGTCTGGGGTCGGCGGCCGGGTGGTCTGTTGTTGCCGTCCATGCTTGTCCTGGACAGTTTTCGTGGGCACCTAGTAGACCGCGTACGAGATGAGCTAAAGGAGCTGCGCACAGATCTGGCAGTGATTCCGGGCGGCCTCACATCGATACTGCAGCCTTTGGATGTGTCCTTGAATAAACCTTTCGAAGGCTGTACAACACCTGGATGGCTGGAGGACAACATCAGCTGACTCCAGGTGGTAAGATTAAGAGGCCGCCTGTGGAAATGCTGTGCGCTTGGATCGTGGAAGCGTGGCAGGCGATCTCCGACGAAGTTGTCAGGAAAAGCTTCAATAAGACGGGTATCTCGAACGCACTGGATGCGAGTGAGGATGACATGTTGTGGGGAAAATTTTACCCCGCGTAATTGGCGCACCCCTAACTTCGAGCCGGATTTTCTGAAAAAAAAGTGCGCCTATTATGCGAGTAAATACGGTAATATGGGGCCCAGTGAGGTTAGGAGGACAGATGAGGCCTATACGGTGCTACAGAATGGGCACGTCCTTTGCTATCAAGGCTTGGCTGAGAGAAGAGAACTGGGAGTTGGGTTCCTAATTCACAGAAACATAGCTGGCAACATAGAGGAATACTATAGCATTAATGAAAGGGTGGTAGGTATCGTAATTAAACTGAATAATAGATACAAGATGAAGGTGGTACAGGCTTAGGTGCCTACATCCTGCCATGATGGCGCTTCAGTTAAAAGCTTCTAGGAAGACATGGAATCGGCAATGAGTAAGGTAAAAACACAGTATACTATACTGATGGGAGACTTTAATGCAAAGGTAGGGAAAAAGCAGGCCAGACTAGGCTGTAGGAGATTATAGCATCGGTACTAGAAATGCCAGAGGAGAGCTACTAGTAGAATTCGCAGAACGCAATAATTTACGGATCTTGAATACCTTCTACAGAAAACGAGGAAAACGCAAGTGGACATGGTGGAGCCCTAATGGCAAAAATAAGAACGAAATAGACTTTATATATAATGAGTGCACACCAAGTCATCGTGCAAAATGTGGAAGTGGTCGGCAGGGTACGATGCAGTGACCATAGATTGGTACGGTCTGGAATTCGCATAGACTTGAAGAAGGAACAACAGAAACTGATACGCAAGAAGTCATTCAATCAGCTATCACTGAGAGTGAAAGTAAAGGAATTCAGTCTCTCTTCAGAACAGGTACTCGGCTCTTAGTGAGGAAACCAACCTTAGCATAGATACAAATGAATGATAATCTGACGAGTATCATTACGGAGTGTGCAGTGGAAGTTGGAGGCAGGGTAGTTAGACAGGACACTGGCAAGCTTACCCAGGAAACGAAGAATCTCATTAAGAAGCGTCAAATCGTGAAAGTCTCAAGTACAACAGACAAAATAGAACTGGCAGAGCTTTCGAAGTTGATTAATAGGCGTAAGGTGTCCGATATAAGAAGGTATAACATGGAGAGAATTGAACACGCTCTGAAAAACGGAGGAAGCGTCAAAGCAGTGAAGAAACTTTGGATAGGGAGAAATCGGATGTATTCACCAAGAGACAAAGAAGGCAAAATAACTACCGATATGGATAGGATAGTTAAAATAGTGTAGGAGTTTTACAGAGGTCTGTACAGACGTCTGTAAAACCGAGGTCTGTACCGGGACAACCACGACCTTAATACTATAAGAACTAGCAGTAACCCAGATGACACCTCACCAGTAATGATAGAAGTCAGAAAAGCCTTGGAGAGCATGCAAAGAGGCAAAGCTGCTGGTGAGGATCAAGTAACATCAGATCTACTGAAAGATGGAGGACAGATTGTGTTAGAAAAAATAGCCACCCTTTTTACGAGGTGTCTCCTGACAGGAAGAGTACCATAGTCTTGGAAGAATGCTAACATCATCTTAGTACATAAAAAAGAGGACAAGGACTTAAGGAGATGACAAGGACGAAAGAATTTCAGGCTGATCAGCTTGCTCTCTGTAGTATACAAGCTATTTACAAAGGTAATTGCTAACAGTTAAGAAAACATTAGAATTCGATCAACCCACTCAGCCCACTACATGTGATCAGCCCACTACATATGCATCTGTAAGGCATTTGTAATTGAAGCTAACAGACAAAGTCAAGGAAAGTATGAAGGATGTTAGGTCTTGCTGGTTCGGACACTGCCATCATAATTTGCGACTTTCAAATGATGCGTCAGATGCTCTACCCTGCCAGCGGCAAGGTAGCTTTTCGTTCACTTACTTCGTTTACATATACATCACGATTTGCTACAAATAATATTCCCTAAGCATTCCTCAGCTTTCCTGTGTGTCAGTTCTAATTAATAATATTGTGTCTACCTCGGGAGAATGAGCCCTTACATTTTCCATTTTTTTGCAAGGCTTATTACGTGCATCTTGTTGATGCTGGGGCTGATGCTGACAGTGAATCACGACTGAGCTCTTTGTAATGGCTGGAAGCTTTACACCAGTCACTCGTTACGCTATGTGTGATGCCTGGTTGTGATTGTTTCCTTCTACCACGTCATATTGCATTTGTTAATAGATAGATTTCTTGCATGTTTGCTTTTTTTTTTTTCAATGTAGTTGCAAGCAGTAGCTTGACTCTGTAGTAAGACGCTCAACTGCCACAGCGGGAGCCGGGGTTCAAATCCCACTTGACCCTTTATATAGGTTCTATGTGGTATTGTGGTTGACACTGTGGGGAGCAGCAGACAACTGCCACAAAAATCCGCTGTGGCTGGAGTCTCGTAACAGCTTTCACTGTAAAAAAAAACAAATTTCTGAAGCAGGGTGTTGGCTTAATGTGCCGCGCGTTCCACCGATTGCCGTGAAAGGGATGCCGTTTGGCTGAGAGCTCGCACCCCCTGTGTTCCAACGATTCGACAGGGTGACCTTCCCCGAGATTCTGGACCTCAACCAGTTTGTGCGGTCGGAGAGCAAGAATGAGAGTCCCAGTGACGACGCCGACACGACGGACAGTGGGTCGGCGCTCGACGACGAGGCTGCGGTGACCTCGACCTCGTCTGGTCCCAGCAGCAGCCGGCAGGCTAACGGGCCGTGCGAGGACATGGGTAGCGACGACGAAGGCATTGACGTGGGCAGCGGGAGCGGCAGCAATGCGGATGCCGTGGCCAATGCTCGCAATCTGAAGCGGAATGTCAACATGGTGAGCTGGCACCTGTCCCGCGTGAAGCACGCAGTTGAGGGAACACCGCAGTTCCTTAGAAGGCATTGCGTTCACACTTGTCTTTGGTTGTTACAATTGTGAGTTTCGCCCGATTTTTGATAAAACATCTCTTAAAGCACCTTGAAAGGTTGTGCAGACAAATCATGGAAGTGTTTTTTGTAAATGTAAGTAAGAAAGCGTCGCAATGTGTCCGCCTGCCATCCACTCTCTTGATGGATAGTGAAGTTTTCTTGTCACAAAACTTCATTAAGTCGATCTTCAAGCCGATTGTTTTTCAAACATCGGAGTGGCCTTGGGGCAGTCCACATCGCCGAACCTGTCAGCATGTCCCATGCCGTACCGGTTCCCAATGTATCAGAGAGAACGTTGTGAGAATGATGTGTAGACATTGCAATGTCTGTGGGATTGGACATCAGGAATAAGTGAGAAATGTATAAGCAGTGTTCTATTGATTGTACAATGTGGAGGGAAAGAAACTTGAACGTGCCCCGTCTGCATTCTCTGCAGTTTCGCATTTACAGTGGAACCCCAGGGGACCACGCAAAACGGTCGTATTACCCGGGCGTTGTATAATAAAAAAAAACTAAGATAACAGGCATTGACATCCAGCCTTGCCCAAAAAACGGGGACAGACCACCTGAATAACTGCACAACACGACCTTGTGCCTCTGCAAGAAAGGTAGATTATTCTTGCCGGTGGTAGTTAATGGCTGCAATACGCTTAGTTGGAGTAGGTGCGAACGAACTTTTGTTCTCAACATTAAAAAAAATCTAATTCAATGCGCCTCTTTCTACCGAGAAACATTCGGAAAATTGCCTGTGCGTGAGAATGAAACTGAAACTGTTGCCAGCACCCTCCCGTCAGATGGGTCAGATGCAGCGTCATTGCTATCACACAATGCCGACAGACCACGAGTTTGCATAGAATGCCTTTATGCGCAACTGAGCTGTGCACGTAATTTGTTGGCTTGTGCAGGGCAACTAGTGATGCACCACTGTTATAATCAATGTTGACGTCCAGTGAAAGTAATTTTGCACGGTGAAAACAGCTGCGCTGCGCCCTTGTGTGTGCGCAAGCCTGTGACTGTGAGTGTGACAAAGGCAGGCAATCAGCTGTATTTCAACCAGAAAAATTTATACCGACTGAAAACGGAAAATATCAGCTTTTCAGCTGGCTGAAGTTACTCTGTGGAGATAGAGCTCAACTAGGTAACGACCCCGTAAACATAAGCACGTGATCGAGGCTTATGTAGAAGCTCGTGAACTTCCAGCAGAATAAATTTTTCATTCTAAGAATACATCCTGTCTCTCCGCTCTTCTAATTGTCAACCTAGGGGAACGAAAGCTCATAAATATTTGGACCTTTGGTTCGGGTAAAGGTGTTTTTTCTTTCGGACGGAATCTGAAAGTCAAGAGATGCGAGGTCGGCGTAAAACTGCCTTGTATAACCAAGGTTTTTAACTCGTTACTTGTACGGGGATTTTTCTGGGACTGAACTGGTTCGTCGTAAAATGCAGGTTGTCCTGAAACGGGGGAAGGTATAAATGAAGTTCCAGTGTAGTTTCAAGTGGTGATAAAAAGCCACTAGTCATTCATTATACAATCAAGGATCATCGGTAACTTTTTATTGCCACGCCTGTGAGAGTGTGACGAAAAGAGTGCACCGTACTGTTCGCGTATCTTTCGATCCACCTTGTACATTATCAAGAATGCATTGTGCTGCTGTTGCCAATGGTGTAACGTTCTTTCCACACTTGCGCGACTGTCTTTTTTGCAGGGCCCGTACATGTACGAGCTTTTCTCCATCATGGTACACTCTGGGAGTGCCAGTGGCGGCCACTATTACGCTTACATCAAGTGAGTGCTTTGAGTTGACCAAGAAAGATTTTGAGTTGTTATTTATGACATAGTGGGGCACGCTGTCAAGGAACAATTTCCGAAGTGGAAAATATTGGAGTCTTAAAAGCTATGAGACTATATTGACTGAATGGCAAAAATAATTTGTCGTATACCGTATATACTCGATTGTAACGCGCACTCGGTTTCCACGACGAAAAAAAAAATCAATTGCATCAAGACATCAATTGCAACGCGCACCCATTTTTCTCATTGGCCCACACGATCACACCGCTCGGGAAAACGACTCCTTTTGGGAGCGTTTTCCGTTTAAATATGAGGTACGGGGGAAGCTTGTGCCTATCTGGCGTGCAACGGAGCATTGCCGTCACTCTAGTTTTACTGTGGCCCGATGTCAGCACGCGAACTTGCTTTGCCCCCTTCTCGCCAGTTGTGGTGCCAGGCATGTCGAAGTAAAGAGGCGTTTGATCGGCATTCCCGATTTGCTCAAGCAGGTAGCCATTGTTGAGCCGCAAATTTAGGACGAACCTCTGAAAACTGTGAAGCTTTTCTTCGTACTCCTCCGGCAACTTTTGGCATATGCCCGTTCGCCTTCCGAGGGAAAAGCCTTTCCTCTTCATAGAGTTAGTTGGCCAGTACCTGCATGCTTTAAACTGGCTCGGCATTAGCCCTTTTTCTAAGGCTAACTGCATAGCCTGCACTTGAAGCAGTTCTGTCGTCACGGACCGCTGTGCCGCTCACTGCTCAATCTCATACTCACCGAGCAGCTCTTCAATTTGCGGAAACCGACCCTGCTGTGGTCCACTGAAGCCTTTGCATGAATCTTCTGCTTTTGTTTCCGCCAGTCCCACACGCACATTTCGGGAATTCCAAACGACCGCGATGCGGCCCGATTTCCGTCCGTTTCGGCACAAGCAATGACTTTTCTTTTAAAAGCGGCATCGTGGTGCACTCGTCGAGTTTTTGGAGTCGGCCCTTCCATGCCGTCGATGCTAATGCACTACCAGATGACGAACTCCTCAGCACACGTACGAAGTGCCGCACATGGGAAACACATAGGCAGAAATGGCCGACACTCCATGCCGACGCACGTAGGGGGTGGCCATTTTGGAAGTGCCGATGGCAATAGAATTACCGTATTCATTTTTTTTTTTTTCGTACTCGATTCTAGCACGCATGCGATTTATGAACTCGCTTAACTGGAAAAAAGGTGCGCGTTAGATTCGAGTAATTACGGTACTCAGATTTTTGCTTCTTGAAATAACATAAATGTTGCACAACTAGCGCAAGACACGTCAGCATCCATGGTGAAAGCATTCAAGGGGCTGCATTAAGCATGCTGCCTTAGCAGATTGTATAAAGTTCTTTTTGTGGATCTGGTGTCTTGCATCTGGTGCTTGTTGCTCGACATATTGCGTAAGGGGAAGTACATGGGAAAGTCATCGTACAGTGACATATGAAAGGCCGTCCTGTGCATGGCTTGAACTCTTCATAACCATGATTTGATGGAAGACATTTTATTAAACCATTTTTTTACATTTTGCAGTTTTTCTGCTGTCGGCATAAAGCTCTGCTTTGCACAAAGCTGTGTTCAGTGCAGTTAGGAAAAACAAGACGTTTTGTTTTTGGTTGAGTCATTCAAGGGGCCTCCCAATTTGTTTCTTCTCGACCCCGTCAGTGATCGCGACTTCATGTCATGGTTATTTGAAGAAATAGTTTCCCCAATATCGTCAACTAACCCATCTGTGTGGTTAAATTTTTGTCAGGTTCTGAAGGCTCATCTCAGTTTCCTCTGCGTGTGTCTGCAAGGTCCTTTACAGAAAACCAGTGGTACTGCTTCAACGACGCCCAGGTGACGCGAGTGACGTACGACGAGATTCGCAAGACTTACGGCGGGGGACCCAGTCGCGGCGGCTACTACATCAGCTCCTACGCGAGGTAGGCACCGCTCTTGGGGAGCGCTCGGCTTAATCGTGTGCGCTGCCGACTTGGGGGAAGTCAATTCAAGAGATGCGAAATATTGTTGCTAAAGGAGTGCTCTCGTGTCATTTTTTTAGCGGGAGCTTTAGCCGTCATAGGATTGATAGGTAGTACTCCTGCACTTTGATATAATGAACCTGGACATAACGAAATATTAGTTATAACAAAGCAAATGAAAAATAGTCTTGTAATAGTGTTAAAAATGAGTTATACTGATTTTTGGCATATAACAACCTTAATTTCTTTTAAGATGCAACATTGTTATAACGGGCTTAGAGTGTAATGTTAGGAATTTTACCTTTGTAGTGAATTTTTTATTATAGCAAACTTGTTTTCATGTAATATTTAACTTTTTTTTATAATGAGGTGTGAGTGTACACAGAATTGTATAAGCTTCGTTCTTTCGACTTCATGTGGCTCCGCGTGGCCTGCAAGCCACTTTGTCGCCAGAACATTCAGCAGCGACACTTCACGATCTGGGCTTTTTTTAAGCAATCTATTCTTTTGTGAGAAACAACAGCCGAAGCACGACAGTAACCAAAACTATAAGTGTGTTTGAAGCGGTCAGCACGCAAATCAAATTCATGTGCTGCGCATATTTTCTGGTGGCTGAGCAATCGCAGCGCCAGTGTTCTCTCTAGTGAATGCTCAAACCTCATTAAAACATAGTAGCACCTTGCTCGCAAATAAGTCCCATTCGAAATTTTTCTGTAAAAGTATATTCGTAACACTACAGCTATTGCAAGGCTATTCTTCATTTACCTCGTTGTAACTGATATTTTGTTATATCCGGGATCATTATATCAAGGTTTGAGCGTAATGTGAGAAAATCTGTGGTTGTCATTTCCTTTAACCGTAAAAAAAAGAGTGGATTTGGGCAGAACTTGCGAGGCTCACAGAGATGTGTTGGCGCTCCATGGCAATGCAGCTCGACGAATGCCTACATGCTCATGTACCGTCGGGTGGATAAGGAACAGAACGCCGTGCCCATGATGCCCGACCAGTTCCCCGAGCATCTGAAGGTGCTCCTCGAGAACATGCAGGAGGCTGAGGAGCGGGAACGACAGCAGAAGGAGCTCGACCGTTCCATGTGCAAGGTTAGTTTGCTCCTTATTGCCGTGCGCTATGGAATTCTGACTGGTACGAGTGCGTTCCTGGCTGTGAACGTTACGCCGGCTGCAATGTTTAGAAGCCCAATTAAACTCTTTGCAGTTTGAAACCCATAGCTATGTTCTGTTCATTCCAGCGTGAAACGAAGAATATCGAAGCTGAAGTGAAATGGCTTGCTGACTTGGAGATTGTGCATACTACAGTAAGAAAATGCGCATGAATCGACGACAGAACTTGACAAGCAGTAACCAATACAGATCGCTTCCCCGGGGTGGTATTGTCTGCCGATGTTGAGCAGTGGTTAGGGTGCTCATCTGCCTACCCGTAGGTGACTAGTTTGATCCTGGCTGCGGTGGTCACATTTTGATGAAGGTGAATTGGTAGTGTACTGTGCGATCTCTGTGCATGTTGTAGAACACCAGAGGGTCGATTCCTGGGGTCCTACACTACGACGTCTCTCGGGACCATATCATGGTTTTGGGACGTAAAACCCCTGATATGATTGTATGCTGCGGTCTCAACAGGGGCCCGACAATAGACTGCGAAGGAGAGATTACCGACATGAATTTTAGTTCTCGTATCGTTTGTCTGAAGAAAAACACCAGTGGCTAAAATTCCAAAAGTCGGGTGCCTTGGATCGTGTCACGGTGACGTGTCGTCACAGCATTACATAGGCGTAAGTCACATGAGAACAGCAGCTCACGATGTGTGGCAGACCCTTTAAAGAGACCCTGAAAGGGCCAGAAAAATTTTTGTTTAACAAGTGCGCTACTGACTAAAAAGTTCAGGGTTTGTCTGAGTAGCTTCTGCTGTATCCTGTTGGCTTTCAAATGCAGATGTGTTTGTACACCATGCTTTACGCGGTCATTAGTGTATCAAAGGTCCTCAAAGAGTCTCTCGAAGCTTGTAATACTTTGGTACAACGCACATCGTCAATCCAACATTTCGCGTGTCCGACAGATCAAGTTGTTCTGCCTGCACCCTCGCAAGCACACGATGCAAGACATGCGGCTAAAGGTCCACAAGGATGCGTCGCTTGCTGAGGCGACGCAGACGGCGCACCAGGTGAGAATTCTCTTTCATGTGCGATGGAAATTGCTTTAGACCATAGTCTGCTGCAACGTGGAAGTGCAGTAGCCAATTGCCTTCGTGACTAAAGGCATAGTCCTGCTCACGTATTTGCTGGTGTTATCCGACTGCTGGCTTATTAGTTGCGCTTTTACCTGCTGGTAAAAGTTACAATGCGTGGGGATGTGTTATCAATTTGGACGTATTAAGGAACATGGCGCCGACGGCAAAAACTTGCCGGAAGTGTGTATATAGTTGCTGTCGCAATGGTAACGCATTTTTTTATTGCTAAAGGGATGTTCTGGGTTAGCTATGGTTTAAGCTCTGTCTGTTTAATGTGAGCGTTTATTTCTCGCATTTTCGTATCGAACCAGTATATCGCGAAATTCTCTCTAAAAAATTTTTCTGGTAATTTGTCAATTTTGTGATATCCAGGTGTAACTGTCTGATTTTCATAATCAACAAGTGTCAAATTGATGAGCTTTCACTGAAAATTGTCTCAGATCATGAACCTGGCCGACGTGGTTCCACTGGATTGCTGTCGCCTGGTGATGTACGACGACTGCTCAGACTCACTAGAGTGCTCGCTCGAAGAGGTGGCCCATCAGACCATGGGCCAGATCCTGGGCGGCGTCAAGTCCACCTACCCGTTCGACCTCCTGCTTGAGATTCGAAAGCCCCACGAGACCTTCCAGCCCTACAAAATAGGAGGTGAGGAAAGGGGGGAGAGTTTGAACTTTACTTAGAGTACTGACATGAATTTTGGACATTATCGAATTGTCATTCTAAATAAAAACACTGGTGTCAAGTATCCTGAAAAAAGCATTTGGTGCTTTGGAGTGCGTTGAATATAGGCTTGTGCAAATATTCAAATACTTCCAATATTCAATTGAATAATGATGTATTTGAATAACGTTTGATTCAAATATATATTGTAGGAAATATTGAATTATTCGAAAACTTCTATCAAACTGTCGTTGGCTGCAGTGACAAATATTTGCCTGTACACTAGGCATGCGATGCAGCAGTTGGGTGTGGTGAAATGTCACCATTCCAGCGGCTATACCGCCGCATCGTATAGGAAAATCATGCAGTCTGTCTCAGCCTTTAACACTTTAACTGGCTTTAAACTCTTGAAAAATAAATAATTTTTTTAAACAGTCATAGCCTTTTCCATGAAATTTTGGTTCAGAAGATATTAATATGCACAAGCGGCCTGAAATGTAGTTTTGCACAGACAATTACCGTCATCTAGGGTTGAGAACTGCAAGCAAGAGCAATTGATAGCAGTGATATGCCAGATCAGTAGGAATCGTAGTTGGTGACATTGGTACGAACTTGTGTGACGAGTGCAGTGCACGCTTGGGGGCTAAACTGTAATGAAACAGAATAGCAAAGACTTAGGCAAGCAACTGCTTCATCTTGTCCTTTGTTTGTCTTTAGCAACACGAAGCATTCCTCAAGGAATAGGCATAACATTTCAGGCGCAGGCTTTGGTTTTTCAAGAAGTGCGTGTCTCGTTTGCCAACCATGGGTGAAAAACTTCTTGCTGAGAGATTGGAACGTGGACCTAGTTTTTTGGGGGGAAGTTTTTGAGAGGGGGTTGAGGTTAGCACAGCTGAAAGTGAAGTAGGGCGTCAAAAATGGTGGCGCAGCGGTCACTCTAAGCACTGGGACCACCACCAATAAGTTCGCGAAAAAGCGGCAAAAAAAAAAAATGGGCCATGGCTGCTCAGGAAGGCACATTCAATCTCAAACCATCACCAGACTCACCATTTTATTGAGGCAGGTTAGTAGCTTTCGCGATTAGCCGATTACTTCTGGCGGCACGTTGAATGCAATACAATGATCACGATGGCAAGAAATTGTAATGTTATAAGGAGTAAAGCTGGCAGCCAACTCTTTTGGATCCAATATCAAATAACTCCTACAAAAAAAAAAAACTGCTGTTGTGAGCATACGGCCGCTCCAGGGAGAAGTGCTCTTTTCACACAGTCGCTTCGCGTTGAAACCGCACTGATACTCGCCGATATAGCAAGCGCGCCAGCGATCACGACCACCCTTAAAATCCAAGTTTGTTATTGCTACTCAAGCGATCCCCACGTTGTTTCATGCTCATTCAAGACGGGTGGTTTACTTTCTGTTTGAGCATTCGACGGCAGTTCTAACAACACGCGGGAGATGTTACGCACTTTTCAGGCGATAGGGATTGGCCGACTCATTTTATTTTTGCTTCAGCAGCGCTCGCGCTCTTTCACCGACCCGTGAAAGTTGCGATGCGCGGGGGCATATATTATCAATTTGGACTTGTTATGGAACATGGCGGCGACGGCAAAGACCCGCCGCGAGTGTCCATATAATTGGTGTCACAATAATAACGCAGCTTTTTCTTGTAAAATAAGAGTTTGTAGGGATCTGAAACGCGCCCGCGACCATTTCGCGGGCATTCCGTCACACGGCCACACCCTTTTGCTTTTTCTGCTCTGATAACTGCGCGTGGCAATAGATGGCGCCACGTGCGGGCGCGGCACGTGTTACGTGCGCGCTGAGGGAGCGCTCTCTTCTCCGTGGTCGGCACCAAGTAAGCACGTGTTTTTCTTCGTTCGCGTCCCCTTTGGGAATCGCCGAACTGTAGCCTGCCTGGGGTGGCCTGTGGCACCTCAGCAGGCGTGTTTACTTCAGTGCTAGCTTCGGTAGCGTACGCTAAGCGCCCACAGCGGTGCCTAGTGCTTGAAGTAATCATACCACACCGAGTCGCATTTTCCGTAGGCCTACGCGTACAAGGTTTGCCCTAACACTCGCGACCAGGCCCAGTGGCCACAGTGAGAGTGCGCAGCATAGCCGCGAGGGACCTTTTCCCGACCGAGCAAGGTGCCTTTGCTCCCCGCGTCCCGAGAGCGGACGTTGTACTGTTGTTCGGGGTGCCGCCAAAGGCAACAAAGTGTTGTGTGTTTTGTATTGGAACACTGTCTGTTTGCCGCGCCGCGCTAAACGCCTTATTAGTTGAGCGCGCGCGGAGCGGTGCGCTACACGCGAGTAAGTGACGGAGTCGCAGCCCTGTGGCTCGCTAAGCGTGAACCCGCGGTGATCATCCGCTACGGTGAGTAGCGGGGTCACCATACTGGCGCCCAACGCGGTATCAAAAGCTCATCAAGCCTTTGATTAGTCTTAGTCGAGTCAGCCCGCCTTCGCGAATCAGGCTCACCACGTTTACGCGGGTTACGTCTGCTCCGCGTAAGTTGTCCACTGACGCTTTTAGCAGATACCGCATTGCTCGAGAACAGGGCTAGTGCCCCCCTTGAGCATCACAATCGCGCACCCTCGCATGTCACAAGCCCCAGTCGGGATGACACGAGGCGCGACATTCTCGCCGCGCGTTCCTATCGCCTGCCACCACCAGCCAGCGAGCCCCTTGAACCGCGCTGCGCGTGGGGAGGGGCCATGACCTTTCCTCAGCGGCAACAGCCCACCAGAGCCGCCTTTGCGGCTAACGCTACAGGTGGGCGCAGGTGGGAGATAAGCGATCGAGCTTTAGATCCCTACACGTACGGGAGGCGCGCAGCCGGTGCTGCATCGCAACTCGGCGCGCGCGAGCAGGAACGAAATCCGACCCAGCGCATCACCGGTGGTGACAGTTGTCAGAGCGGTTCCTTTGATCACGCGGGGAACCGACCCCTGCAGCTCGAAGCTGGTCCGTCTCGAGAAAGGGACTGCGATGGAGTGCGCTGCTTTCGCTGCCGTCAACGAGGGCACATAGTGAGGGAATGCTCCGCGTTTGAGCCTCCTGTGAGGCAGGGAAATGGGAGCGCGGGCCGTTCGTGAAGGCACGAACGGCCGACCCCTTGCTTCTCCCCTCTGCGTACCGGACAAGCAGTCTTGCCTGGTGCGCACGCGCCGTTTATTTCGGTCACCTTTGTCGGTCGCAAATTCTTGCCGTTGCTGGACACAGGTGCAAGCGCTTCGTTGTTTGGCGAACAGGTGTTGTCCCACTTGCAGAAGCGCTCGGTGCGCTTGCGGGACAGCCGAACGACATTGCCCCCTCGCGAAAGGCGTGACCCAGTCGGCAGGCGCCGCGAGGTTGACTGTCAGATGGGGAGGCCGAATGAGACGCGCACGTTTCGTTCATCTTCCAGGGCTCAGTGTCCCTGTGATTCTCGGTCGGGACTTTCTCCTAAAAACCGGTATTGTAGTGGACATTGCGAATGGAGGCTATCGCCACAGACCTTTTTCCGAGCTAAAGCTGTTCATCAGCCCACCGGCGCTTTCTATTGCCTGTGCAGTAGAAGCGTCGAAACCGTGTCACATGCAAACTTCAGTGGCAGGCCCTTGCACTATGCACTCGTCGGCTCAAAATCTTCATCGGGATCCAGCGGCACGACACGAAGAGGCTCCGCATCCTTTGATCGCCTGTGCGACTCAATTAGATGATACACAGAAGGCTCGTCTGTCGGCATTGTTACGCGATTTCGATGAGCTTTTCACCGATCAACCCGGCTGTACCGATCTGGTGAGCCATTTGGTCGAAACTGGCGACGCGCTTCCTTTGAAGTGTAACCCCAGGACCGTCAGCCAGGCCAAGAGGCAGGTAATTGACGGCTTACTGGACGAGATGTTCTCAGCTGGCATTGTTCGCCGTTCGTCCAGCGCTTAGGCGTCTGCAGTAAGACCACTTCGCTTCCCCAAGGACGCGGTCCATGAGTCTCTGAAAAGTCGCAGGAGCATTGCAAAGACCAAAGGGAATACGAGTGAACTCAAATAACCCTCTGTGGGACGTGAACGCGGTCTTGCACCGGTCACGCTCACACAGGGTTATTTGAGTTCACTCGTATGCCCATTGGTCTTTGCAATGCTCCTGCGATTTTTCACTCATGGACCGTGTCCTCGGGGAAGCAAAGTGGTCTTACTGCTAGTTTTGGGTTAGCTCTGCCTTCAGTCACCCTTTTGTTCAATTTGCACGTTTAATTTCCAGGTTTTTGAACCCAACCTGCATATAAAATCCCCTTTATAATGAATTTTTCCGGGAATTCATTAATTTCATTATATTCAGGTTTAACTGTAGTCCAAAAAATTTAAGTCTGAAAAATTGGTCAAGCGGTGAAAATGAAGTTTATTTGGATTAGAAAAGTCTAAAAAAATATCTCGAATAATGCCTTGCTTCATGCTTTTCTTGGGGACGAGCAAATTTGTTTCGCTTTGGGCAGCGGTAACATCGTTGGCAAGAGCGTTGGCAATCGCTGCCGCCGACCATTGCGGGCGGCAAAGTTGGCGACTCCATGGAACCAAGTAAACAAAACTTGATGTCAATGGCAAAAAAAAAATGCATGCAATGATTTGCCTGTTTCGTAGGATTTAACACTGTCTGGGCTTCTTTTATCTGCACAGACACCGGACAGTATGTGAGCGTGCAGCATTTCGCCACCATTAAAACACTACCGTCGCAGCCGTGACCGAACCCGCGTGTTTCGGGTCACTAGCCGAGTTGCGTGACCGTGAAGTTCTACTGCGCGATCACGAACAACAGCTAACATGCGACGGGCGCGGCAGCTCACACGCGCTTCGCACACCACCAACACGACCACGTGCGTAATGACAACTAGAAAAACAAGCGCCCAGAAAATGAAAACCTACTGGCCTATTGATGATGAAGATAAGGCTGTCTGAAAAAGAAGTCTCGCTAGCCAAGGATGATCATACATGGCCTCTGAAATCAGGAGATTGTGCCCACTTTCTATCTTGAGAGGGCTTACAACTAGCCAATGCAAGGCAAACCTGACGAAGCCAACAAAAAAATCAAACATGGAAACTTTCATAATCGAGTCGCATAGCTTTAAACGAGCGATTCAGTCCGGGAAATTGAACTTTGGAACATGAATTCGTTTGGAAAATCGGTCGTGAAAATGCATTGGTGCAATGGAGAACCTTTATGGTGCATTTGTGAAGTTCGAAATGTCCAACGAGTCCGAATTCTCGAAGTCCAGAAAATGGATCAATCCGTCAACAATTGTATTGACGTTTGTGTGTATATTTAAACACCTAATTGCATGCATGAATGTCGCCTACACCTTGAAGCTTTTATTCCCGGGCAGTATTGATATTAACTGGCATGACAAATGCAACAGATCTAGCCTTTTGACTTGAAAAGAAACTTTGCGATCTTGATTGTGGGTGGCACTATTTCTGACTGGTGGTGCCACACGGCTTTTCAGGTACAACCGTCAAAGTACACGTCGTAAATATTGAGGCAGACGAGATCGCGCGGGCGGTAATCGTCCGTGGCCTCAAGACGCAGACAGTCGAGGAGTTCAAGGCTCAGGTGGCTCAGGTGAGTTTTTATGTGCTGTTGCTTTTCGTACCAGCGTCACTTCATGTGTGTGTTTTCGTTGATCAGTTTTGCTATGTCATAGGTATTGAACTACTCTCGATTGTTTGAAATGGATGCTGGTGTCCTTTCTTCTCTTTATTGAACTAAGCAGAGTAGATCTTGGTAGTTGATTGCAGACATCTTTGTTTATTCAGGCCTGTCTCTTTGTTATCACTTTCGTGATCTTCAATACTGTACTACCCACACATCGATTACTACCATCTTCTGTTCAATTGGACCAGAATGGAGATTTATCATAAGATCCCAAAGCCCCCCCCTCCCCAACTTGGTAAAAGATAACTGCTTAAGATTTGTTCGGGGGGACACTTGCTTGGTTGCAAAGCAAAATTCAAGATGGCAGCGAAAGTGTTTTTTAAGAATGCACACCTGTGCTTCAAATTGTTTTGTTGAATACGCCTGCATTTGGAATTTTTACGAACTGGAGGCAAAGTCCACATGTGAAATTATGACAGGCGAGGAAAGACGTCCTTCAAGTGTTCCAACAATTTATGACACTTGTGAATGCAAGCCAGAGCCACCACACTGTATAATAAGTACAAAGAAATGGTGCCCATACCCATGGACTCTCAGAACAAGTGTTCGTAGGAATGGCTGCTGCAGTATTTTGTAGTGAACAGCTGATTGGGAGGCACTTGTTGTTCCTTTGCGGTAAGTAGTGCTGTAACTAACGTAGCACTCCCAGCAACCTTCTGTGGGAGCACAGCGAAAGCTACGTGGGCAGAGTTTCTGCACATGTGTTACAACACCAGGTACTAGTCTTTTTGCAGGTGATTGTTTAGAGGTGCAAGAGAATGTGAAATAGACACCAGAAAGCTGGAAAACTAGAATTGGCAAAAAATGAAAATCCTTTGTGAGATAAGCTTTCTTACTTGCAATGCAAAAGATAACTTGTTTTTTTTTTTTTGTGTTCCTCTATGTACTGTACAATAATTGTCACAGAGAGTTGCCGTGAGGTATAGGATCTTGTGGTGGTAATGCACAGCGTAACTACCGCAACATCACTAATGTAACTCTAATAATGTTATATTTGCAGTGTGTATGCCTGCATGTTTCAACCATACCTGTACAGCCGTGGCCACTTCGTGTAGAGCATGCGAACAGCCGATGCAAAGCAAAACCTTGGGGCAGTATCAGGCTCTGACGTGGCCAGCCTGACAACTAGACCATGCACGCTCCTGATACACCACTTCAGAGCTTGAAACTGCCTCAAGGTTTCGGCCCGCAGAGCAAAAACCGGCTGCTTGAGCGCTCTACACAAGCGTGGCCGCGGCTGTACATGGCTCATAGATAGAAACTCAATTTAGGGCAAAGTAACACCTTAATTTTAAACTTCTTTGTCTGATTTGCTCAATTTTAACTCGAACACTTACGTGACAAGCAAAATTACGTTTATCAGCCAGATAGTATGTGGAGACATGTGGTCGCATGCATGTGCCAGTCGTTCATACCTGCCAACTTTCCCTGTTTGTTCAAAAGACCCACGAACGAATAGTGTAGTATTTGAATTTGGTTTGGTTCCAATTTAAATTGTTGAAAATTTCGAAGTATTCGCAATGAACGAATCGGTGTATACAAGTCTGCGTGTAATCCCCCTGTACAGGTGGTTTCACTGCAATACAGAGGTGCTCGGGCGTGCAAACGCTTATCCACTTCTGCGAAGCCCCATTTCAAGGTTAAATGAACACATTACCCTAAAATTGATTCATCATTTTTTAAAGTTTAAAAGCTGGTTATGCTGGTTAAGCTCTAAGTATAGTAAATTTTAAACGTTACATATTTTACAGGTTGTCACTTGCATTCTGCTGAAAGTGAAATTCTGCTACAATTCAAAGTTGTTTCCACTTTCTTTTAACCCCCCCAAAAAAATGGCATTGGCGGTCTTGGCACATCAGATTCTCCATTTTATTGAAAAATTGCAGTCGCCTCGAGGCTCTCGACTAAAAAATAACTTCTAATTAACCAACATTACGGGCATTTAGCTTCAAATTATTGAGCATTTCTTCTTACAAGCGTGCATGCGAAATTGATGGGACCACTTGCTGACTTCTAATTAATCAAAATTTCAATTAAGCTCAAATTTTCGGGAGTCGACTGTACTCTATATAGGTGTCACATCTCGATCCATGAATACTGCCCACCAAAGGGTCAACGGCATTTGGCTTCATTCAACCGGTTCATCTGCTTTTGTGCAGAAATTGGGTCTGCCTTCGAGCAACATGCGCATGGTTCTAGAAAACTACCACAATGCTCTCGAACTCCTCAATGCACCTGGGCGCATGCTGAAGTCCGAGGGCTTTGGCAAGAGCAATACGGTGAGTCAGCTTGACTCTTCGAAACGAAACGCTGCGTACCAATTGCATGCACCACTCGTTCTTGCTATTTGCATCAAGTGTAGACCGAGAAAAAAAACTAGATATATCGTACTTCGAATGAATTGAACCTTCTGCGTAATAAATTTGTCTTTATTTAATTCATTTTTGTAGTGTGCTGATACATATGACCACTTTTCTGAAGGCACTTCCACGTTTGACTTGCAACATGCTGCTTTCTGCCAGTGATGTAAAAAGCAGAATTTTTCATTGCTCAAGATTGACTTGCACTATATTCCCAGCCTGAGATTTTGTTCTATTTAGGCCAAAAGTAAGCATCAAAGACTTCAGGATAAAGATATATGTAACTACAACTTAATTAGAACGAGTTACTATAGCATGCATGAATGCGCCAATTATTTCATTATTCTTGTTGCAATTGAGTAACATAGGAATTTGACACATTTACAGACAGTTCTTCATTAGTGGCATCTGAAAGAGTTCATTGCAATACCTATAAACGTTCAGTTGTTCAGACCTTTGGGCGATTGTTCAGACCTTCAGTGTTTGGCACATTTGCTAATTGGAGAATTTACTGGTTTAATTGATATACCAGCTTTGTCATTATTGTTTTTTGGTATCACTAGTGCTTCGCGGTGGTCTAGTGGCTAAGGTACTCGGCTGCTGACCCGCACGTCGCGAGATCGAATCCTGGCTGCGGCGGCTGCATTTCTGATGGAGGCGGAAATGCTGTAGGCCCGTGTGCTCAGATTTGGATGCACGTGAAAGAACCCCAGGTGGTCAAAATTTCCAAAGCCCACCACTACAGCGTATCTCATAATCATATGGTGGTTTTGGGACATTTAACCTCTATATCAATCATATTACTTTAGTGCTACAGTTAGGATCTCAAAATGCATGGGTGCAAAATCTCACAAAAGTGGGGAAAAAAACCTGCAAGATTTTTCAAGTATTCGCACAGGAGACAATGCACTTCTTAGATGTTTTGGGCATGAAATAGCTAGCAGAATATGGAATAAGTGCTTGAAATAGAATACACATCAGACTAAGCTCATTGTGGAATGCTAACTATGCAAAAATGCTGCTTGTTCGCACATATTTATTGCCAACTTTGCACGAAACGCAGGTGTTCATAGAATTTCTCAGCGAGGAAGACGCCAAGCTGCCCTTCCGAGAGTCTCGGTTTTTTGGGATTCTCGATCGGCACATCAACACGATCGTCATCTATGTCCAGCTGCCACTAGAAGAGGAAGGTTCGTGCAGCTCAATTACCCCATACTGCGCAGGTCGATTTCATCTGGAACTTTCAGTGCAGATTACGTTCGAACCTCACTACATTCAAACCTCAATATAACAAACCTGGATAGAACGAAATATCTGTTTTAATGAAGTACATTAAGTGTACTCTTGCATTAAATATACACTCAAACTTACGTATAATGAATTATTGGTTATAATGAAGTGACCAATAGGTTTGCCATAAATAGTGTTACGAATAATTGTTCATAACGAATTGCCAGATATAATGAACTTATTTTCGTGACAGATGTGACTATGTTATAATGAGGTTTAAGTGTATTTTAATCCCTCTGTTCTCCTCTTACAACAACCGAATTTGTGGCCTATTTCCCTCTGTGGGTCACGAGCTGCGGTTGTTGAATCCCGCAATGAAACTTGACGGACTGCTGCCGTAGACGTACCTTTCTACCCTCCTGAATTTGCTGTAAAGTTTACGAATTTCCACTTGTTTTCATTGCCCAACAGACGCTTTCAAGTTATGCAGTATAACCCCTCTGTTAAAATCCTCAGTGCGGCATTTTCCTGGCTGTTAACGGCATTTTGCGCTAGTCCCGGCATATTTCTCGTTGGGTATACTGCATGTAGGATACAGTCAAACCTCTTTAATACGTACCCGCTTAATATGTAACTGCGGTTTATACGTAGTAGCGAGGAATCCCCCGCCCTATCTCCATTGAACCCCATGTATTGGCTGACCGCTTAAGCCGTAGTCGCTTGTGGTGTTATGTACGGTTAGTACGTACTATTTTCGTTCTCTTTATCCATGCACAGGCCGAAAATCGGCAAAATTTCGTGCGCACAGACGGTCGATACACTCCATGTGGCGATCGGACAACAACCACCAGCGATAGTGACGTCACAACATGGCCACGATGACGTATTTTTTGCGCGTACGTCTGTTGCCGATCCCATTGTGCAAGAGCATGGCCTTCAAGATCGGTTTTTGGTAACCTAGGAATTCTCGATTGCTGGTCCCGGTAGGGGGTGCAAATTCGCTGTCGCTTTCAATCCAAGCCAAGTACGTATTCTCAACGGCTCCACAGCGTCGAGCCAGGCTGAGCTCGTTTCTTTATTCGGTCGTTAGTCCTCACTTTCCCGCAGTGTTGGTCGTGGCGGCGGTGTGGTGGTGTTGCGTTACTTACGTTCTTGTGCGGCGTGTTGTGTTTTTTTTTTTTTGTTGTTTTTTTTATTCTTGTGTTGTGCGCGAGTGGTGCGATTAAATTCGCACACTAAAACTTCTTACTATGCCGAAGTACCACGTCTTGAGCGTAAAGGAAAAACTTGAAATCATTCGCACTATTGAAAATGGGGCCAAGAAATCTGCGGTAGCCCGCGATAAGAACTTGCCGCTGACTACTGTATGCGGAATTTGGAACGCTCGCGAAAAGTTGACGGGAGGCACAGACAGCGATTTGAAGAGGTGCCGCATGAGAGACTCAGCTTATCCCGAAGTGGAAAAGGCCCTGCTTCTCTGGCTGAAGAAGGCGCGGAGCATGAACCTGCCGGTTAGCGGACCCCTTCTGACCGAAAAAGCCCTAACTTTCGCAGATCAGCTGAACTGCCCCGGTTTTGCCTGCAGCAACGGCTGGTTGTCGCGGTTTAAAGCCCGCTACGGCATCGTGGGGAAGGTTGTTTGTGGTGAGGCTGCTGCAGCAGACAAAGAAGGCGCTGTTGAATGGCAGGACACCGTTTTGCAGGAAGCCTTGACAGCCTACGATGCCGCCGACATTTTTAATTTTGATGAGTCGGCACTTTTTTATTGCCTTCTTCCAAATAGGACATTGGCATTTAAAAATGAGACGTGCACCGGCGGGAAACACGCCAAAAATCGCATATCGGTCGCTTTTGGCGTAAATATGACCGGTAGTGAGAAGCTGCCACTGATGGTCATTGGCAAGTATGGAAACCCGCGGTGCTTCAAAGGCGCTCGGCTGCCATCCGGTGTTGTTTACAAGCACAACAAAAAAGCCTGGATGACAGCCCAGCTGTTCGAGGAGTACGTGCGCCAGCTGGACCGCCGTTTTGCTGCCAAGAAAAGGAGCATTTTGATAGTGCTTGACAATGCGTCGGCGCATGTCGATGTGGGTAACCTGTCGGCTATTAAGCTGTTGTTTTTGCCGCCCAACACGACAGCGCTCGCCCAGCCCCTCGATCAGGGCATCATCCGCTCTGTCAAACAGATTTACCGCAAAAATCTTTTGCGGCGGATGTTGATCGCCATGGAGAGTGCCAAAACGTACAGTATAGACCTCCTGGGTGCTATACACCTGCTTGCACACTCATGGATGCAGGTGCAGCCTGCAACGATACGGAACTGTTTCGCGCGAGCACAATTCAAGATGCCAGAAGAAGGCAACGACGAGAACATGGAGGATAACGAGGATGGTGAGGACACCGAAGACTGCGAGAGCCTCCTTGTTGAGGTGCTCGAGCGGCAAGGAGAGGGAGTCGACAAGTTCAACTTCGGCACTTTCCGAGATGTGGACGGAGACGTCCTTACATCCCCGGACTTTTCCGACAGCGACATTGTTGCCGCCATCGCACCTCGTCCCGATTCAAGCGAAAGTGAGGAGGAGGGCGATGTCGAAGTGGACGACGGCCCCTCGTTATCCGAAGCTGCGCGTGCTGTGACTGTGATGCGAGCCTTCGCCGAGAAGCGTGGCCTAATGGACCGGCTGGCTCGCGGCCTCACCGACTTCGAAGATGCCGTCGTCGAGGCAAGGCCACCACGGCGGCAAGTGAAGATCACAGATTTTTTTGCTGCCTGTCCATAAATAAAGCTGGCGTGCCGGCGTGTGTGCGCGCGCGTGTTTGTGAGGATTGTGGCCTTCTTTTCTGACCGGTAAGTAGCCGCTAAACTGGCACTGACGGTTAATTCGTACATCGCTTAATGCGTACCAAAACGTCATTCCCGGCCAACTACGGTCTAACGAGGTTTCACTGTATAATGTGGTTGTAGGAGTGTTCCTGTATGATGTGTCGTGAAGTGTGTGTAGTTTAGCATTTCACCTACTTGTACAGTTTCGAACATTCAGAAAACATTTGCGAACGGCCAATCCCGTGTCTTATGTGTAGCGGTACTATCCTTCACCTTTTTTGAAAATAAAGTAAAATGTTAACTGTTGCTAGAATTAGTAAGTGGGCCTTAAAACGCTCTGCATAAGCATGAACAGTGTTGGCTCTGTTGTGTCTTCGTGCAGTGTCACTGGAGAAGCAGCGCATGTCTGCCAGCGCCGAGAATGATGAAAGGTGTGGCAGCGTGGAAGATGAGGGTGGCACAGGTGAGCGTAACAGGCATTCATTGCTGAACATTGCATTAGCTGTGCATTTCTGCCGCTATATCTTGTGAATGAGAGGCTGTATGTAACCCATGCTGTACGAGTTTTACTAATTGTGCTAAAGTTTGCCAGATTCATGCTATATGTCACCCAAGATGAAGAGTTTTCAGGGCTAGCTTTTTTTTTTCTTTGTTACATAATAATAATTAGAACTAATAGACGAGAAAGTCAAGGAAAGTATAGGGAATGACTCTTGTAGGGGCGTGTGTGATTTAAATGTGAGGTATGTAAAGTGGGCAAAAAAGTAACTTGGCACTGCCGGGGAGACCGAACCTGCAAACTTCGAATAAATGCATCCAGCGCTCTACATGATGGCGTTGAGTTATCTTTCCGTTCACTTTTCTTTTGGGGGGAGGTCTGTAGCGGTGAGCCAAGACAGTCGTAGGTGGCCTGAGAAACTGCGCCAGTGTTCGCCGTCACAGCCCGTGCTCCCATATATAGAGCTGTGGGCAACGTCGCTATCACTAAACCGCGCACGACCACCTCGATTAGTTCGGGCTCCATCGCAGGGCCGTCGGTGCCTAGCAACAGCTTTTCAACGACACCTTAGAGCCCAGGCATGTCTTCCGCTGCTGATGTCGAACCTGAAGCCAGCCTGGACGAGCACCTACTTGTCATGAGCTAAGCCTAAATCACGTGCATACAGATTCGAACAACCACACCCGAGCCTCTTTATGTCCACCACTCAACCTTAACTCTCATTCTCTCAGTCCCAATGATGATGATCACATAGTGCCTTCTCTTGGCCACCCTGACAAAATAATCTTTTATGACGAATTTTCGGATATAGCGAAATAATGTCATGGCAGATGCGATTTTGTTGTGAGGTTTGAGCAGAAATGGAGCAGTGTAGACTAAGACAGCTTTGTGGTAAAAATGGCATTTGTGCTTGTGCGTTTGATGTTGCATTGCCTTTTACTTTTGAAGTGCTCAGTTCTAGTTTCTTGTTCTGCGTGCAGCCACGGCGAAGCCTACGCAACCGATGCAGACGGCAAACACAGCACTGTCGGACGGCTATGACAGCGACCTCTGCGATTCGTCCTCTTCAGGGTGCCGCGGTGGCGACCACTCGGAGGACTCTAGTCTCACGGACAGCGAACGGACCCTGGTAGGTGACGACATGTCGCCACGCAACAACTCTCCTGACATTGCCGACGCATATGACGGTGGCGAGGAGCAGCAGCCTAAATTAGTGCCTTCTGTGGGTGAGTCTGTTGAAGTCTTGCGTCTGTCAACCGAACATTGCATTTAGATTGAGCGAAACAAAGGAGGATACTGTAAACTACTGATCAAACGTTCCCACTCTCTCTGCGATTGTATTAGTTCTGTGATACATGATAAGGGTTGCAGCGCGAGCACGAATGTGCTAGAAGAAACAGACGAAAGTCGAGGTACGGAAGGCAAACAGGACAACACGAGCGCTGACTACCAACTGAATTTTATTATTTGCAGCACACATGATAATATATACAACAGGCAACCTTTGAACAGCACACGTGAGCAACGTGACATATTCTGGGGAATGTTCTGATGATCATCAGAATATTCCCCAGAATTTATCAGAACATTCCCCAGAATATGTCACGTTGCTCACGTGAGCTGTTCCAAGGTTGCCTGTTGTATATAATCATGTGTGCTGCAAATAATAAAATTCAGTTGGTAGTCAGCGCTCGTGTTGTCCTCTTTGCCTTCCGTACCTCGACTTTCGTCTGTTTCTTCTAGCACATTCGTGCTCGCGCTGCAACCCTTATTATCATGAATTCAAACCAACAAGCCCAAATCGCCATTCTTCTTCAATGCAGTTCTGTGATAATATACAGTCGCAAAAAAAATTAAAGGGGCTTTGCAACACTAAAATTAACCATCAAATTGCTTCATTTGACTGTCGCAGGAATTTTTAATCCGTCAAGTACAAACGGATTTACAGGGATTTCCCGCCTGCTATACAGTTGAACCTGCTTATAACGAACCTCCATATAACGAAGTTTTTCTATTCCCCGCCATCGCTCCATAGGGGCACGTGCATTTTACGACCTATATGTAACCAAGTAACTGCGGGAGACAACCTTGATATAATTAATTTTAGCATCTTGGTATAAGCATGCATCTTTCGCTGCTGCCCCGCCGAAGCGCGAAGCGGCGCGGGCTGCGTCCGCATGAGGCGGGCCTGCCCCAGCCGGCGTTGCCCCCTTTCTCTCGCCACGGTCGCATGCGCGGGTGTGCTCGTCCCCCTCCAAACCAAAATAATTATTAAAAATTCTTTTCCGCTTTGGCAATGGCACGCTTTTAGTTAGCGTCACATATGTGGGCCGCGCTGCCTATGGAGGGCACTTTACTGAATAGTTTCCACGGTAACTGTGTCTGTGTCCATGTCATTCGCTCTTTGTTTTCGACGCCGTGCGTGCGTGCATAGTTTCACTGCGCGCGCATGGCGTGTCCCTTGACGACGACGGTAATTATGTATAAGGGCAGTTTCGGCTGGGTTTTTGCCGCCGCTGCCTTCATTCACCGTATATGCATAGAGTATATATATATATATATATATATATACTCTATGCATATATATATATATATATATATATATATATACGCTATATATATATATATATATATATATATATATATATATATATATATATATATATATATATATACGCTCGTGCGCGTTGTGTCAGCACCGCAAGCGATCCACATCCCCGCCTGCTGGTTTCCTTCAGCCTCTTCCCTGTCCCACCACACCATTCGAATTTGTCGGAATAGACTTGTATGGTCCTTTGCCGTTGACACCTTCCGGTCACCGTTGGATCGTCACTGCAGTCGACCATCAAACAAGATACGCCGAGACTTCACCTCTTCATTCTGCTACCGCCACAGAAATCGCCAATTTTTTCTTGAACTCCATCGTCTTGCGCCACGGAGCCCCTCGCGTCCTTTTGAGTGACCGTGGCAAAGCCTTCCTTTCCAAGGTCCTGGATGAAGTCCTGCAGGCGTGCAATACAGTCCATAAAACCACTTCTACATACCATCCGCAAACGAATGGCCTTACCGAGCGCTTCCACCGAACACTCTCTGACATGATATCGATGTACTTGCATCCTGACCACAAAAATTGGGATAACATTTTACCGTTTGTCACCTTCGCATACAATACTGCGGTACAACGATCAACTGGCTACAGCCCGTTTTTTCTCGTGTACGGCCGATCTGCCTCCTCGGTCTTCGACACGGCATTTTTCTTTGCACCGGCTCCAAGCAGTACCTCGCTCCCAGAAGAGTTCGCAGCCCGAGTCACACAATGCCGTGAAATTGCTCGCAAAAACACGGAAGCAACCCAAAAGGAGAGAAAACATCGCTGTGATAAAAAACGACGCGACGTGGCCTTTAATGCTGGCGATAAGGTTTTACTATGGACCCCGGTTCGAGCGTCGGGCCTTTGCGAGAAATTTCTTCACCGGTATGTTGGCCCATACACCGTTGTACGACAGACATCTCCAGTTAACTACCTCGTCACCCCGCTTCAGTCTGTCACTGACCGCCGTCTGCGCAGCACGGAAATAGTTCACGTCTCACGCATGAAGCCTTTTGTTACTCGTTCGGCCGATCTCTGACTGGCGGCCAGGTTGGCCGCTTCGCAGAGGGGGGGGGGAAATTGTAAGCACATTCCAAGCATTTGATCGTTCTCACTTGCACATACCCATCATCATCGTTCTCACTTGCACATACCCATCATCATCGTCCTCTCTCTTGGTGTGGTTCTGAGCGGAGCCAGACATCGCAGAATAAACGCTTCTGCTCGCCCTGCCTGCTCGCCGTACCTAGTCTGCCTGCGTCTTTCAATATATATATATATATACATACATATATATGAAAACTAAAAAAAAAACCGCCCGCGCTCGGTGTTCAGCTTGTCAAGATGTGCCGACAGGCACTCGTCTCCCACGCGTACTTTGCCCGCGGATGCGGAGGAGGGAGAGGGGGGTTAGATGTTTGTGCGTGCGCGCTTATTCTTCAGTGGGGAGAATTGCGCACCTTCAACTTTGACCGGAACGATTGCGTTTGCTATTTTCACACAGTCCCTTCGTATTGACGCCGCACTGATACTTGTCGAGATAGCAAGCGCGCCAGCGATCGAACGCGACTGCCCTTAAAATCCAAGTTCATTATTGCTACTCGAGCGATTTCCCCCCCCCCCCTCCCCACGTTGTTTCATGCTTGTTTAAGACAGGTGGTTTACTTTCCGTTTGAGCATTCTATGGCAGTTCTGACGCGAGGAAGATGTTACCCACTTCTCAGGCGATAGGGATGGGCCGACTCATGCGATCTCTACTTCAGCAGCGCTCGCGCGCTTTTACCTGCTTGTGAAAGTTACAATGCACGGAGGCATGTTGTAAATTTGGACTTGTTGCGGAACATGGCGGTGACAGCAAGAACTCGTCAAAAGTGTCTATATAATTGCTATCGCAGTAATAACGCAGTTTTTTTACCCTAAAATGAGTGTTTGGGATTGGCTCTGCTTTCAGTCCCCCTTTTGTTTAATTTGCGAGCTTATTTTCCAAATTTTCGTACCGAAACTGCATATAACGAAAACCTCTATAATGAATTTTGGGGGGAATTTATCAATTTTGGTATATTCAGATTTAACTGTAATTGCTTCCGCTCTTCTCTCATCCTGATGAGTGTGCTCGAAGCTAAGCAGGTAAAGGTGCCATGGGGGCAAAAAATCGCGCCACGCACATGCCATAACCTTTGGAGCACTTTTTCTTTTCTTCTCAGGGTGTGCTACTTACTTTCAGAGTGACCACAAGTTCGCACATAGGCACATGGCAGCCTCGCTAACTGTGCAGCTTGGGATGCACAAATCAGCCAGTGGTACAGTGATTTAGACATACGGCATCATCAGGCTGTGTGCCGTACTACGTTTGGCTTGCGTGTTCTCGACTACTAATTGGCAACATTTCTGACCAGCTGAAAAAAAACGTTGCACGGTCCCTTTAACTATGCCCCTCATTTCGCCCACATTTTGGCCACCGTCTTGAATTTTTGGGAAGTTCCAGGCAAAAGCCCACTCCCAACGTCCTCTGCATTATCCCCACATCGAGGCCGTGGGGCTAGGCTTAATGAGTATCTGGTGGTAAAACACTTAACAAACTTTCAAAAGTGTTTAAATATTTGTTTGGGCAAAGGGTTCTGGGTGATTCCACGTATACCTTCTCTGTAAGATAGGTGCTTACTCGAAAAATATCTGGCTTCATTGCGCACCACTGTTGTCTGAAGCTAGTCTGAAGTTACTTCCTTACAGCAAGGATGTTAGCTGTCATCACCATTATTTATTGGCTTCTCAGTGGAGGAATTTTTTTATTTATCTATTACATACTGCAGGCCCTTAGGTCCTAGCAGGTGGGCAGTTAGAAGAGGACATAGTTGAAACAATAAGTGGCATAAAGACTGTTTGGGGTGAGTGTTTGTCATAGAAAAGGCATTTTAAAATGGTGTCTTGTAACAAAACAGAGTCCATGCTGTCAACTTTCGAGGAACTTGGGATAAGTGAGGATACACAACTTTTCATTCTCTGTCAATATCGTTAAAACTTGCTGAGTTTAGGTATATGTGTGTGCTGTTTTCAAATCGACAGTTTTCTTCCAATAAAATTTGCACTTTTTATAATTTTTACAGATTTCATTCAGACTTTCTGGGCAAAAATTTTCTTCAAGTGACAAAAGTGAAGTAGATTTGCACATCACTGTATTCTGAAATTATTTATAGGTGAAACAAAATTTTTAAAAAATTATCTAAGCCTGCCTGAACAAGAATCCTGCATTTTATGTTTATGAGCAGAATCGCAGCATGACGTTGACTTGCTTGTTAGTTTCACATACCATAACTTGGGTTATAAAATTACTTTTGAAAACTAAGCAAGTCCTTATAGTTTCAGACGACGACGTCGTCCGTTTGTCGTCGTTCTGATCTCGGGCTACAATAGTCGTGTCATACCAACTAGCCCGAACCGCCATCTTTATAGTTTCGCCACACTTGGCCATAACTTGCAAGAAACATCTCCACAACCGATGTCGTAACGCACAGCCTCTACTGAAACCTGAGCCTTCTGTTCGTAAGAAATGGAGGGAAGTTTCATTGTAGTTCGCTCTCAGACAGCCCAGTGTGTTAGCCGTAGAGAGAGAATAAGCTTTTATTGGCGAATGTATAAACAGAGAGCCTTCATTGGATGGGGCCCCCAGTCTGGGGCTCCATCGCCTGGCACGAACCTGCGAGCCCGCTGGACCAGCTGTTGCTGTTTCTGCTGCCATAAGCTGAGCAGTGCAGACTTCAAAGAGGAAGGGTTTGGGTTGGCGATGGGAGTGTTCTATCATCTTCTGCATGTAGTGTAGCTTTGTTTCCACATATACAATCAAACTTCGATATAACGAATGTGGTTGCCCCGCCGCGGTGGTCTAGTGGCTAAGGTACTCGGCTGCTGACCCGCAGGTCGCGGGTTCAAATCCCGGCTGCGGCGGCTGCATTTCCGATGGAGGCGGAAATGTTGTAGGCCCGTGTGCTCAGATTTGGGTGCACGTTAAAGAACCCCAGGTGGTCTAAATTTCCGGAGCCCTCCACTACGGCGTCTCTCATAATCATATGGTGGTTTTGGACGTTAAACCCGACAAATCAATCAATCAACGAATAAGGTTATAACGACTTAGTGGTTATAGTGAAGTGGATGAAAAGTAAACTCAAACCCTTATATAACGAAATGTTGGTTATAGCGAAGTAAAAGAAAACTAGTCTTGTGATGCATATAGTGTTAGTAATAAACCTTTAGAACGAATTTTTGGATATAGTGAGCTTATTTTTGTGTGAGATGTAACTTTGTTATAATGAGCTACGATTATCTTACAATAGATCCAGTGTTAACAATATGATTTCATAACAAATTTTCGGATACAACTTATTTTCGTGTGATATGCAACTTCGTTATACAGTTGAACATGGGTATATTGAACTCGAAAGGGATCACGAATTAGTTTGATATACGAAAAATTTGATATAAAAAAAATAGAGGCCCCGAGAGCTTGCTTGTAGCGGATCATCACCTACAATAGGGGCATTCAAGAATGACAACTAATTCCGTACACGTACCGCAACAGCATGATTTATTTGCATGAAAAAAATCTATAATCTTGGCCTGCTTCTTTGTTTTGGAAATGTTCAAGATGCTAGTCTCGATCTTATTAAGGCTGTCCAGATAGGACGGCCTTGTTCCCTCAATCTGGCTGATACAACAGCGAATTATGCCGAACGCTGCTGCCACTTCAGTGGCGAAGTACACACGTGTAACCAGCATCTTGTCCGGACGATCCTCCTTGTCACATGAGCTGTCGGCTTGGACATTGTAGTTCGCTTCAGCGAAGTCATCCGCAGACACTTCATGTGGAACTGCTGCCGGGAAGCAGGATAACAACTCGTGAAACGCATCGTCTATGCGCTTGTCCTTGTCGTCTTCACAGGTTTCCACAAGTTCTGCTGTCCTGATTCTTGCCTTGTGGAAGCAGTTGACCACTGGGTCGGTCTTCACGTCTCGCTGGGCAGTGAAGATCTCCGCTGGAGAAAACTTTGTGGAGATTTACAGCCACTTTTGTCGTCCACTGCTGGGTGTCCCGGCTGCTCACAACTTCGCTTTAACCAGAATTGGTTTTGCCAACGATACTGTAGCACTGCTTAAATTGGTGAAGCCACCTGCTGTTCCGGGCGAAGTTGTTTCGCCGAATACAGCAGCAAACCATTTGGCCTTGGCGATCAGCATCGGGCCATCTACCAGAATTTTGTTCGCGCACTCTTCTTAAAACCAGGCATAGTGTTTTTTCTACATTCCCGTGGAAAGTCATCCGCAACGGTCGAATATGCCTCGCCTGCCTCAACACACACTGAATTGCCTTCAACTTCGTTGCAGTCAAGGGTCTTGTGCTTCTTGACGCTGGCCATAGCTACACGAGAAGGCGACAGTTCAAGGAGTGTGCAGCGGCTATGCACACCACGCACACAAAAGAGAAATTGCTGCACATGTGGTGGTACGAAGACAACGCGACAGTGGAAGCTGCAAAGCTGTCCCGAGGCGATGGCCACCTGTGAGGGCAACAGCAAGGGCATGATCTGTGGTTGGCGCGAGCTGTGGTTGGCGAAAGGAGGAGGACGGGGCCTCCTTTGTGCCTGCTCTTCGAGCGGACGGGTACGCAGAGAAACCATGAGAGAGACGAAGAGAAACAGGGGGGGGGGGGGAACGTTCTACAAGCTAGATTGTGCAGTCAGAGCCTTCTCGCCCCTCACCTTTTTTCGAGCGTTTCGGGTTTTGACGGAGGCGTGGTGCCGAGTGGAGGTCACCGGGCGCTGCGAGTGCCAAAGTGTGCTTTCCAACTCGCGCGACCTTCGATATATCGAAAGGTGGGTAAAAATACTGTTCGATATATACATGCGAATTGCTACACTTTTGCAAAGGAATTTCAAGGGGATAACTTGCGAGTTCGATATACCTGGATATTCAATATACGCGGATTCAATAGGACTGTGTTTGACTGTAATGACTTCCGAGTGTGTAACTGGCTGGTCTTCTGCAACACTGCAGAGATGACGGACCAGATCAAGCGGAGCATGCTTGAACCTAGTGGCAGCACGTCTGTCGCCACACCCGCTCCTGCCACATCTGCTGCCGACGGTGTGTCTGAAGAGGCCACTGGCTTCGCCTGCGGCGACGCGGCGGTGAGTGGTTGCTATACGACGATTGCTATAGTGCAGACTTTTGACATTAGAGATTCGTCCTCGTTTGTCTGTGTCCAAGGCCCGTATTCAAAAACGCTCCTCATCTTGAAACTCGACTTAGAAGAATCTTTGAGGCAATGCAAAAGGTGTCAGAAGTTTCTTTAGGTCGAGTTTCAAGTCGAGGAGCATTGTGAATGCAGACCTTAGACACAAAGACAAAGGAGAACGAAATCATCCGTGTTTGTCTCCAGTGTTCAATTCCTCAGTTTGCGCTCTGACATACGGATTAGCCCAAGCTGCCACCGGTCAACTAGGGACTGCACGGGCGAGATATGGCTACGGCCTCGCCCCAGATCTCTCTTCTCATTTTGCGACTCGCCATGTGGACATGCCATGCTGACATTTGCTGGCGAAAGACTCTGTCGTGATTACCGGATCCCAAGAGGTCAAAGGGAACGTTAGAAAAGCGAGGGGGTGGTGCAGTCTTGCAGCAGGTGCTGAGTGTATACGTTATAGCATATTCAGATTTTTCAGCCCTTACCTTTCAACAAAAGAAGGGCTCATTTCCTTTGTGACACAAACTTATGAAACCAGCAAGCATTGAAGCCAGGGAATGTGTGGGGAACATTATATGCAGTCTTTTTAACTATGGTGTAGTAATTGCAATGTGAATGTAGTAAAACTAGGTGTACAAACAAGTTTGCTGCAGGCAGGAATGTTCTTTTCATCCGTTTTAATTTATTTGCATTTATATCACAAATACTTGCTACAGTGTGCGACCAATGATGACTCCAATGAATGCATGCCTTGGCTTCATCATTTGTCCGTTTTTTCATCAGCTTTTATCTTCGGCACTTTCTTAACAACTGGAACGACTCCTTTCGAAGGATTCATTGGTCTATGTCAGCACCAAGGAGCTATTTGCATCTGAAATTGTGTATGTGCGAGAAGTCTTGGGCACTGTGGAGATGCTGCGTGCTTAATTCATTTCTTATTGCAGCCGTCGCAAGTGGAGGTGGCGCCCACTAAAGAAGAGCCGCGGCGCTACTTTCGTGCATGGCCGTACACGGACAAAGAGGACGGCAGCCGCAGTAAGTTGTCGATGCAGATGGCACTGCAATCTTAGGTGTCTTCAGGCTCGTTCACACCTGTTGCCAGCACAGGTCACAAATGCTGTGCGAATATCTGAAAATTCTAAATAATGAATGGGGTTCAGTACTTGAACAGTGCATGTTAAAAATACCTTTTTAATAGTGTGCATGAATGTGAAAATTCAAAGGCACAAAACTTCTAAATGGGGTGTATCACTTCTCACTTCAGGTGTTGAATTATAGAGATGCATGCATCCAGAACATTTATGGGACCATCAATGCTGTATCAATTGCCGTATCAAACTGTTATTGTGTAAAACTCTGGTGTCGCTTGAGCAAAGGTATTGATACCGCCTTTAATACTGAAGTTACTGCTTTATTTCAGCCAGCAATTACTCGACTCTCTGCTGTATGCAAGCTAACTTGAGTTTACATAATTCTGGCATTCTTGTTGGTTAAAACAAATAGTAATGTTTCTACATTAGTGCTTGTGAATATTTGTTTCAAATCAAGTGGGGAATGTTACCCATTTTGCAAACTGTTTCCTTGCCACTCAAACTATTTGAACTGTTTGATTCAGTGTTATCGCTATTCGGTTCCTTTTTTTTCCATTTCTGAAGATGAGTATTTGTGCACCCACTTTAGTCATGTGACAAAGCTAGTCACTTTGGTTGAAAAGCAACTGTTCCGCTTTCTTGCTGCTAAATTTTCTAGCCTTGAACCTTTGAACCACGCAGATGGTCAGAAATAGGGCCACCCCTTTATTTTGCGTGCCAATGGCTTCGCTTGCAGATGTCGATTCAGTGTGGCAACTCATGGATGTTGCACCATATTGTGCTAACTCCGGTCGCCCTGAGTCACCTTGTGGTCCGAAGTGCCAAGTGGTTACACAGCCAGTGCTAGTTGCAGATATGAAGTCTTCAGAGTTGCTTCGCGTGTCGCACGAGCAGGAGGAGGCATGAGTAGAGACGGCCATCTTGAATGCGAGATGAGAAGGGTTGCAAGGGATGACCACTGAAGTTGGGGGCAGCCCTCATTGCCGATGTTTTAGAGTCACAAGGGAGTAATAGAAAGTTGGGATGTGCATTCTAAAAAAAAAAAAGGTGCATTTGGGGTATTTTGTGACACAATAATCTATCACCACACACCCAGCACTTCCAGGTCAAGAACTTCATGTGCACTGTGAGAGTGTGTGAAAGGAATTCTTGACAGTAGGGTAGCCAGAATGTAATTTTTGAAAAACACAACACATCCAGACCCGATTATTATCATTGCGGGGCAGACTCTCAACAAATTCTGCGTGATTTCAGTGATCATTTCGTGTGGAGTCAGTAAGGTGTAATAACTCGGATCAGGGGTAAGCCTTTGCAACACCTGCATTTCGTGTGGAGTCAAAACAGGGTGAAGCATTAAATGCATCCTTTTGACCCTTATGGAAGCAGAAGGGCACATTTGTGAGGAGTAGAAAAAGGTAAGAGCAAGAGTCTGGGGTAGCCCTTGGCATTGTTTGTGTTTCATGCAGATTCTGAAAGAGTAAATGTTGTGGCATTCTCACTAAGGGTCATTTTTTTTCCTTTCTTGAACATCCACATCACCATTCAGGTCTATGGGCAGCCTGTGCGCTTTGTGGTTTTGCATTTACTCATTATCTGCAGCTGCTAGAAGCATCATTGGCTGGTTGGCAAACTGAAAAGCGTATATGGTTGTTGCGAGGCAGAATTTGAGCATGGTCAGTGCGTCGTGCAGCTGAGCTACGATTGCCATGACAGTAGAGATTGTTTTGTGGGTCATTGTTGGGTTTCATAAAAGTTTTTTTACAGTGATGTCGTCATGCTTCTGTTTAGCGACAGAGAGGCTTTCATTTTTGTTGGCTGAAATTAGGTTTAACATAAAGTTATACCATGTTGGAAGATTAACTGGTACGGATATTTCTGCACAGAGCTTCGGGTCTACATTGACAAGCGTATCACATTCGGGGCACTCAAGAAGGAGCTGGAGCCGTACATCGGCATAGACTCCAGCCACTTCAAGGTTAGTCATCACGCTAGTTTCTATGGCTTAACTGACATCTCACCTTAAAGATAGTTTTTTTTTTTTTTCAAAGCATGGCTGAATATTTGAGCACTTCAAATATTCAAGTGAATCTTATAATATTCAAATGTGCTTCCAAATGAAATTAAGATAACCGAAATGTTACATATTTAAAATGAACACGTGAACATTAAATTTGCCACATGTAACCCCACCGAAAGGAGGGTTTCACTGCAGCATGCAGCTGCTTCACTGAGAAACCACCTACACGTGGGATTGTCGCCCTGTCAGTGCATGAGAAAGAACACCAGATGGGTGAACTTTCCGGAGTCTTCCACAACAGCATCAGGGTGACGGCGTACGGACGCCGCCCGTATGTAGTTTCATTCTGTCACAGGCACACACATCAGAGACTGGCACAGGTTGTCTTTTGGTGCGTCTCACTTGATGCAGGCTGATTTTTTGTGTATTAGCTTGCGAAGTCATTTGCCACTTCGTCATGAAGCCACTACAGACAAGCCGTAGCGCTGATGCGTCCGTCAGAATTGGTACAGTGCCGGCTTTTGCTCCTCCGACACGGCAGGTGTTCCGGGTGTACTCCAACAACCAGGAGTTCGAGTGCACCAAGTTGACGGACAACCTCGCCTCGTACGCCGAAGACACCAAGGTGAGGAAAATTGAAGCAAACACACATGTTGCATTGTGTCTTGAAATGGGAGTTGGTCAAATTTTCTAATTTGGTACTGTCCTTGCTGGTTCTTTTGACCATTTCATAATATTAACAAATTTAGACTCTTTAAGGTTTTTGTGACATTCTGCCACATTGAACCATGAACGTGTGCAAAAGTTAAATTGTACAGCTGCAGTGGGGTATCTAGCATTGCTCCTAGCGCAGCACTGAGCTTAAAACAGATGTAAAGAAAACTTGCATTTGTTCAAATACAGTGGTGTAAAGAATGGAAGCATGATGGCTGTGCTGGTTGCGTTCTGCAGGCTGGCAGTGCAACAAGATTGTAGGTTCGACTCTCTTATCTGCCAAATTGAGAGGATGCATGTCACAGGAATCACCATGCACTTGTGCCACTTATCTAGTTGCCTTCATTGCCAGTACGATATACCCGCCTTGGCAAATAACACCACACTCTGCTGCACCACGGGGATGGGAACTTGGTGAGATCTTATCACCTAGAAAACAAGGTCTTGGCAGCCTGTCTTCCCAGGTCGTCTGCCTGAAAAGGGATCAGCCCTTGTGCAATACTGAATTGAGTGCCTGTCTGTAGCCATGCTGTCCCATGCCTGTCAGTGAGTTCTCCCCCCTTTTTTTACTCCATTATTGCTGTTTCCACGTGCATGGTAGCATAACGGACAAATTTTAGCCATTAATTCAAACTTTCTAGTGATGTCAATTGTTTGTGTAATGTTACCGCTATGTTGCTTAATGTTCAAAACGCTGCCGCTTTGTTAAGCCAACTAAGGTTGGAATTTCTTTACTTACCGTGGTTAACTTGCAAGAATTTACTGACAGAAGTGAGGAAAGCTATTTCAACTCCAACCAAAATAAAGTACGTGAAAATGCGATGGAACCAGGCGCTTCGGAACCTCCTTGGTTTCTTCGTCAGGGGGGACTGTGGCAACATTGCAGCGGCGTCTTCAAGGCACTCGCGTGGCAGTTAATGACCCCATGTTTGGTGTGGAGCGTAGTTCGTGTGCAAACACTGGGGAAAGGTTTCGAGGGAATGGTTGATCCCCCAATGTATGCACATGGGCTACGCTACATGGCAAAGTGTGGGGTTATTAACTGTCGTGCGAGAGCCTTCAAAACGTCGCTGCAACATTGCCACAGTCCCTCCTGCAGAAGAAACCAAGCCAATTCCAAAACCTCTGGCTCTAGTGCATTTTCATGTACTTTGGTTGGAGTTAAGATAGTTTTCTTCAGTTTACCTACCCTACCAGACATGTAACGCTTACATTCACCGACAGAGGGGGTGGGAATGCCACGACCGTGAATAAACGGGTCACGTGGGGTGATATTTTTTAAGCGTTCTGTGACATAAACAGATGACATGGGGTGGTGTTTTGTAAGCGTTCTGTGACATAGTGGCTTAAAATGTCGTGAGATTACAGGGAGCAAAGAGCCGATTGCAAAATGTTTTCAGCACAGAAAGAAATACAATTATAGCTGAACATCAATGTAGGCAGGCGTTGTTTTTCAGGCTTGAAATTGAAGAATGTGAGGACGTTAAGAACTTATTTGTGGTAATATCTTGAGTGGATTCTAAGTGGTGTTGCAATTAGATGACATTCAGTGGATGGACAAGGGGTGGATTCTTTGCAAACTATGGGCATAGGATTGCAGTAAGCCAGACACAAAGCATGCAGACACAAAGCCCAGCACTTGTGTTTCTATCCAATCCAAGTCTTCAATATACTCCTTTGTATCCGTTCCATTAGAGAGATCGGGACCTTTGTTCGTTTCGTTATTGTTCTGCACCAAAGTTATTGACAGCACTGCCGTGTCCGGTTTCTGTTCTCGCGTCTGGCCGACTGACAAGCTTTGTCCGATTTCATAGGGCGCCCTCTTGTCCTTTCGTGACGTTTCGTTCTGTGGCAGAACTCTTACCAAATAGTCCCCGCAATTCTTGCTGTCGTGGAATGGTATTCAAGTTGCTTTCAATGTGTCCCCTTATGGCTTTCCGTCTGTGCACAGTTTGTCATCAAGCTGGGACGGGCACTGAAGCCTGGCGAGCACCGCATGGACATCTACCTCCTGTCGCCAAACGATCCAGAGGTTAGTGAGGGGTGGGTTTTCTTCCACATCAAGAAACCTAACTTTTCTGGCCATCTTTCAGGCATTTGTAAATGATCAAGAAGCCTTTTACAGCAAAGCTATCCTAGTTTTACGTTTTACCAGATGTTATCGTAGTAGTTATCATGCAGGTCATGTGACCAGAAAAGGCAGTGAATAAAGACAGATTATTATGAGGCTCGAAATCATAGTGAGGCTCACTAACTAATCACATTATGCCCCAGTACTTACAGCTTCATTGTCCTGTGGTTCCCATGGTGTGGAATCGACGAATTGTATTTGGCTAAGGCATTTATTTTATTGTGATAACAATTATCTTTTATTGCGATAGCAATTATATGGACACTCTTGGCTGGATTTCGCCGCTGGTGTCAGCATTGACTTTGGTCACGAAGTCATTCATCGTATTATATATCTAAACATATGAAAACACAAGAAAAAAATCAACTAGAAAAAACTGCGCGAAATTGAACGCCCGACCTCTTGTTTGTGAGTGCGTGGCGTCAGCCACTGAGCCACGAAGGAGCACCTCTTTCAATGTTGAAATGGCAAGCTATTTATATCTATTACTTACTATTGGCGATGGCGATCTTGGGGGAACTATCGTGCTTTCAGCATTACCGACAAGATGGCACAGTGAGCGCGTGTCGCCAGGTCGTCACAACGCTGCGACATGTGCTTATGCATTCATCTTCCCCGCTTTCTTTGCCCCGCAGAGGAAGGGGAGGGGGGTAAACGCTCACGGGTGTGCACGCTTATCTTGTGGTGGGGAAAATCGTACGCCTTGAGCTTTCACTTTGACGATTCTGTTGTAGTTACCGGGCGCACAAAGGTCACTGCACTCACTGCACTGTCTCAGTTTGCCGTAATGGTGTGCTTTTCATACACAGCGAAGTGACAACCCAGACACTTACTCACGTTCATTTGTACCTGCGAGTACGTTTCATGTGTCATGTACGTGAGCAACGGGGGCACGTTTCGATCTGCTTGCCATTCTTCGCATGAAATTTCAATTTGTTGCTGTCGCATTCATTGCTTCGACATTGTGGCAAAGCTGAGACTTCCTTTTTTTTTTTTTTTTCACTTTGATATGTTGCTCATCTATTTATTTTTCTTGATTCTCCCTCCTTTTGCACACGTAGCCAAGCAAGTTTCTACTGGATTGGATCTTCACGCAAGGCACGACGGTACTGCAGATCAAGCAAGAAATTCTTCACAAGGTCCGCGAGCGCTGTGGCCAAGACATTCCCTTGAATAGGTGGGGGATTGCTTCACTGTTGGACTTCTTAGCCGATTGAAACTGAGGTTCTGTGGCTACGATTAAAGTCACATCTGAAGAGTGCATAGGGGGCAGATTGAATTAAAGTACATTAATATAGATTAAAAACATAGCATACCAACCCAAAAAATTTTTAAATTAACTGAGAGTTTCAATTGTCAGTTTGAATCTAATGTCTGCTGTATGTTAGTTAGCCCTAAATCTGCTTTGAGGAAATGTTGAAACGTGCTGGACTGACGTCGTGAGAAGCATCACGCCTGCCTGCTTCTGTACAGGTGTCGACTCAGGAAAAAGATCTCGGGCAACCCTGGTGCAGTGTTCCTCGATTCGGACCGATTGGACAGCGATGCCTCGATGTTCCTCTCGCACAAAGTATTTCTAGAGCTCCTCTCAGGTGAGCTCACTGCTCTTTTGTTGTTGTTTTCCCCTTTATTTTGTTTCTCTTCAAAAGATCTTTAGTGTAAATCTTCATCTTTAATAAGTCTAAAAAGGCTGTTCTGTTTGGTTGTGACTAAAGTCATGCACAACAGGGTTTTCACCCTTTCAGACTCTTTCTACACAACTGTGTACACCAGTTTTTTTTGCCATTTGTATCAGCTAGGCGCTACAAAAAAGTTAAGTATAGCGAGCTTTAGATGAGTTAAATCTCCTAAATCATAAATTTGTCTTCATTTAACTGCATTTTAGGGTGTTATGCGGCATAGGATCACTTTGCTGAAGTTGCTACCTTGTTTGGCAAGTTGTTCGATGTGCCCACTTTCTTCAAACTATGTGAAAAATACAATTTTTATTACCTCAAAATGGACGTAACCGAAAATGAATTTGCACTATATTTTTAGCCCGAGATTTGATCTTATGCCAAAATAGAGCTTCAATGGCATCAGGATGTCTATACTTAATTACAACTTAATTAGGATTAGTTACTATAACACACACGAAATAATTATATGAATTTTGTTGCAATAGACTATTGAGTGCGTTGAAATAACGTTTTATCGGTTTGAGACATGTGCAGACAATTCCTCATACGTGGGTTTCGCATTTTGCTGGGGGGTAATGCAGCTAGTATCGTGTTTTATGTTACAGGGTTTAACTATGTTTAGAAACTATAACTACAGTGAACTATAGTTGGTTTAATCATGGTTAGCTATGTAGGTGTCTCACTAAATGTAACTGCTGCTTAAACGGAACTGCCGGCACTGATGATTCATTTCGCACCCGTATTCTGCACCCCTGTTAATCTCTGTAAACAGAACTCCATTAAGTGGGACATGTTGTCCTGGTTCCTTCAGTTTCCATTTAATGAGTCTGCTGTATAGAGCTACTGTGTTTAATAATATGCATATGCATAATGTAATGTGCATATTTTTATTTAATCCTTACGTTACTATCTACGTAGTACCGAAATTTAAGTGCAGTGATGCACACAGCTCTTTTATTCCCGTTTTATTTCTTCCTGGACGCAGAGAAATGTCACCCATCGCGTTACAATTGTGGTAGTGTTAGAATCGAGTAAATACAGTATACGAGTTGCAGCAAAAGGACATTCAGTAACTCTGTGAACAACTATTTGAACTTCGCCATCATCCAAGGGAAAAAAAATTTGTTTGGCCAAATTGGCGAAACTGACGTCTTCCCTTGTTGTGCCCCCGCACTGCAGAGCCCGAGAAGGTTGTGTCTGCAAACAGCCTGGTGCTGTTTGTGCGCCGCTGGCGGCCATCGACCTTCACCTTCGACCCCCTCGAGGAAGTGATACTCAATGAGCGCACCTTTGGAGCCCTCAAAGATGAGGTACGTGCAACTAAGTAGTTGCTTCGGCGAGTTGTACAACATGCACTCAAAACTCATTACAACATATTTTCATCTTACACAGAAAGAAGCTCGTTATATTTGAAAATTTGTTATAAAGGTAGATTTTTAACACTGCCTATTTCAATATTATTCTTTATTTACTTCATTATGACCAACCGATATTTTGTTATACGGTGGAGGACTGGTTACAATAAGTCTTTTTCGAATCCCGTTTAACCTCCCACAGAACCCCATGTATATGCATACCGATTATTGTGCAGTCCCTCGAAATGAAAGAATGGTTATAATGTGGTTGCCGGAAAATCGTTGTGACAAACGCAGTAGCGAATGTACATTTGAAAGGAGGGCGCTGGGTGCGCCGCTGGGGAGCGAGCAACGAGGTCGTTAAGAAAGAGGTGGGGACACGGAGTGAGCGAATGAAGAGAGAAGCGAGGGGGGGGGGAGGAACAAAAAAAAAAAAGGACTGCACAATGCGTGCGCTCAGAGTAATGTAGAAGGGTGGTTGCCCAAAAAGCCGTTGCACCAGCACCAATGCGGCGTACTAGCGTGGCTCTGCCCGCGCGCTGCTGGCTGCGTGGCTCAACACTGCACGTGGGATCCCTTTTTTATTAACTGCGCTTAAGTTTCCTGTCTGGAAAAGCGGCATCGTTATCGAACCTGCTAAAGATATCGCGTTGGCTACCCGTTCCATGAATTTCAAAGCTTTTACAACTTTATCATGCGAGCTTTCGCCTTTGCTGCCAGTGTGCGGTCTCACATAAGCTTGGTCGGCTTTCGTCGTCGATCTCCCAGTCGAAAACGCAAGCTTCGAATCACGCACGCTGCTCATGGTTCAGTACTCGAGTGCAATCTTTTCGACGCCCGATCTCATGTCCTAGACAGTTTCCGGGACTGCATACCGAACGGCAAGCTAGGCTTAATCAGCGTTGGTTTCCTTCGGAAACGGTCGCGTTAAGTTGCGGTTTGGTACGGCGGAATCGAAGAAACTCGTTGCGGTGGCTGCACTTAAAAGGAAAGGTTACATATCCATATTGTTAATGAAAACGAAGGTGGCACGTGTAGCTTTTTAGTGGTGGTTCACGATTCGATTGTGATGTCTTGAAATAAGGTGTGCGCCCGCATCGCGCGTACATACTTCAAGGCGTGAAATTTCAAATCTGAGTATGCGCATAGTCGAGGTTGTCTGAGAAATTGTCGGCTAATTTCCGCGATGTTGCTTTCTTTTGTTAGACATGATCTCCTCCCCCTTCTGCGTTCATTTCGTTGGTGGCGTGGTTCGTTAAGCGGTAATATTATTTCTTTAACATTCAGAAATTTGAATGGCTGTGAGCAACACTCGTATCGCATGCTCAATTTTTGTACACACGAAGCTGCATGCTCAACACATTTTCCCGCAACTTCTGCCCTTCGAAAAGGTTGCTTTGGTTATAGTGCGGATATTTGCAACTCCTGCGACTTACGTTATAAGCGATCTATACTGTATCTAGGTGCGTTATATCGAGGTTTCAGTGTACTTCAATTATAAAATTGGTTCAGAAAGACAGAGGACCAGTGGAAGGACACAAGACAGCAACGCTGACTTAGAACAAGCTTCATTTGACATGAGCATGTAGTATATACTTGCACAGTGCACAACAGAAAAAGTAAAAACAAGAAAAATCTTAAAAAAAAACCTGGCCAAACATTGTCATGACAGTGTGCCATCAACATCACGCGTGCAGACATGCTGAAGAAAATCAATTTCTTTATGTGATAAGGCTTACTTATCAAAGGTGTGCTTTTGATTAGCTTTTGCCACCAATTTCACACCTATTGAAAATAAGCTTTGCCGCTTTAATTTGATCTCTTTTCTTGATTTCTTGTTAATTTCTTTGTGTTTGTCATATAATTTTTTTCTTTCTTTTGGTTCTTATTCGTCTGTGCTTGAAACTTGCTTGCAGCTGTCTAAGCTGAGTGGCCTGGACCCATCAGTCATTGAAGTCGCTAAGGTGAGTGCCTGAGTATCGGATGCCACGAAACAAGGAAGCGAAATTGATGCACATTTTATGGCATCCGTGAGAGCTGTTGTGATTGTGCTTGTCGCAGTGTTCTCTTGCCTTGGCGAGCGGTTCTTCAGAAAACTAAGCCATTGAAACCTTCACTGCTGTAATTGTAGATATTGTGTCATTATCATAGTAGCTGAGGGGGTCGTGCTGAGGGTAGTGCTGGAGGCTTTAAAGGGGCTCTCCAACTCTCTCCTAAGTAATCGTGTGGAATGGCTTTATTGAAGGAGCTCATAGGTTCTTGAATCGACTGTCCCAAAAACTTTTAGAATTCATCAAGTGCGGTTGCACGTTTAAAGGGCCTTTTCTCTCCTTTCGTGCTGGCGAGAACGCTAAAAGCTATGCAGGCACGTAATTGACTGCACTCGCAACAGTCTGATACACCGAAATGTTCACTTTGCACCGGTGTGATGCACTGAGACGTGCACTTGCACCGGCGTGGTAGGATACACTAAGGTGTGCACCCAAACCGGCGTAATGCACTGCAATGTGAGAGCTTTGCTTACACAGATTCTTTCTGCGTTGGTGGAATGCAGTGCCCCGGTCAGTTCCCATGTCTGGTGTCGTCGTTGACTGTGCACACGGAAATGGATTGGCAGCACAATGCACCCTCCCTCACCGCTTGGCCACTGTTCATAAGCGAGGACGGCCTGGTGGTGCTCTACCGGTAAGTATGGGGGCACACACACACGCTGGTGCACCTTTTAGGCTCGGTCCTGTCACTTCCTTTGAGTGCCTCGTCTTGTTATTGTAGGCTTGTGCAAATAGTCACTCTTGAGTTCGAAGTGATTATGGAGAAAAGGAAACTTGACTTCTCCTTTTTTATGGATTAAGACGATGTTGGCGTTCTTCTGAAATTCTGGTACCCTTCCCATCAAGAGACGCTTCGTATTTAAGGTGACCAGTTTTTCTAACACAATTTTTTTGCCATTTTTCAGTGGACCAATTTTTCTGTCACGCGATACAGATAGCTTTTTTGCTTCACGGCTTTGGCTACACCGCTGCACTAGCTCTCGAATTGCGTTATGTAAACAACCAACCACAACGTCAACATGGCGGCAAAGGTATCAGCGGTGGCTAGTGTCGGCGCAATCACGAACTACCTGTTGTTATGCCAGCGAGTCCTCGTCAAACGACCGTGCCTCTGAAAAAGGCAATCTGGGTCAAGGCCAGCCCGCAGTCGGCCTGGCGCGATCACCTCGACGGCGTGAACACGCGCGGCGCCCCTCTCGCCCACGTGCATTGAGTCAGTTGCGCACGTGACAGCGAGCCGGCGTCCTCATGTCTGGTGGTCTGACGCATCGCGCGGCGAACCTCATTGGAGGAATCTGCCCGGACGACCAGCGGCGCTTCTGATTGGACATTTTGCTTGGACCCGGTGTAAATAAAAGAAGCCCTGCGGCGCGTCGCGATCGGAGATCCTAGGAGAGGAGTCCCCGTGTCGGAGTGCCGACATGTGTGTGAGTCAGCGGTCTTAGGCGAAAGGCTGAACTATGTGTTAGAGAGAAGAGCTCGGCTCTTCGAGTCTCTGTCGGCCCCAGTGCCGAAATTGTAACGCCTCTGTATATATGCTGTACATAAACCTTGTTTGACTCACCGTCGTCTCGTCCGCTCGTCTGATCAGCTCTGCGCAGAAGCAGTCGCGAGCTGAGAAACATACGCTACCAAACGGCTGGTGACCTTCCCGGCGGAGTCGGAAGCAGTGGCGCCTCCGGGGCCGTGTCGGCGTCGCCGTCTTTCGCAACAGTGGTGGCTTCGGCGGGATCGGTCTGCCGTTTCTCAACAGTGGTGGCAGCGGTGGGATCGGCCGGCGTCAGCGACATCGATGCGGTGAGTGCCTGATGTTTTCCCCTCAGTTCACCAGACTACTCTAGCTCAGGTTGTAGTAGTTTAGAGAAGGGCTGTGTGAAGCATTAGAGTGAGCTTTGATCGTTTCAAGCAAAGTCGAAGCGCTTTGAAACCAAAGTTAATGCGGAGGGGGTAAACACGGAAGTGTGAAAAATTGCTTGCGCGTCTTGCTAGTAGGCTTATAGTGGGTACGGCAAGTAGATTTTAACAGGGGCAAACAGCAAGAGGCTAGTGTGAACGATGGAGAACCTTAAAGTGAAGGAACTCATCGAAATTTGTGAGGAACTCGGCATTACTTTGGGCCGTGCGAAACGAAAGCAAGCGATCCTTGATATCATGAAGGATGAGGGAGTGTCGGCTGAGGAAGTCGATGAGGCCTGGGTGGATATTAAAGCACGCCGTGAGGAGGCTGAAAGGCGAGAAGTAGAAGCTCGCGAAGAGGCTGAAAGGCGCGAAGCTCGCGAACGTGAAGAAGCTGAAAGGCGCGAACGTCGCGAGGAGGCCGAGAGACAAGAGCGCCTAGAGTTGAAACGACTAGAATTGGCAATCCTACAGTGTTCGCAGGCGCCTAGCGTAGCTTCTCCGACGAGTCAGGTCAGCGGTATTAGAATTCGGGATCAACTGCCACCGTTCGTAGTAGGCGAGGACATGGCGAAGTATCTCGTCAAGTTTGAACACGTCTGTGAGCGAAACGCTTTGGAGCGGTCTCTTTGGGCGCAGAACCTGTTAGCTCTTCTTCCCGGCGAAGTGTCCGATGCATTAACTTGCTTGTCTAGGGAAGCGTTTGAGAGCTATGACGAGGTTAAGGAAGTGCTCTTGAGACGTTATAAGTTGTCACCCGAGGCTTTCAGGCAAAGGTTCCGGTATGCTAAAAAGGGGAATGAGTCACACGTTGACTTCGCGTTTCGTCTTAAAGCCGATTTGATCGAATGGCTCAAGGGCGAAGGTGTTTATGACGACCGCGATAAAGTGGTGGAATGCGTTGCATTGGAGCAATTCTACCGCTGCATCGAGGAGGATGTTAAACTTTGGCTGCAGGACAAACTTGGTGACGTACAGTTAAACAAGGCAGCTGAGTTAGCTGAGGAGTATTATACTCGCCGAAAGTTGCATAGCAGGGCAGCGCGCGTTGAAAAGGATGAAAGAAAAGAGGGCTTTTCAAAGAAACCTGATCAACGGAAACCCGCTCCGCACCGTAATTTCAAAAGGGACCCGTCTCTTACGAAGGACACTGTAGAGGAAGGGAAAACAGAAGCGGAAAAATCGAGTGAGGTTTCTAAACAACGCACTGATACCACACGGGCGTTTGAATCACGGAAGCCACTAATCTGCTACAACTGCAAAAAGGAAGGGCACATCGCTATAAACTGTAAGCAAAAGTTTGCTTTTGCAACAATTAGAGAATCGGAAAAGAACATGCGGTTGTTGGAGCCGTATATCCAAGAAATTAGTGTAAACGGGAAAGCGTGTCGAGCACTTAGAGACTCCGCGGCAACCATGGATGTTGTCCATCCTTCATTGGTGTCTCCGGATGACTTCACAGGAGAATGCGCGTGGATCAGGCAAGTCGCCGAGGAGCAGAGTGTTCGCTTACCAATCGCCACCGTTGTCATTGAAGGCCCGTTCGGTAAGCTTTGCACCGAAGCGGCTGTGTCTGCCGCGCTGAATGGTCGTTTTTCTTATCTTTTCTCCAACAACTCGGAGCAGCTTCACAAAGAGCAGGGCAAATCGTTCTTCCCCAACTTTGCGTGCATGGCCCTCACGCGATCGCAAGCGCGGAAGTTATCGCGGCAGCTTGATCTGGTTCAATGCAGTGAACTCTTAAGTGACCTTGTCGGCGGGTCGACGGAACCCCAGAAAGGAAATTTTCCGCATGAGTCATGTGAGCAGTCACGCGAGCGGCCCGTCGCGGGAGCGGCCGGCGCGGTATGCGCTGGGGGAGACGACGTGGCGCCATTGAGTCAGAGCGAGAGGGTTGCAACGCTCTCGCCTGTTGCGGAAAGTTGGAGCGAGCTGCCGAGAGTTGATCGAGAGACGCTCATTCGAGGGCAGCGTGAGGATCTCTCGATTGAAGCGCTAGTGGAAAGCCAAATTGAAGCGCGAGTGGAAAGCCAGAAAAACGCGGCAAAAGTGCTGTCGAAGGAGCACTACGAGAAATCGGGGAAGAAGCGCGCTTTTGAAGTTGATAATCAGGTAATGCGGCTGCAGCCACCCAAAAGGAACAAGCTTGGGGTTGATTGGGAAGGGCCCGCCAAAGTATTATCGAAGCCTTGCGATACAAATTATGAGGTGCAAGTAGGAAGGCGGCAGCACAAAATTTACAACTTGATGAAACCCAATGTTCAACATCAAGCGGTCGTAAATCAGCTGTTGAAGGCTTCAGTGGAAGAGGAAGCAGAAAATTTGAGTTCTAGTGAGGTGATCGAAGGGAGATCGAAAGTAATTTGGGAGCAGATAAACCTAGAGCCTAGCTTAAGTGAAGGAGGACCTGAGAAAGAGGACCTGAGAAAGATTGGTTCCGAGTTTGAAGACGTGTTTTCGGACCGCCCCGGAAACATGAGGGTGATCGAACACGATATCGAGCTAAGCGGTGAGGAGTCAATCAGTAGCAAGCCGTATCGTTGTTCCCCTGTGCAACGTCGCAAGTGTGAGCCGCTCTTGGTGCCGCATAGGTATCGTCGCCTAAAAGTGGCCGGTTACTGAGGTGGAGCATGTTGCTCCACAGCGCAACTTTGACGTTCGCTAAAAAAAAAAAAAGGGAAAGGTAAACGTTAATGCAGGTGCATTGAGCAGTGCGTTTAGTTAGTACCTTCTCAACCTTTCGGTTTCTGGCTGGCGATTCGGGGCAAAATTTTGACCTCATCACGACCTGGGCTGAGCGCTCTCGTTCAGAGTGATCTCAAGGGGCCAACTTTATGTGGTATTCTAATTCGTTACGTTGTTGTACGTGAAAAAAAAAATTGAGTTGTCATTTTAAGAGTCTTGTGTCCCACATGTGCCTCTTGATGTAGAGGGAACAAAATTCCGATAGACACGTAGATAGGTATATGTTGTACTATACTTTGTCTGGTGTTCTGTCGGGTGACCGAGGGCACTTGCGTGTTTCGTGTGTTGTCTGTTGTCGATCCGTTCTTGGCAAGTTGCAGAACCATCGACAAGTGCTGAAACCGAAGATGGTCAGAAGAGACGAGTGAAGCTGGTCAGCAAGTTGTGGCGACAAGCCAGTGGAGCTGGGATCCGTCGTCAAAAGTGGAATGTGTTCCCGGACCAGTCTGGAGCTGTATTCTCCCCATGGCCCTGGAGGCGAACCTGGAGGGACCTGGCGAACGAGCGCACCTGACATCCGAGCCCCGTGGAAGCAGCTCGTCTTTCCGGTGCATTGTCTGGCGGCGGGGGTGCTGTTATGCCAGCGAGTCCTCGTCAAACGACCGTGCCTCTGAAAAAGGCAATCTGGGTCAAGGCCAGCCCGCAGTCGGCCTGGCGCGATCACCTCGACGGCGTGAACACGCGCGGCGCCCCTCTCGCCCACGTGCATTGAGTCAGTTGCGCACGTGACAGCGAGCCGGCGTCCTCATGTCTGGTGGTCTGACGCATCGCGCGGCGAACCTCATTGGAGGAATCTGCCCGGACGACCAGCGGCGCTTCTGATTGGACATTTTGCTTGGACCCGGTGTAAATAAAAGAAGCCCTGCGGCGCGTCGCGATCGGAGATCCTAGGAGAGGAGTCCCCGTGTCGGAGTGCCGACATGTGTGTGAGTCAGCGGTCTTAGGCGAAAGGCTGAACTATGTGTTAGAGAGAAGAGCTCGGCTCTTCGAGTCTCTGTCGGCCCCAGTGCCGAAATTGTAACGCCTCTGTATATATGCTGTACATAAACCTTGTTTGACTCACCGTCGTCTCGTCCGCTCGTCTGATCAGCTCTGCGCAGAAGCAGTCGCGAGCTGAGAAACATACGCTACCAAACGGCTGGTGACCTTCCCGGCGGAGTCGGAAGCAGTGGCGCCTCCGGGGCCGTGTCGGCGTCGCCGTCTTTCGCAACAGTGGTGGCTTCGGCGGGATCGGTCCGCCGTTTCTCAACACTGTGCAGAACGACAAACCTCACAGGCTTGACAAGGACGCCTTCATTGAGAGCCAAACACAAGTAGAAGGGTGCTGCAGCAGCAAGTCGGCATCCCCTAACGTGTTTTGCTTTTGCGTTGCCTGCTGAATCTGTTGCCACCGCGTCCACTTGTGTCGTTTCTTTTGTTGTATGTCCCGAAACAACGTTTTTACAGGTAAAATATTTCAATGCTCAGGAAACTGGCAAGATGGAATGAATTCTCAAGCCGCAAAGGTGGCGGCGGTGGCATGTATATGAGGGGCAGAACGAAGGTGAATATTTTGGACGAGCGCGGACGTGGTTTTCAGCTGCTCTGGCATTTTCGCTTGAATTCTTTTGTGCGAATTTTTCAGCACTGATTTTTTTTTTTTTTTGTGCAGACTTCGCGACGCGTTTTCTTTACCACTTAAGTGGAAAAGCGAGTGAACTTTCAGTAAGTTCTGCCACTTTTGCTCTGTTTGATGCCAAGTGTGAACGCTCCTCAACTCTTTCGTTACCACGCCTATTCAAATCGATCACCGGTGATCGACTCTTTTGGTGGATCGATTTGGCATGTTAAATTTATTTCTCGTGCACCTAGCGCTTTTTAGTAGTTTGTTCAGCCACTCAACTTTCAAAAAATTTTTTTTAATTCACCGACTTGGGCAACATGGCAACATTTTTAGACTTTTGCGCGAACCAATGGGCGTGTGTAGTTGGAAAAATGCACTAGGTTGGCGAACTTGACGGAAGTGCGTGCCTCTCGTGGTTATGCCACAGTAACATCGAAGTTCTGCCATGAGAAAAAAACTCTGCAAGCCAAATATCGAATTGATGTGTTAGCTTCGCAATTTGATTGAACTGAGTAATAATTGTCGGAAATTTATGCCAGCTAATGAATAGAGAGCTGTTTCCAGAAGTCGGGGAAAATTAATTCTACAAAAAAAATTTCTCAAGGTCCGCCGCATGTATAAAATGTGCAGGTGGCTCTCACAGCCAGTTTCCAGCTACTTTGGTTCTGCTTGTATCGTTATATCAAACAGAGGGTCACATCTAGCGTCATGAGTCGCTCCTATTATGCGGTCGTAATGCGCGCATGGGTGGGCATTAGCACTGCAATTCACATGCACTGCTTGAAACTGTCTTGCCACCCCACCTGAATTAAGTGAGAACGAGCTGAGATTTCGTGGACAGCAGCAGCTCGGCTTAAAGTTTTATGGGGACGATGTTTTGCGTCAGCGTGAGACATCCGTAGCCATTCATGGGTTTGTTTTGTTTACATCCTCAAGTTATCTCCTCCGCCGCAAGTGCATTTAGCTTCTGACCTTTGTGCATAATCTTATAGTTACTCAGGTTACGTGCGTGGTGCTCACTTCGCTAGGGTGTGGTGTGGTGGCGCTGACTGCAGAGCTTCTCCTAATGGCAAGAAGGCCCCTGGAGCACATCTTGGCCTTGACTTTAAAGCAGTGCGAAACATTTTGGAACTGCGGCGATATTCTCCTTTTTTTATTATGATATGCACAAAGATGCAAAGGAATATGCTTGGATGCATATATTGGAGCGCCAACCTATGCGGAGTGAGGTGGGTCATGGAAAGAGGCGACGCTAAATGAAATAGCGAAGTTCATTGGACATCTCATTTATGGAGGGATTATTCACATCATGGGTTTCCATATATATATATTGAGATACCTAGAGACTCTTATCGCAAGGCAATGAGAATTTACTGAGAAAAGTGTACGAGTACACTTGTCTCACAAAAAAAAACCATGCAATGCTTCACTGCATGGCATGAGCAATAAAGCAGCACCACAGTTCTGGTTTTGTCTATGTGAAGAGAAACATTTTGTACAACATTATTTATATTGTTCCTGGGTCTTTTATCTACAAAATTTATATTCTAATTTTTCTTTGTTTTGGATATTTTTGCATATATAGTGTTTTTTATTCTACTGTTTGCCAGCTGGTGACGAAAAATTTCACCCTTTTCACATTTTTATTCATTCTAAAATATTTTTGTTGCTCTACAACCTATGTTTTTTAGAAAGAGTATTTCATTCTGCAGAATTACGAATGCTGCAATGCGTGCTGGAGTACTTTTCAAACTGGCAAAAATGATCTTCCCAAGACATACGAATAACAACCATTCTCGCACGGTAACGAAAGAGTTAAGCAGCAGCAGCACGAGTAAGGAAGCCGTGGCACTTAAGAGACCAGGAAAGCAGGAATGCTCAAAAGATCATCATGGACTTTTTTTTTTTATCAAGAAGTTGTTGCCCAAATAAAGTTCTTGTTCCTCTTCATAATCTTTTTTTTTTTTTGGTTCACACAAATTCGCACGTCGTGGGATCAAATTTTGGCTGTGGCGGCTGCATTTTCAATGGAGGCGAAAATTCTGTAGGCCCGTGTGCTCAGATTTGGATGCACGATAAAGAACCCCAGGTGGTAGAAATTTCCGGAGCCCTCCACTACGGCGTCTCTCATATAGTGGTTTTCGGACATTAAAACACACTTATCGTCGTCGGTCCGCACAAATTCGGGATGATACGAATATTTTGCATGATTCCTTCGAATTCATATCGAGATTCTTTCCTTGTGTCAACACCAACATCGGTTACCTCGTATAGAGCCGCGAATCTATTATGAAGTAAAATTTTGAATTCCTGTACTTTCGCTCTTACCGCTAGTTCATTACTTGGCTTCTTGCGTATCAGTTTATGTCTTTGCTTTTTTAATATCTAGGTGAATACGAGCTCTTGCCATTCTATGGTCACTGCATCAGATCTTGCGAACTACTACATCGTGTACAATGCCTGGGTGTGCACACAGAAGTCTATTTTATTTTTAATTTCGCCATTAGGACTTTGCCACGTCCTCTTATGATTAGCCCGTTTTCTGAAGAAGATATTCAAGATCCGTAAGTTATTACATTTTGCGAACTCGACTAATCGTAAGCAAACTTCTGTAAACAAACTTCTTTTACTCTGTCTTTCATTTCTGTAGTTTCAGGCCAAAAAAGGATGGAAGGTGGGTAAAGGTTTTGGACCACGAAGTGTTAGAGAACTCTTGGTGGTGAAGGGAATCTGGGGCCCCGCATAAGTGTTCCTCAATGTATCATGATTTTGAGACACCGAACCTTGGAATAAAATTATCGTGTTTTCATTATCCGTGCACTGTTTGATTCTACCAGTGACACATTCACACTGTGCAGTGACCGGACAGAAGAACTGAAGGAGCTGACTGAAGAGGAGAAGCAAGAAATCTCCAGTCGAGAGAACGTCAGGTGCGTGTTTTTTTTTTTTCAATTTCGTTCATCTTCAAGTGGTCTCGTAGCGACGCTGTATATTCACACAAATGGGTTCTTTCTGCTGCTGACGTGACTAGATACTACCATCAGAGTTGCCATTTCCGCTTATGATAAGTAGATTTGCGTTTATTTGCATTTTTGCAGTGAACATAGTTACTTTAGTGACTACATTCTCCAGTGTGCATTTGCAGCTCACTAATAGCGTGTTAGTCGATAGATTTGAGCTGTTGAGTGTACAGCTGCTTATTACGAACCTCCATATAGTGAGTTTCTTGATATAACGAAGTTTTTACATTTTCCGCCGTGGCTCCATAGAAGCACATGTACTTACGACCTCTATGTAGCAATGTGACTGTGGGAGACATCCTTAATATAATGAATTTCTCTCGTGGACAATCTAGGAATTTTGCCCCAGATCTTGTCATTTAGCAGAAGCATGAATCTCAAGCGGAGTCCCGCTCGGCGGCGGCGCGCACAGCGCTTGTGGCTTCGGCGACTCCCAGGCGAGAGCGAGCGTTCGTCATTGGAGGCAGGTGTGCAGGTGGTGGACAGGCGGGCCTGCGCCCATGAGCCAGCGTTGCCGCCGTTCTTGCCGCCACAGGCACATGCACGAATGTGCCCTCCCCTCCCCCCTTAGAACCATTTTTTGACACAGTCTTCCCTCCAAACCAGTCTTGTTATACAGCCTCTTCATGTTGAAAACACACTGATACTTTGCGAAATAGCATGCGTGTCAGTGCCCTTAAAATCGAAGTTCATCGTTAATACTTGAGTGACCCCCCCCCCCCACTCTGTTTTTTTAAAACTGATGGTTTCCCTTCTGTTCGAGCATTCAACGGCAGTTCTAACATGCGGGGAGATGTTATCCTATGCGCCCTCCAGGCAATAGAGATGGGCCGGCTCGTTTGATCTCTGCTTCAGCAGCGCTGTTGCGCTTTTACCCACTCGTAAAAGTTGCGATGCGCAGGAATGGCGGCGACTGCGAAGACCCGCCGAAAGTGTACATATAATTGCTATCGCAGTAAGGACAGTTTTTTTTAATGTTAAGTAAGTGCTTTGGGGCAGCTCTGCCTCGAGTTCCACTTTTGTTTAAATTGCGAGTTTATTTTCCGAATTTTCGTACTGAACCTAGCTATAAGGAAATCTTCTAACAAATTTTTCCGAGAGCTTGTCAATTTCGTTGAACCCAGGTTTAAGTGTGCATGCATGTGCAGTGCTCTCCACCAAGTAGAGCGAAAGTTCCTCGCAGAACCCCCCACCCCCCCTCCCCCCCTCCACCATCATCTGACTTAGTGTATGGCGTAGATATTGCCCCTACTTCCCCTTCCCCAGTACAAACACACCCACGGTTGAGTGTTGAAGTCAAACGTATGTTGGGGAAATCGGCAGCTAACATTGAGCACGTGCAGGCAAGTGTTTCTTCAACCGAATGGAGACTACCCTGTAGACATTAAAAAGTATGTGCTTTCGTTGATAGTCTCTTAATATTTCTGTACAAAACAATTAGTTGTTTTTAAACTCTCCTTTGTATTTGAGTGACATTTCTTAATCATCATTAAAATGTCTTCAAGCGTGGGAAAGCTCATTATGTTGTATTTGTGATGAGTATTTGCTTGTTTGCTCGGCAGCATCTAGTAACACTGCTAACTGATGTCACGATCAACAGTGGGGATACTGAAAGGCCCGGAGAAAAGTTTACGGCTGAGTTTTTGTTATTGTGTGTGTGTGTGTTTCTTGCATGTAGTGCTTTCTTATTTGGCACTGTTGGTCATGATGGCATTCTAAACTCAATGCTCACGTTTACTTTGTTGCAAAAACATCGGAGGGTGTTTAGGAGACACAAGAACATAAGTTCTGTCTCACTGAGGCCGTGCAACTCTTGAAGCAGCTCCGCGAGCGTTGCACATTCTTCTGCAGGGCTGCCAAGAATGCCAAGGCCGTTCCGTCCCCGAGGAAAGAGCGTGCCCTCAAGATCTACATGGGCAGCCCACCCAACGACAGTGGAGCGCTGTCCTCGGACACCAAGCCCAGCCTTAACTCCGTGCCTATCGACCTGGACTGAGCGTACAGTGAGTGGGACTGCCATTTCAGTCCTGTTGCCATAGCAACCGGGTAGTTGCGGTGCTGGGCTACTTACCCGAAAGATGCGGGTTTGATCCCGGCTGTGGCGCTGCACGAATATGCTTGAGGCCCGTGTACATTCGGCATCGAAAGTGTTAAGGCCAGTAGGTCTGAGAAAACTCCTTGCCTCAGCGATTTATTACCGTATTTCGTATAACTGCAACACTATGTGTTGCTAGCGCATTTTAAAACAGCTTGGCAAATGTAAATTCAAAGCTCTATATTGAAACAACTGGAATACTCGGCTTTTTATTTGCTCTCACAGTTCCGAAATGTTGAGTCTGTGACTACGTAAATTTAGGTGCATGTTAAAGAAACCCTCCTAGGTGGTCTAAATTTAGTTTTACATTACCACTTCCCATACCTGCCAAGTCTCCCGGATTGTCTGTGAGACTCCCGGATGTTTACAGTTTCTTCCATTTATATGGTTGTCATGAAAAGTCTCTCGGAAATTGAAATTTCTGCGCGTGATCTGGCCGCATTGACAAAAGTTTAGGTCGGTCCACTCCAGACTTCGTGCGAACCCACCACATATTATTAAAAACTAATTTAGGAGGCGCTCATCTAAACGTAGTCTCAGTGATGTGCAACTGCCAAATATTACTGTGTTCATTGGGCCGAAATTCTAATGCTCTGAACACTTCGTAATCACGGCGTGTGATATGAACAGTAGTACCAAAACCATTGAACGATGGCCAATCGAGAGCAGTGTGCTCAAAGCTTCAGAAGTACGTGTGCGACCATCTCGCGCACTTTCTTCTACAGCGCGTGTGGTTGTTGCCACACCACTGTGGACGAAACCACGGTCGGTCTTGACACGATCATGTATGACTACGATGTTACCGACAGAACTCCAAAAGTGTGCGCGTGTCCAACGCTCGACCAGTCAAAGCAACGCTGCTTTCCGCAAACTCTGTGGGCAAGACCGCGGCAATTGCGATCATAGATAGCATGAAACGACTTAGTTTTGAAAGCACGTGCGCAGCCAACGCAAGTAAATTGAGAACTGAACTGCTGTCATGCTGCGACCTCCGCGCACAAACTCAGTCGCGGCGACGCGATAGCGATCTACGAGCTCCGAGGGCATGTGGATAATGCAGCGGTAAATTAAAAGCAGTAAAGAGCTAAAAAAAAAGGCTACAAGCGTTTCGGCCTTCCTGTCCAAAGAATCTAGTAGCAAGCAAGCAAAGCCAAAGCTTTGACCCGCGCTTTGCGACAGCCAGCTTTGCCGTCCTGTCCGTTTACGTGTGTCACAGGAAGACACATGCAAGTTGTTTTGACGGAAATAGAATTTGCTAGTTTTTATGATGTGAAATTTCGGGAATATTTGCGCTCTCCCTTTGAGGCTTTCACCTTAGTGGGAAACCTACTTCGTGTGTTCGGCCCCTTCAAACCGTCATAAGACCGCAATGCTTATGTTGGCGCTTGCGATTGGGAACACCCCCCCCCCCCCCCCCCCCTCTTTTTGTTTTTGCGCAATGTTCTTTTTTTTGGTGCCGAAAAATGGGGGGGAAATAATTCAGCGTGCTGACCCCCCTCTCCACCCCTATTTGCGAAAGTCTCCCGGATTCAGAATCCTGGAATTTGGCAGGTATGCAGTTCTCTCCGTCCCTCAGTGCGTGCATGTTAAAATGCTTCACTGCGACTCACAGATGTTTCATTGAAACTCTGTAAAGCACTACGGCACTTCCATAATTATGAAATATTATGTGCAAATCGCTCTGAGCCTCTAAGATCAAAGGCTGTCAACACTGTGTGGCCTCAAGCGCATGCAACAGAACACCTTCAAAGGGCTAGTCAACAGGCTCTGACGTTTTTTTACACTCCCCCAAACAAGCTCACGCATCTTTTCTACGTGTGACCAACCTCCTTCCATGCGCAGTGACATCAACTCTAGGATCCGGCGACGTGACGCAGGAGACAACTCGACGATTTGTCTAAACCAATGAAGTCAACATCGCCGATCGCCGAGTTGACATCACTGCGCGAGGAAGGAGGTTGGCCTGGCGTAGAAAAGATGCCAGAGCTTGTTTGGGAGGTTTAAAAAAAAAAGTCTGTTAACTGGCCCTTTAAGAATGTCAAGCATGTGCAAGCAAGCTTGCGCATTGAGACACATGGCGCATTTCCACAATGCTGTATGCTGTACTACAGGGGACTCCTATTAAACAGAACTTGAAGGGGAAAGAATTTTTTATTTTTGAGAAGTTTCATTTAAGTAAAGCCCACAAAATGAATGAAATATGACTTTATTTCAAAAGCACCAGCTGTGGCTGGCTGAACAGAAACATTTAGAACTACACAATACTACTATAGTTGATTAGAAAAAACAAATGTTTCTGATATTGCCAATTCGGAAAAAAGGAGATGATAACAATTTGCTTGGCCTTGTTCAAGCACTTTCTCGCACGGTAGGAGTGCATTGCTCAAAGTCTGGACAGGAACTCTGTGCCACCATTATGTTCAAAGTAGTGCTGCAACAGGATGACGGCATCTTTCGCTGCACTGTCAGCCACTGAAATGTGCTCTGCTTCACGCATCTCATTACCACTTGAGCACAGGTCCTCACCTTAAACTTCAGCTACAAGTTCCTCGAGGCTGATCGCTGGATTGGCTTGGCTAGGCTAGCTTTGGCATTTGTTTTAAGGTTGCTAGACTGCCGTTGCCACTTTTGCCGTTCATGGATTTTGCCTGTTTTAGTTTCATTTAGCCGATGTAAGCTACGAAAAATGTTCCGATTACCCAAAACTTTTTATCGCTTAATATATAGGAGACCAACCAAATATGCCTAGATAGTTTGGTTTTTGCGGCTTTTCCGTTTAACAGAGTTTTGTTAAATGGGAGTCCACTGTAGTTTCAAATAGCTGTTATGCTTTTCTCCCAGCAGCTGTTATGCTGTTTGCTGTTATGCTTTTCATTGCAGTCGTTTTCTGCTGTAACCATTCCTCTCATTCTTTCATTTTCAGGCCACCCAGGATCGCGACACTACTGCCTAGTGTTTTTTTTTTTCTTCTTCAAAAAGGACACTAGTGATAAACAGAGTGACTTGACTATATACCGGTAGCGGGAGGAGTGCATTTGCTCCGCGGTGGTGAAGACAGTGACGGGAATTCGTCCTGCCGGCTCCAGATCGAACCCCAACATTTTCTCTCTCCATCAACAATAGAGACGTGCTGCGTCCCGGTGCACAAACTGTGTCTACATCTCTTTTGTGTCAAAGGAAGCGCCTAGGGGAAAATGACCCAGAACGCACCAAAAACAAGTTTGAATTTTACGTGCCTCCTACCTTTTTGCCTCCCAAACTTTTTTTTAAAACTGCAGTTTAGAAAGAGGGAGACTATCTTCAGCCACTTCTTCAGCAGCTCTGAACCGCTTTACTATTTTTAAATTTTTTCTTTTTTATACGTCGCTCTAGCCGCTCCACTGGACTCATCGTTGGTGCCGGCTTTTTTTTTTTTTCTTTAAAAAAAGTGGCAGCACCAACACCTGTGCCAACCCATACCCACTCCCACCTTTACGACATCTCAGGTACAGAAAACTGGCTTCAGATTTTAGATCTCAACAGTGACTCAACACTTTTTCGTATAAAAATTGCCCGAATTCAAGGTTTATCATGGATGTCAATGAATGGCTGTGAATAAATTAGTGTGGAGTACAGTTTACTTGTAGAAAGCTTATCAAGATGCCTAGGAAACCCATTCAATTCAAATTTTTTTTCAGTGTTTTCGAAAACATTTGTACACCAAAAGTAAATAAAGTTCGCTGAATTGCGCCGCAACAGTCCACACAAATACAGAAACTCTAAACACTGCAGCATGCTCAGCATATTGAATGTCAATCAAATTTTGGTATTTCCAAGTCAAGTGAACTTTCGCCTCCCCTTTTGCGCAGTTGTCTTTCTCAAACATTATTCATTTTGTGCTCAAGAGAGTAATTAGTTTCACGGCAGTTGTCTGAGAACATTTAACTGACTTTCAAAGGCCACATCAAAATTTGTTGGCATTATTGTATTGCAGAGTGATGTGCTGTGTAGTCTGGACTAATTTGGCCCCTACGAGCGCAGTATTCCACTTAACCTGTAACACTGGTGATTGTTTTGTTTTGTTTTTCGTTAGTATTGTTTTAAAATTTCTTGCGTTTTATTTTTGTCAGCTGTTGAATAATCATGCTAAAGTCCTGAAGCACCGGTAAAACATTTCATATGGTGCATGACATAGTGACACTGATCATTTTGAACTTACCAAAAATGACATTTCATTTTATTTCCATAGCACAGCCCTCCTATGTGTGCGTAATATTTGAGTTGAATGTTGAAATGCAGTTACTCGCTGAAAAGTTAATTTTAATTGCTTTCTCGTGTCTTTTACTTGCAGGTATTATTTCCTACCTAAAATATGAATATGCTATAAAGATTATCTTGGGGTATCCCAAAAGGCTGGGGTCTCTCGATCAGTGAACTTTCAATGTGATATTGAGTCTCTGTAGCATTATTGCACTGCACGACCACTTTCAAACAAGCCCCGGTGTGCTTAGGTGCCGACAAGTATCCGCATCAGTTGCAACAAAATGCCATGCAATTACTCAAGCTTTCATGGCTCACCTCTTAGATTTTTTAATGGTATGAACCAGTGGGATTTCGGAATTTCAGTGGCCTTAATTGGCTGCACATTACAGCAATGTTCTTTAGTGCGTGTGACTTCTGCTCGTGTAAAGCCCTAAGCTATATGTATATGGCACAATATTTTTATGAACACACTACGCTTGTCATCACAATTAAGTCTCTTATTTCAGTTTGGTTTTTATTTTGCATTTATCACTTTTTCGCGATGGCTTCTGAAATGTCTAGTCGGGCTCACAATTGCAAAAATAAGAACATGTCTTGCTTTTGTGACATAAATGTGACATTTTACTGTAATTTGCTTCTTTGTTTCTAGTTACAGGTGTGTTATTTTCTGCAGCTGCAATGTAACGATAGTGTAGTTATAAAACTTTCGTGTTGCTTGTTTATTAGTCTCTGTTTCAGTGCATGGCCTTGACGTGACGGTCTTGATGCGTGGCGGTCTTCACGTCATTGTCCTGGCATGAATGGCCCTGATGCGAAAGCCTTGCATTGAAAGTATAGATTCACAAAATGAGCCATTTCTGTGATGTGCAGCTCTCGGCAAAAGTCATGCAATAAATTTCGGCAAACGTTCTATGAACGATTTTACATACCAAATCAGACTCCAGCTTTTTTCTTTGGTCATTTAAACTGCATGTTTTTATTAATGAACAGGGTAGTTCATCCCAGACTTGTTTCAATACTGACCGGTACAGGCGGGTTTTGAATAATACTGGCTGCTGCCGTTTTCGTTCATAGTATTGTGCCCGGTGTTCTTGCAGCAAGATAGTAGCCTACCTTTTCGCTGAATAATCTGTTGCGGCGGAAGACGTAATATCCGGTCATCTCAGTGCAGGCTCTGTAGACTACCATCCCACTGGGCTGTCTAGTCTACAACTTGATTTTAGATGCCTGCACAGCAAAAGTGGTGTCCGTCTTGTGGACTACCCTTTTGTTGTTGATGTATGGGAATCTTGCTTTGCTTGCTGCCCAGTAGTTTCTTTGCCTGACTTTGTTTTTGTTTCAATAATTGGATTTAGACACAGTAGTTGCCAATGATCATTTTCAGTCTGTACAGCCATATGTTGACTGGACTCTACACGTTGAACACAGCCACAGCCTTAGCTCCGAATAGCTTTACTCTTGGGGTCACCTAATATTCAAGGGCAGTAAGACTTCCGAGGGGGCTTGTGAGATTGGCAGCATTGCCGTGATCACTAGCGGATTCGCATTGTGTGTTCACCACTGCCAATTTCACCATTTGGTGAAACAGTCAAGGCACGAGTCTTGCTTAGGTGTCATGCTAACGCATTAACTAGTCTAGATTTTTGTTAATGAGAAGTGGTTGTGAAATAGACTTTCATGAATGTGATACAGCAGGTAGTCGAAATGGGGAGTCTTTTCAAAGAGCCATTTTTGTGGTAATGTGACTAGCTTTCCGAAAACACAACCGACGTTAGCTTTCGCTCTGATAGATATTCCCACACTGCCTTGCTTAGAAGCATTTGTGGAGTAGCTATAGTGTGCAAGAGAAATGATCGGGGTGTGCTCGTTCTTGCTAATGCCTGATGATTTGATGTGCCTTGCGGCAAACTTCTCATGCCTCACAGTGCATACTAGTGATGTATAGGTACTCCTATAGAGCTAATTGCATTACTCCAGGCTGGCTCCACACTGTCCTCTTTGAGCAGATAAGGGACTTTAAACTATGGTAAATCCTTGCTTTGGTAAGATTCATGTGTCAGTGGTTCTAAAGAATAAACAGACGAACTGTTTGTGTACTAAAGCTGCAAAAAAAAATGTTGCCATTTCGTAATCAACTTTGTCGAATCTGGGTGGGCTCTGGTTACTTACATGCTTAGTTCAAAATGAAGCACGAGTACAGTTCAGTGCCCAACAAAAAGTATTGATTTTTTCTCATCTGAAGAGACATTACCACCATTTTTCTACAGAAAAGTAAATCCACCATGCATTCCTTGATACTGGCTTCTTGCCTTGATAGGCAAAAGACACTATCTTTTCCAGTCGATATGGTTGGTGTTCTGCTTGCTCTTATCGCAAACGATGCATGGCAGTGAACAAAATGTGTGAACAGTAGTACACAAAATGTGCATTTGAACACCGCTTACGAAGAACGAGAGTTGAAACGATTCCCTGTCTAACGCGGGGAATTTGTTTGAACCCTGTCAACACTATATTCAAGTCTTGTTGCAAGTCCCATTGCCCGCTGCTTGGATAGTGTTGATGATTGAGGCAGCAGGTCACAGGTGTGGTTCAGCCCTGATATTGTTGATGCTTTAGTGTAATATTTCAAATGGTGTGAATGTAGAGCCCTGATTCGTTGTCCAAGTAACTGGTATGGCAGCAGGATAGCACCTAGCAAAGACATCATAGGGGCTTTAGCGGGTTGCTGCAATACAGCAGTCTCTATCAATTATGCGAGGGAGTAATGAGGTGTTTGTCATGGAGGAGGAAAGTCTTGAGCAGATGTAAGAGGGCAGCCATCGTGCAGTAGCCTTTTGTTACTACATTTGGATGTTAAAACTGTCGAGCTTTTTTTTTGTTCTTTCATAAAGCAGTTGATCAATTGTCACAAGAACTTTTTAGCCATTCTATGCAACCTATGCGTAGGTGGCACCTTTGGTGCGAAGAAAAAAGTGCTTTTTTTTTTCATGAAAGCATGCCGAGATAATTAACATTAGGCTGTGCTATAAGAAGAGCCCTGTGATAATCTTTATTTCCACCCTGAACATTGTCGTACAACATAGTGCCTAGAGCTGAAGCCAGTTTTGTTGTAAGATGTTCTTTCCCTAGCAGCCTGCGCTTTGGCACAACCTTGAAATTGAAGCAACATGAAGGCAACGTTGCACCCATAATAGTTACCACTAGATCTGAAGGCAGTTTGATTGTAAGATGTTCTTTATTTGTATTGACACTACTCAGTTTTGTGTTTACCACTGGTTTAGTGTATGTTGCCTTCATTCAACAGAACGGAGCCGGATGAAGATTCTGTAGTCGTGTTTCTGCGTAAAAACCTGGGCCCAGGGTTTTTGGGTCTTACAAGTGCATATATACAGTTTTACCATTTGGCAAAGGGGGAGAGAGACTTTTTCCCTGTGTAAAGATTGTGTGGCGCCGGTTTCAGAGGTTTGTTTTCATTGCGTTCACAAAACCTCGGCACGCAGAATATTGTACACGAGACTGTAGTTGTGTACGTGCATTTTTTGCTATCTTGTGCATGGGTACACACCACGCACGAAATATCTGTATAGTGGCTGCAGTTCATGCGTTGAGAGATTGACGATGGTTTTATTATTTATTGATATTGAAAGTGGCACGTCGCATCGCGCCGGAATAAAAATATATTACTGAGTTCTTTTTTCGAAGTCGTCCGTGTTTTTCTTGTTTACTGTCGTTCACGCCTGTTGCCTCCTGGGCAGGGCCTCATCTCCCATTGACAAATAGCCCTACCGCTGTTGTCTAGTGGCTAAGGTACTTGGCTGCTGACTTGCAAGTCGCGGGATCGAATCCCGACTGTGGTGGCTGTTCGAACTAATTGGGCCACCAAACCCGACTCGGCGAAGTTTTTTTCTGGAATAGATGTGAAAAGCCGGGACTTCAGTTTTAACCGAGACAGGTTTTTCGTCGAGCGTGAGCTCTCGTACTATCACATTAAGACTCCTAGGTGTCGTAGGGCCCCTGCTTTATATCGTCGAGACGGCACGTCGCGCCAGTACACGGTACAACACACTCGACAGCCAGCCTTCGATGGAGGCCAAAATGCTCTAGGCCCGTATGCTCACATATAGGTGCACCCTAAAGAACCCCAGGTGCTCAAAAATTTCCAGAGCCCTCCACTACGACATCTCTTGTAATCATATGGCGGTTTTGGGACTTCAAACTACACATATAAATCGATCCCTTTGACAAATGCAAAAACGCTTGCCGAGGGGAACAGCACAAGAACTGGATGGATAAACTGGCCCTTCAAGATGCCTTTCTGCAAAAACACTTGTATGCCTTTGGTTTATGTCCACATCGAAGAATGCCTTGTGGCCAAGAATTTGTAGATTCTGTGCCTCGTACACGTGATTTTGGCACATTAAACCCTAGAACTATATTGAAAAATTATAAGCCATGACCACATGACTGTTCGCACTGACATCTTTTTGGCAGCCATCTGGCACAACCATCGCAAAGAAAAGTTGCACTATGTAATTTCTGGTGTCCTAGACCATAAATAGTACAACAAAATTGTCTACGTTCGCATCTTGCAAGTCTTCCCTATTTGCTGGTAGAACAGTTTATATTGAGCGCTTGCTTCGAGTATTCAAGTAGCTCCTCCAAGTCGACTAGTGGCACACAAAAATACACGTACAAGCCCTATCTCTACCGTTTGCTAAAAAAACTAGCCTTGGGTCTCGTGCTTGCAACAAACTCTGCGTGTGGCTCGCATAATTCTGCGACGCAAGACGGTATCGCTGACAGGAGTCCAGTGGTGGATCCAGAGGGGGGCGGCAGTAGAGGCGATAGCCCCCCCTCCAACTCTGTCAGCACCCCCCTTACCTCCATTAAGTGCTCGCAGTCCATTTCCAATCACCTGTCATGACGAGTGAGTGAAATCACTGTGAGGGGTTTCTCTGCTAGTAAAAACAGTCATGACCACGACCTCCCTCTTCGGTGTTACTTTAGGCGACCGCCCCCCTTGAAATGAGTGGCCGGATCCACTTCTGCACGATGTCGTACGTTGCCCATTACATGACCTAGTGGCAATTGCCGGATGACCTCAATACTGCCGTGCCCGTGTTACACCGTTGATGACTGTATGGCCGAATTGTGTGTGAGCTGTCCGAGTTAATGGGGATGCTGTAGGCTGTCTGCACGCTTGTGAGGGCAGCGCCTTGACTGTGAGGCTTGTTAAACCTCATCCAAATCACTGTGGCCGTGATGCCTGAAACGATGACTACTAAGGTGCATACGCAGATGCTCAGGATCACCAGGAAACTGTCTTCGTCTGAAACAAAAGAGAAGATTAGATTGGAGCACATCATGTCAGACATCATTCATGATTTATCATCTCAATTGATCTTCCTGTGGGGCAGCACTGAAACTTGGTTATATTGAAATCACGAGTAACGCTTTTGAATATTGAGATCGAAAGTTCATGATGGTACACGTTCTCATGAAGTTGTGTAAAGTGAAATTCCGAGCGATATCAACAATTTCGCCACGTTGAACTCGTTTATGTATAGGCCTTCATTTTGTGTATATAGATTATACTGGCCGATTTTCGCCGTCGTCGTGTTGTTCCTCATTCGGTGCACGTTGACACCGAAATTTCTGAACGAAACCGTGTGGAAACGAGTGCGCGGTCACGTGATTAAGCGCGTTATCTGAGGAAATTTCAGGGTCAACGTGGAATGCAGCCCTCCAGTCGCGCCCGTAGCAGCGCGATTCCGCATTCTTGGGGATAGTGAACGTTCATGATACCGCAGGCTCACCTCTGCAACCTTTTTCGTCCGATGCGTCGCCGCAATTGTTGTGCTTGTCGCAGCGCCACCTGGCATCGATGCAGCGACCGTTAGCACAAAGGAACTGAGCGTCGCTTGCAGAATCAGCAGGGGTGCAGTTTTTACCGCTCACTGAAATGAAATTAGAATGATAGTTTTGGTGTGCAGTGGCCCAATATATATATATAATATAAGGGTCGCGAGAGCTCAGGCTCACACGCATAGGTTTACAACAGCAACATTGATGTGGGAGCTTTAGGGTGCCGCTACGTAATAATTTCATATTTTAAAGGACAAAAACATCCCTTTCTCTATTTTACGAAATTCAAATTTTAACGAAATAATTTGAGATCTCCCATCGCTACGTTAAATCTTCCAACTGCACAGCTTTATGTAAAATTTGGGTTATAAAGCCATGTGCGGCGTGCATTCATACAATGACCTTGTCATATTGTGTTAATCATATATTTACACCGCGAAATAGCACATACACAGAGCAAAAAAACAGTGACAGGACGGGCAATTTCTTTGTTCTTTGTATATGTGTAGTTCGGGGCTGAAATATGTCTTTAGGCAAGTTCCAGCTAGGCCAACTAACTATAGTCTTTGAGCCATATCAGGAATTGGGCCTACAGGGCCATATACGGCACATATCTGCAATGCTATATACGGGTATGTGCCATATATAGCACAAATCTGAATATGGCGACATTTGCCTGACTCTTTGCATAACCGAATGTAGCTGATATGTGCCGCAAGTTCGCCAGGCTGATAAAGGTGCACTTCGAATGGGTAGTGCATAAGACATGGATACTAAAGAGAGAGACGTGAAGAGCACAAGCGCTTGTGCTGTCTACATCTATACCTTTCGTATTGGTGTTTTATACACCCCCTTCCATGCCTAGCCGTGGGTGGCTTAGCAGTGTCCAGGGTAAGGGGGATCCTGAGTTGTGCATTGAGAATAGAGATTTGATGGTCATAAAGTGCATTTCTAAAGCCACAAGTTGTACAATGATGTAAACCCTCTCGGAATATGTGCCCTCGCATTTATGTAGGCGTTCTCTTAAACAGCCACGCGCGTACTGCAAGAACACACCAGGGCGACGCTGCCAACCGCGTGTGTGCACAGCGTACCTGGTTCTGTGAAGGCCGTGAGTAGAACGGTAAATCCCCTCGTGCTAGCCGAGGCTGTGTAAAAGTTCCACCTGAGGTACAGCTTGTTGCCAACTGAAGCGAACGTCCTTGGGTAGGTGTCGTCCAGGGACCCGCAGAACCGACTCACAAGGGAGTTCAGATACCGAACCTTGGAGGTAATTAGAGGACTGGTAAAGACATTTACACCCATGTCAAGACCAGTTTTTTTTTCTAAACTATTCGCTTGTACAACATAATCAAATCAGTAGGTACATATCAGAGGCTCATATAGAAATTTTCGACCATGTTGACCAACACCACTTCTATTGGTTCAATAAAATGCTAATAAGTGGCGGCTATAAGTACCCAAAGGTTTCAATAAGATCACTATACAGCTTATATAACCAACTGCATTCATTTTAGAGCGTTCAGCAATTTTATAGTGGACCAATAGAAAATTCAATTGTTCTTGCTATAGGGGCTGGCGCCAGAAGACCATTTTAAATAATCACTGTGAGAAACATAACTCCAGCTGTTAAGCGACGGCTTGTGTTAAACGAGTTGTTGCGTCTTCATGACTCATAAACCAGCTAAGCCTACTCTGTAAAGAACACAGTATCGTGTCGTGTGGTGAACAACCTTCTCGAAGAAGAGAAAATGGCGGCAAAGTCACGTACATCAAGGAAATCGATGCAGTAGTTCTCTTTTGGGTCGGAGTACATGTCCAGTTCCTCGATGGTCATTGTGATCCGCGATTTTCGTGGACTGGTCACTAGCAGAGTGGACGTGCAGCTTCCCCAAATGTCCCACCACGGGGTGGAGTCGTCGCGCTGGGACCGGACCGTGAGCACGGAGAGGTTGCCCGTGCTTGAAAGTTTAAACCGCATCGGCTCACGACCGTTTGTGCGACAGGTGTCGCTCATGTACACTGCGCAGTTGAAACAAATAATAATAGTAATAATAATCTTTATTCTGGCATGCTATAGTTGCATGCCACCGAGATCAGGCAAAAGGAAACAACGTAACTTGTCCTGACTAGGCCTATATGCCGGCACGTGAACAAAACAAAACAAGGACAGCGTTAAGTAAGCGAAAATATCTGTGCAGCACAATTCAAAAACATCACCGTAAAGAATTCAATATCCAAATCTATATAGAGCAGACAATATATGCAACTATACACTTGAAACGCAGTATAGAACAATTAGAGAACAAAAGTAGACATTGGAAGTGGTAAAATACAAACGCACGTACATACACATCGAGAAAAGAAGCGCTTCATCCTGCAGATCAAAGAGAAATCTTACTTTATTTTTAAAGTAATATAAAGATCTGCTTATCTGTGATAACTCAACAACAGAAGAAAAACTGTTACATATGTCTACTATTTGAAGGTCAAGTGATTGCGTTCCATAATATAGATCCAGTTGAAACAAGCGACGTCCTTCGCAGTTATATTCGATGTCCCGAGTTAGGTACATATTGCTGAATGAAGCGAAATCTTGTTTTATGTGGTTATAAATAAGACCCATCAGTTTAAGTTTGCAGCATTCACTGAAGCATAATACATGTAAAGCAGAAAATAAATTGCTATGGCTATCTGGTCTTCTTGCTCTAAAAGTTTTAATGCTTTCTGTTCCATTGCGATATTTTTTTGTGCATGGATCAGTCTTGTCACATGTGCCCCAAGTTAAGTTGCAGTATGTGAGGTGCGAATGAAGCACCATACATTTCAACGTCAATTTCGTTGTTTTATCTTTGATGTTAGAAAGGGAGCAAATACTACACCGACTTCAACAGCCAGTTCTCTTTGTAAAATGGGATGTCTTCAGTGGTATTCGTTCATGATGTTAGAGGTGACGTCAACCTTAACACCACGAAGGAAACGTTAAGATAGAGCGAGGTGGTTACGGGGGTGGTCCGATAAGTACTTGGCCTCCCTGTGAGAGCGCGACGCTATCGCATGAGACATATACTGATGTTGAGTACGCTCTCTTGAAGGGACGCTTACAAAGATACGGATGAATCGGCCTCGTGGTTCTGTTTTGGCTGCCCGAAGAAGCAGACGATTTTCGTGTGTGAGAAATTGAAGAATTGAAAGAGAGCAATCATTGGTCGATTATTCGATTCTTGTTTTTTGGAAGGGAAACCGCGCAGTGGAATCTAAGAGCGACTGGATGCCGTCCACGGTGAGTCCTCTCATTCGATGTCAACCTTCTGAAATTGATGCAACGAGATTAAAAACGTGGCTGGAAGTAGGTTTTTGATGAGCCTCGCCCCCCGCAAACAGCTACCACGGCAGATAGCGTGGCGAAACTGTACGACCTCGTATACTTGCAGGCTGCCGACTGGAGGTGCACGAGATAGCTGCGACAGCACATAGGCATCTCAAGAGACCATGTGGAGTCATATCCTGCATGAAATATTTGGCACAAGCGGGCTGTCTGCGCGATGAATGCCGTGTTTGCTCACTGCAGACAACAAGTGCATCCATGAGACCACATCAGAACAGTGTCGGAGACTGTTTAAGCGTAATATGATGGAGTTCCTGTGTCGTTCTTTTTTAGGGGCGAAGCTCCTTAGGGCGTGGGCTGTGCGTCCCCTGTAGCCTGTATGTAGCCACCTCTAGTTTAGTTCTTGTAGTGTTCACTAGATGGCGGTACCGTCTTCTGTATGTAGCCACCTCTCGTTTAGTTCTTGTAGTGTTTACTAGATGGTGGTACTTGTAGCTGATGATGAAAAGATGCAAGATGTTATAAACTAGAAAGCGGTACTTGTAGTTGATGAAAGACGCGAGATCTTATAAAATAGGAATGATGTCACATATGGCGCGTGTCATTGGTTGAAGGCAATCGTTCGATTTAGTGCGGCGACGTACGCTAGGGGGAGCGACGTAATAAAATCGAGTGGGCAAAATGTACATAGGATTCATGGTTTACCAGGTTTACCTCCGGAGCTTCGCCCACTCATCATCATTCACTTCGTGGATATGGCGGAATTTTTTTTTTTTTGACCGTCAACGAAACACATGGATCCACTGGTACAGTCCAGAGACCAAAAAAATAGTCGAAACAGTAGACTGCACCAGGAGAACCTGCTTCGAAGAAGGCGGAGACTGTCGCATCGGACGGGAAAGCCGATGGCCACCATTTTCTGGACTTCTCAGGGATTTTATCTTCGTCGACTATCTTGAGAAGGGCTAAACGATGACAGGATCCTACCACGCTGAATTAGTGGACCGATTCGACGCCGAGACACACGGTCACTGAGAAAACGGTGCACCTCCGCCATGACAACGCGCCAGCTCACTTTGCGCCGTCGCCGCGGCCAAGTTGGTCGAACTGGGCTACGACGAAGTGGGGCCCCATCTAGCGCATTTTTCATATTTGGCCCTCAGTGATTTCTTCTTGTTTCGCAACGATGAATGCGTTTTTGCTTACAACTCTATAGTGTCGCCGAAGCGACAGTGGGATCAATCTGCTGTCTTCGCCATTGATTTATATGCGGGGTTGAACATCCTGAAATCGTCGTATGATTATGAGAGACGCCGTGGTGCAGGGCTCCAGGAATTTCGAGACCACTTGGGATTCCTTAACGTGCACCTAAATCTAAGCACATGGGCCTACAGCATTTTCGTCTCCACCGAAAACGCAGCAGCCGCAGCCGGCATTCAATACCGCGATGTGCACTGTCTCCCCCAAGTCATATATATATATATATATATATATATATATATATATATATATATATATATATATATATATAGAAGGAGTTGACAAAGTACCGCTTTGAATGCTGTAATATCTTTTGTATTTCAACCGGCATACTGTTGTAACAAACTTCAAAGGAGGCTCTAGTTGCCGCTGTGCATTATATAGGTTGCGTCAGTTTAAATAGTTGTGTGTTCTTTTTTGTGTCATTTGGAGGTGACCATAATGGTCCTTCGTTAAAGCTTGTGAATATTTGTGTGAAAATGTTATAAAAATGTTTTGCTGTTTCGAAAATTGTCAGTTTACCAGTCTGTAGGGCTGCTTTTAAAAGGTTTCCTTAGTATTCGAAAGCTATTCAAACGGTATATGATTTGTATTCGCATTGCATTCGGACGTCGTCATTATTTCAACTCGAATTAGATTTGGTTCTAACATTCATCATTCGCACACCCCTATAGTATTCGCCTCCACGTGACTACTAAGGTTTTCAGTGCGTCCAGCTAATTAAGCTTGCATCTACACGAGTACAGTGTAATTAGGCGCGAAAATATGGGTAACGTCATGGCCTCATTCATTATAGTAGCGTTTAGGAGGCCCTTGGCGACATTGCCATACATCAATATGTCTGGATGAGCTGTCACCTAGGCAGCGCACGTTTGCCTGCACTAACTTTCCCGGACGTTTTCAGCGTGAAGTCATCGAAAGTTGACGTGTAGCGGAGTCGTTTCCCGACGAATCGACAATCGTTTTTTAATTGTTTTTTCCCCTCTTGATAACGGACGGCGTCGAAGGTCGACGGGGCTATATAGCAGGAGAAAGCTAGATTAGCTATTTCAACGATCAAACATATGTGGGTTGTAAACAGCGGTTCGTTAACCCTTTCATACTTGGACCATTTGTCTGCCGCGAGAGGCTCTATATTGCACAAAGACACGTACGCCACCAGTATTTGCAATGGTTCGGCTGCTACCTGTTATTTTGTGGAGCTACTCTGTTATTCTAAGTGGAGGCGAAAATGCTGTAGGCCCGTGTGCTCAGATTAGGGTGGACGTTAAAGAACCCCAGGAGGTCGAAATTTTCGGAGCCCTTCACTACGGCGTCTCCCATAATCATGTGGTGGTTTTTGGGACGTTAAACCCCACATATCAATCAATCAATCAATCAATCAATCAATCAATCAATCAATCAATCAATCAATCAATCAAATGTTATTCCAAGTGGATACATCGCGTCGCGTGAATTATATACGTTCAAAAAAGCTCGATTGCCTTCTTGAATGTATGTCACACTAATTAGACTTGTTTAGTGCATTCGATAACAAAGCCTGTCCATATTGTCAGCCACACACGGTATCAACGCCTTTTTGAATCGATACGCGTCGAATTGGCAACACTGACGTACTGCGTCGCCTCATGCGCCAGAAACCTATCGGAATACGGCTAAAATGAGGTCCCATGCACGAGTATAGATTCAGCGGGCAGGGTCAGCCAGAACTTACGGGTTTGGAAGTCCATTTTAGCTTCAGCTGCCGCTAAACAGACGATACCGCACACGGCAAGTAGGTGACACAGCATCGCCATGTCTACCCATTGTTCGTGTGCCGACACGCAGTGTGGATCTTATCGGCAAGCCAGGAGGATTCGCTGCTTACGCGCGTGCAGTTTCTTTTTCATGTCGATATCTTTTATCCTTGATGCTGCGCCGTTGGTGCTGACGTCATACGTTCGCGTTGCGCCGGCGACCTATCGCACGGCGCAGCACAGATTTGAAACGAGTGCGCGCAACGGGGTCGCGATATTCCTACGTGACAAAAAGTTCTCCCACCCCTATCGAAGCCGTGTCCCGCGCGTGCATGAGTGGTGCGTTGGGCGTCACTTCGATGTGATTGATTGATTGATTCGTGGGGTTTAACGTCCCAAAACCACCATTTGATTATGAGAGACGCCGTAGTAAAGGGCTCCGGAAATTTAGACCACCTACTTCGATGTGATTTCGTGTGCACGAAATTTGTAGTTCACTTTAGCTCGTGTGGGCGTCAAGGCTAGCGTAACGGCCCTGCAGAGATAACGAAGGTTCTCTCAGAGGTGGAGGGATCCACGGTGTTTCGAGTCGGCTAGCCCTCCGTTTCCTTATTGGGCATTGTCGCACCGTAGTTTACATCGGGACTAGCTCGCGTAAGTGCTCCGAGATAAGAAGCGCTGATAAAGGACTCTTTTTTCTTTATTTAGTTTTATTTGGACTTGTCTTCTTTATCTGCCTCAGCTCGACCTTTTTATTTCTAACTGGTATTTCCTGGCATATCACTCCGCGTGTTGACAGCGTCCTATCGCTGCAGTTATTGAGCCTGTGGGTGAATGAAGGGTTTATAATTAAAAAAAAAAAAACTTATTTTCCATTTTGACACAAGAAATTCACTGTACTATGAGGAACAAACCTGTGCGTGCCTCATATCAAGCGGCCGCTCCAAGCAGTTTAAATGCCACGCCGAATAGAGTTACTGTATAAGCTACCTTTAGGTAGCATATACAGTAACTCTCGACGACCTGGACAAGTAGTGCCATCTGGCGGTGTTATGAGCAACCAGACAGGTTCCAGCAAAGTATTGCGGCAAAGTCGCAATACGAAGTTTATTGGATAATGGAAGCACAAACACAGATGCATGTGTTGATTCGTGACGTCACTGTAGTCAAAGGTTTGTGTGTGATCGTTTCACGAGAAAACAAACAGATGTACGTAAAACAGGTCTATGAGCTCCAACTTTCGCATAGAAGCAACACAAATAGAAAATGGAAATAAACGTCTTGCACATCTGCAAGCCCGGCACGCCATGAATTCACTTCGGCGCGAGCAGCCTCCACTGGCGAAAAGCCAAAGGTGCGCCCATTTTCGATAACATTTTTGTCGTTTTTTTAGGGGCGAAGGTAGATTGCGTTGTGTATGTACGTATTTTGGGAATATTATAACTAGGTGGCGTTAGAAATTTTCACAGCATATCCACTCAGTGAATGATGATGAATGGGGCGAAGCGTCCTTTCGTCCGTCCATATGTCCATCCGTCCGTCCATCCATTCGTTCGTGTTTCCGTCCATTCATGCCTTCGTTCGTCCGTTTGTCTGTCGGTCCGTGCTTCCATCCATGCTTCCATTCATCCGTCTGTGCTTCCGTCCGTCCGTCCGTGCCTCTGTTCGTTCATTCGGACGCATGAACAGATGAATACACGGACGGACGGACTCTTCGCCCCACTCATCATCATTCACTTCGTGGATATGCTGTGATTTTTTTTGTGCGTGATAAGGAGCGCATGTGTTCAGGTACTGACCTGGCTTTAACGATTGCTGGTCAATCATTCGGAACCCTCAAGCTGCCACGAAAAAAGAAAAGCGTGTTTGTTATAAAACTATCCCAGTTATTGTCGCGAAAAGGATAGAAACACTACAGGCACGTTTTTGGGCCGAAGAACGCTTATGTGATGTGAGCCTTTCTGCCATGCCATTTGGAAAGAGCTCATTCCATAATCGTGTAATTGCACGCGCTTAGATTTAGGTAGCCACAGGCATTGCAACTCATGGGATCCTGCGGGTCTCAGTTTGGTAGCGGGCCCCCGTCCTAGGACCCATCGTCGAACATAGTCAGATGAGGCGCTCGTAAAAACGACAATTTATTTACATGGTTAGTAAATGAAAAGGAGAACGAGAAGTCAAGAACTGTACGTGAGAACTGTTGAGCTGTAGGACTCAAATACACGAAAGTCTTTGGCTTATATAGCGCCTCGTTGCCAACCCTGAGCACATTGTCCGCGGCTTCCGCCAATAGGACGCTCCATCGTCTACGTGCTTCACCCACGAAGGATGGGAAAGACACCACACAATGCATGCGGAGAGGGCACAGTGTGAACGATGCCCAAATATGGTCTCCAACGCACTGCACCGACGTTTTCGCACACGTCACCAGGTTTCGCGCACGTTCGATGATCTTAGATCACCTTGGTTTTCTAGACTCTTCCGGCAGTTGGGTGAGGCTCGAAAAACCGGCTGCCAGTACCGGCTGCCAGTCATCAAAAACCGGCTGCCAGTCATCAGAAGAAGTAAAGCGCAGAAAAAAAAAGCAATGTCTATGTAGTTTTTGTTTTATTTGTCATTTACATGTGGTGCTTCACTGGGTCACCTGAAAATTTTTCCTTAGGCAGTGGAAATAGTTGCGTGTTCAATGAAGCTTTGTATCACTAGAATTTTTTATTTTGATCATTAGAAAGCTGCGAAAGCATGATCTCAGGAGGTGAGCTTGAAACCTTCGCTACTAACTCTATGTAGACTTCGCAAGTACAATTCCTTCCCCGCTATTGGTATCAGAGTCACTCGGAGCTGGAGCATCACACGACGTGCATGAGCACGTCATGCGCGCGTAAACTACACTCGCATGAGATGCCCATGTCGGCCCGTGCGTGCAAGCAATGTTCTGCCGTCTCGATGTTCTTTTGTAATGTACTGCGAGTTTTTGTGGGATGGATCCCTATCTGCGCGCACGTTTGGAGAGGCTGGCTTGGATAACGTATCCTTACCCCGATACACAGCGTCACACCGCTGCAACTTCTGTTAGGGACGATACACCAAAAACACGCCTAGCGTTGTGAATGCTGGCCCAGACACAATGCGCCAACTGCGAGAACACCAACGCAAACAAAATGGAGGCACCTTAGTCTCGCATCTCTCTCTGATATCAAATTAAATATATAAGGCGAATAGATTTCGTCTGTGTGTTTTAACATTTTTGTCAACTTTCATGTTTCTATTTAGGCAACAGTTTGTACAAATTACACAGGTTGTCTCAAACAGTTCTCGCAGTGTCACGTACTACTTTGACATATGCAGGACCATTCTATCACCTTCACCATGTTGGGGCGCACGCCCATGAGATGAAGGTCAAGCCGTGTTCAGTTTGGCATATCACCTCTTCATGACGCGCGTAGTACTGCAAATCTTGGTAAATGAGATCTTGAGCGCCCAGTGCATTCATTCCTTTTCGCTTCTCAAAACTTTTAAATTTGTGTAACGACCCTTAACGTGTTCACAGACAGAAGAAAAATTGAGCCTGTGTGGTTAGGCCAAGTTAATAACGCCACAAAAAAATCCTTCTGGCGCTTTGCACTCTGACTATTTGCGCATGTGTAGGCCTTCTGAGATATGCCCCCCAGAAAGAGACCCAGAAGCATGTTTCTTCGACGGTGCACACTTAACTGACCATGCTGAACTAGTAATGGAGAGACTGCCTTCTTTGAACCCCGCGGGAAAACGCATGTTTATGCTAAACCATTACGCTTTTGTACTATTATACACTAAAGCATTTTTGCTTCCTTTTATATCGTAGAGACAGATCCCGCACCTGTTTATTGGAAAATTTGAGTTTTCACAAAGTTTATTGTGCCTATATTCACAATTTCGGAAGCCTAAAACAGTGTTTTGGCCGCCTACTTTCGGTGCCTAAATCCCGGTTTTTCAGTGCCTATAGAGCTGGCCTCTATAGTTACGACCTACCTGACATGTTTTCACAATGCCGGAGCAAAGAATATGCCCGGTTAAAACATCCACCGTACTTCAAGAAAATATTGTTGTTCTAATAACGTCGAGCTCGTTAAATTGGTTATGAAATGGGTGATGAAAGAGAACTGGGGCAAGTGCGTGAGAAACAAAATTTATTATTATACAGGCAAAGCAGTTTTCATGAACACGCACCCGTGGTTGTGCTGCTGAGCAGTGTTCTACATATCAAGGCAGTCGAGGGCAGCTTCTACAAAAGTGTAATTGTGCCTATCATAAGCGGCAGAGTCGACACGCTGGATGTGCTGCATAGAGCGCCCCGCGGCCTCAACCAGCAGAGCACGGCGATGTTCTTTCTTGGAGATCCCTCCCGGTGTCGTGAGGAGAGCATCCCTCCGCTCACTTAGGAATCCCTTTAGACCTGCCTTGAACTTTGAGAAGAGCTCCTCAATCGGATTGAAGAAAGGGCTGTATGGCGGTAGCCACTTGACTAGGTGGTCGCTTGCCGCGAGGACAGCCTGTTCGGCGCGGCGGTGCGCTGGTGCGTTGTCAAACAGGAACACTGCCTCTGGCTCTCTTTCTGTGTGCCATAGCTAAGAAGGGCTATACATGCGCAGAGAGAGAGAGTGAGAAAGGAAAGGCCGGGAGGTTAACCAGATATTAGCATCTGGTTTGCTACCCAGCACTGGGGGCGGCGAAGTAGGGGCAAGAAAGAGGGGGTAGATAGAGAGAAAAAAACAAAAAAACGCACGCACACTCATAAAAAAACGAAAACACATACAGGAAGGGCGTCCTATCTACAACCGTTCAGTAAGGCCGGTCGATCGCAAAAAGTTTAGTAGCGCTTTCAGGGCCCTCTTCTGTGAAGTCGCATCCTGACGATACTGCAGAATTCCCTGCTCCGACAGAGGTTGATTATCTAATTTGTTGAGTTCCTCGCGAAGGCATAGTCGTTGTTTACTATACGCAAGGCACTCACAAAGAATATGCTGAATTGTTTCATCTTTGCCACAGTCGCCACAGGCTGCAGTGTCGGCCATACCAATGCGGAAAGCGTAGGCGTTGGTAAACGCAACGCC